GAAAGTTATACATGATCTAGATATTATTAAACAATTTCATATTTAATGCTTTAAAAAGATAGGTTTCAGAAATGTAAAGCTATTGTAATGGTTTTGCATAAGTTTACTACCTTCAGATTTCTTACTGTAAATCAGTGCAATTTCTGACACCATTAAGTTGTGATTTAATGTAATTTGTATTTTAAACTCAAAATTCAGAATTTTGATCACTACATCTTTTCCGTTTTGGTAGACAGTAAATATGTACATTTGTATTTAGAACATTGAAGCAATTCATCTAAAATCTATCTAAAGCTACATTCCTACATTCATTATCTGTCTGTGATTTCTGGCACACTGTCCTCCATTATGAAATCAAATCATCTCAAATGCCCCTTTATGCCATGGTATATTTTACTTGCATTGCCTTTGCTGTATATGTTTTCAACGTATCTAATACATAACTGCCGAATTGCAGAGGACACCATGCAAACATCAGAAAAGGATCCTCTGGCACTTGCTATGTAATATTTATTTATCATATTTACCTATTCCAGTCAGTCAAATAATTGGAATGACATGGAAATTTAAAATGGAAAAAATGTTTTCTCATCACTTGGTTTTGATAGTTCAGCACTTAGGAAATATCTAATACATTTTTCTATCAAATTCTACCCATATATATTATTGTAAACAGAGCAATTAAAATATCAGACAGTATTTGGAACTGAGCACCATACAGGTTTCTAAAATAGCATTTCCATACTTACTGTTTATTTCAGTTCCTTATACTCATTTTTCTTTAAGTGAGCTTTTTACTATGGTTCCAATAATATTTCCATCTCATCAAATTTCCTATTTTGAATTTAGTATGACAGATCAGTTTAACACTGTCAAAGCCATAGGGTTTTAAATGCCACTTCTTTAGAAAAGACCTTATAAAATCAAAAACCCAGACCCTATGACTTTGCTACAAACAAGAACGCAACATATCAGAAAGCATTGACAACTAATACGTTTCAAACCTCTTTAGATCACTATGAACTCAGCTATGCTAGCTCACTTCCATTTTATTGTGTCTAATGAGCAGAATAATAAATACATTCTGAAAACTAAAAACCATATTTAGCTACCTGAATTCAATTAAAAATAGAACTGCTATATGTAATGTGAATCTATTATACTATAATCAATCTGCAATACTGAGAAGTTGGGTTGATAAGCAAATTAAAAATTTATGAATTTATTTTATAAATATGTAAAATTTGAAATTATTAAGAAAACTAAAAACCATATTTAGCTACCTGAATTCAATTAAAAATAGAACTGCTATATGTAATGTGAATCTATTATACTATAATCAATCTGCAATACTGAGAAGTTGGGTTGATAAGCAAATTAAAAATTTATGAATTTATTTTATAAATATGTAAAATTTGAAATTATTAAGATAAATAGTCTTTAAACATATGCCATGAAAAAATAGCAAAACAAATCCTAGAACATTCTTTACGTATTTGGTAACAAATTATTTATAATTTAAATGAATGCAAATTAATGTTGAATTAGTGGAGTAAGCAAGAGACATATTAAAATATTTTATGTAGATTACTGACATACCGAAATAAGATGGGATTGTATAGATCAAATGTCCAATTCATGTCCCCTCCATTTCTTCTCTTCAATAGGTTATTCATACCTAGCTCCCTCAACCATACAAAACAAAACAAAAGGACCAACAGTGAATTTTTATTTATCTTTATAAGATTAAACAAGTTAGGTATATTTAACCTATCGAAGAGAAGAATTGGAGGGACATGAATTGGACATTTTAAAGAAGAAATTTGTCTGGAATGGTATATACGGTATCCTGCTCAAGCAGGGGGTTGGACTAGAACAGGGGTCCCCAGCCCTTAGTCTGTGGACCAGTACCAGGCCACAGCATGCCAGCAACTAGTCCGCACAAACAAGCAAAGCCCCATCCGTGGGATGCAGGCAGCACACAAAACACGCCCTGTCTGGTCCACGGAAAAACTTCTCTCTACGGAACCGGTCCCTGGTGTCTGAAAGGTTGGGGGCGTCTGGACTAGAAGACCTCCAAGGATCCTTCCAGTTGTTATTTTGTTACAACTGTTAGATATAAAAAATTTAATTGCTCCTGTGAGGATTGGTCTAGGTCTTGGTCCAGGAATCTATGCGGAATTCACATACTGTGCCCAAGTAAGGGGTTACATATACAAATAGATGCTTGATAGACCTTGATATTTCAGTCTGTGAAATACTGTCCATCAACTGAAAATATTAATGCCAATCACAGGATAGAAAGAGAAAGAATTTCAGTATTTATTTTATATGTTATTTTGATCATTTGTAATGATTCAATAACCATATGCCTAGGTGGATTATAATCTTTTATTAGCAAGATATGTGCATTTGTGGCAATGTAAGCTGTGTTTACAGAAAATAATTTTATTAGTGTACATATATGGGATATGTTCCATGCACAGTCTTTAAAATTTATAATAATTAACATAACAAACAACAATATAACATATAATAAATATAATAAATATAATTTCCTCAGACAATCTCACCAAGGTATTCACCTTCTGTGTTACTGGAAGGCTTTAGTTTTAACCATAGAATGGAAGCTGTTTTATTCTTAATATTTCTAATTCTATTTGATTCTTCTTCTGGCATAATTTGCTATTATTTTCCCATTCCTTAGAAACAATTGATCAATTTTTTGTGATCCCTGAATATAATTAGAGCTCAGAATATGTTGTACAGTCTTCCTTAAAACTATTTTTTTTCTCTAATTATTCAGCAATCCTTGGGATTTTTCCAAGCTTGTCTCTACCTCTTATGTGATAGTACTGCAATACCATTTTAGATACTTAAAAATTCACAACTATTCCCAACTTAAGCAACATTATGTGATAAGGAATAAATTGTAGCTGTTAAAATATCATAATTTTAAACTCTACACAAACATATGAGATAAAATCTGACAGTACTTAAAACTCAGGTTATAATTATTACTATAATTGGTCTACCCCTGTAGGAAAAACTATATAAATACTGCCTTCCATGAGACTAATAGAGACATAAAAGGATGATGTTCTCTTCTACAATTAGAACAATCTCATTTTTTAATAATGGGAAAACATGATTTTTCATGAGTAATCTCTGTCCAGTTAAACAGCAAATGATATTTAAATTCACTATTGGAACTCTAAGCATAGTCAAGAAGATGGAAAAGGGTCAACACATAAGATACCATTGACAAAGACTCAAGAGTTTCTGGTAGTTGTGGATTCTCACTGAGCTTTAGGATCAGATTTTATAAGACAAGACATACTAGAGAGCTGCACAATGTAGGGTTCCAAGAATCTACTTTCTACCTTTCTGTCTTTGTAACCTAATTCTTAGGTTTCACAGACCAGTTTCACATTAAATCATCTTGTCCTGTGTTAGCAAGATTTATATCATGAAGTAATCAATACAGTAACAAAATATGCAGCAATTCTTAATAACCACATTCCAGGCAATCTTAAATTAAGAAAAACCAGAATACCCTGCCTGAGATTAGTGCCTGAAATGCAGTGATACAGTTTTTATTTTTGAACTGAAATTTGACTTGCATTAAATTTCAATAAAAGATGGCTAATAGAGTTTGCTAAAATTGTTGATTTGCTACTTTAAATGGAACCATCAAATAATAATCTAAATACTAAGATCTGTATTTTATTTTTTATTTTGAAGAAAAATCCTTTTGTATGAAATTCATAATTTAGATTATAATTCAGTATTGATGTACTGTCCATATCTCTGATAGTTTCACTAAGATAGCCAACGCTAAACCTTCTCTTGAAATATTATAAAACTGCTATTCTATAAAGCTTTGTTGTAGATATGAGGGAGATAATTTAGACAAACTTTATTATTTCATGCTTTCAAACATGTTAATATATTTACTTTCTGCTTCATTTGGAACATTGGAAACTTAGCATAGAAATTATGTGAACTCATCAATACTCACACAAACACAGACACACACACACACCAATCTATAATATATTTGCAGCAGCAATTTCAGAAACAACAGTGATTTAGAATGTTGAAATGTTTATTTTTATAACAGCTGAATTTTGCAATTATATGTAGCTTTTTCTTACTAGGAGAAAATATAACACTAATCCGTTGATCATTACAATGCTTGGCAAATGGATCAGATCCTCATAAACACTGTAATTCCTTGAAAATGATTGATATTCAGACTCTCAAACATTTTAACAAGTATTGAAAAAAACTATAGTTATAAAACCTGCATTTGAGAAGTACAGCTCAGTCACAATTAGCAGACAGTTAAGAATGTACAGGTAGTCCTCGTTTAGTGACCACAGTTGAGATGGGCAACTGGGTCATTAAGCAAAGCAGTTGCTAAGTGAAAGTGTAGTGTTTATGATCTCAATACAGTTTTCCTTGGCTTTACAGATCTGCAAAGATCATAAATGTGAGGATTGGTCTAAAAGTTATTTTTTCATCATTGTCATAAATGCAAAATGAAATGAGGCAGTTGCAAAATTATGTGTACTGATACATTTAATACATGCAAAAAATACTACTTTGTACAGAAACAAACCTAATTAAGAACACATTAATATTCTCAAAAATAAAAAACCCAGAACATACATTTTTGAGACTATACATATAAAATTATTTTAAAAATGTGATGAATGAGTGGGTTTATTCTGTTTATTATTCAATAACTCATTATTACAAAAATGTAATCTGAACTATATTCAGAGTTCAGTTATTTTAGATCTAAGATTATCAGTTTATCATCAAAATATTGCACAGAAAGTGGAAAAGCCAATATTTTTAAAATATAAATTTTTAAAATAAGACAATTTCATGAATGATAAATTCTACAATGATTGCTAACCATATTAAAATTGTCAAAGTTATAAGCCTCTAATTGACAACTGCTGGAGGTAAACCAAAGATAACTATCATACCTGTTTATCTGCTCCAGATTGGTCAATATTGCAAATAGAATAGATTGGGCCTTTTGTTTAATCTAAAAAACATAAACATAACATTCAATCCTATACATTATTAGTCAATGTACAGAATAGGTTTAATTTAGTCCAATAGGACATATCTCCAGATTTTTTATAAAATTATAACCAAAATTGAATGTTATACAGAAATGAAAATCAAGCATATTAAAAACATCAGAAACTTTATGTAGTAGAAAGGTAAGACTATTGTGATACCAAGTTCTCTTAGCTTTTGCCAACTACCAAATAAATAGATGTAAAGAGCTACCCTGGCCACTGGCAAGTGATTGTGGAAGAGGTAGTCCAGAACATGTGGAGATTGTTTATTTCTTATATATAGGAAAACATCTTAGCTTTATTTTAATATTAATTAATTGGAAAATCCAGTACCGACAATAGATCCTGATGTCATTTTTTAAAAAATAAAATTTCAGTTTAATGGATATTGGCGGAATGTCCATTAAAATTGAATTTTCATAGTGACATTTATACCTTTTGCATCATTATTTAACTATTAAAATTGTCAGATAACCACACAAATTACATAGATTATATCAATTGTCTGGACTGCTTTGGAAATAGTGGAATGTATTCATTGAGGAAGTTAAGTCTGAAGTAAAATTTTGTCTTTTGTTGTCCTTGGTCTGATGAATGAAGGTCCAGAGATTTGAAGCTTTACTGTATTCTAACATTTGTGCTCTTAGTACTGAGAAAGAAGATAGGTTAGACAAAGGAAAGTTCTATCACTTCAGTTAATATAATTGCATTCCTAAAACAATTAGACTTCATGATTTATTTTTCCAAGAAAATAGCTAAAGCAATGCATGTTTCTGGAAATATAAAATATAAATATAAAACCAATCTGAGAACTGTACAATCTCTTTTTGATAGATTAAGTTATCTGTATATCTGTAAAACAATGGATTAAAATTCATAACCCCATGAATACAATTGTGTGAATGAGTGTGCAATCTGTTGAATTCCATAAGAGGACTCTCTTTAACCATGGCTGAATTTGATCCATTGCATTCCAGAGAATCTATAGTTCTTTTCTATTAATGTGGTCCTATTTTTTTCTTTATATCCTTCCTTCCTCCCTGTGATGTTTTGTTGTCGCTGTGTGCATTCCTACACAAAAACCCAACCATCATCTTCTGTAACACTTCTTAATCTCCTAATACATGCCTTATTCCCTTGCCACCCTGACTACTTGGGTTTCTGTCTCCAAACCTGGCCCAGTTATCTCTGCATGTAACCTCCATGTTCTGTATCCATTTGTAGAGTCTGGTATTGATTATTCTGCACATAATTTGTATTTCTTGTGCATCCTTGATTTTTTCTTCAGTCAAGTTATCTGTGGTCCTACCGTAAAATGATTTATTACCAAGAGAGAACTGGATCCCTTTTTGGATTTCTTGTTTGTTAAAAAATGAGCTCTTTGAATCAAGTGGATTGGCTTGCAAAATAAATTCAAACAGAAAAGAAAGCTAATATTCATATTTTCATACAAAAATAAAATCAGACAATGAAGACCTAGAACAGGGGTAGGCAACCTTGGCTCTTTTATGACTCATGGAGTTGAAGTCCACGAGTCATAAAAGAGCCAAGGTTGCCTACCCCTGACCTAGAAGAACAAATAGAATATGAGTGTCATGGTTCCGACAGACAGAGACAAATTTTCAAAGTTGATAATGGGGTTTGGTCAATGCAGTTCTAGCTCATTTGCTCAAATCAGTGTCACTCCTACAGCATGATTAATTCACCCTGTTGAAGCATCTCTAATTGAAGGTGAGGGAAGAGAAGGAAATGTACTTCTGACTGAACTGGACTACTGAGGTTGACACTAGTGTGTATGCCTGGCCGCTGATTTTCTCTCATTTTTGTTCACATTTCCATATTGTGGACAATATGCTTGAAGCACCCATTCCTGCCATCCAGGAAATAATGTATGTTTCATTTGTTAACAGGCAAATGGGAGATTATTAAGCACATATTATCTTTTAGGATATCACCATTCGATGACACCATTATTGGTTGAGAGGAATATCACCTGGAGACGCTAATGTTATTTTCTCTTATTTCACCTCACTATAACTCCACACTGTAATGCCTGTGGTATTCCTCACAACTCGATAGGACAAGTTGTAATACTCTATGATGGCAATCACTTAACCAGATTCAATAACGTTACAATGGCATAAAGTATCCCTCGCGTAGTAAAAGTGAAAGTAACAGAATAATTTGTGGGTCTAATAACATGATGCTAAAGAACATTGTATTTCCCATAGTTCCATATTGGTTCACTTTAAAAAGTCAGTTAATGTCCTTTTTTTTTTTTACTACATTAGTTAATTCAGCAAATTCTATAACCTGAACAAAGTTGGTTGTCAGACTTGGGAACTGCATGTAGCATAGCATTTCCTTTCTTTTTCACCTGAATAGCCTACCTTCAACAGCAGGCATTCATTCATTCTAGAATGGAATTATTTTCATGTGTATTTCAGAAAATGTTTCTAAGTATTAAAACCAGTCATTGACTTCTGCAAGCCTAGTGAAAAAAAAAATCCAACAACAAAAAAAGCCTATATGTGTTTTAAATAAGTCAAAACATAGATTTGATTCGCAGCATCTTAATTATGCCTCATTTAAAAAGAAGAAAAAATATGCATTTTACATAACATAAATTATACAGAAAAAAACCGGAAAACTGCAAATTGTTTAGTGATTTGAATTCTGTACAGATGCACATAGACACATAAATACTCACAGGGTAAAAGAGCTAGTGTTAAATTCTTAACAGGAAATCAAAGGACCTGTTCTCTCGTGGTCACTGAAAGTGGTGAGTAGCTCAAATTGGAAGATATGTTTGTTGGGTGGTGGGTGAACTGCACTGTTTCCAGGTTGATAGATCAGAAAGAGAGAGAGAGCATCAAACTGTTGGTTTGATGGAGGCCATGGAAAATTGAAGAACATAAGAAGGAAGAAGGTGCTTTTACTTCCTCTTAAATCTGCCAGTGCTCTACAGTATATGTAGAAGAAATAGACCATATCTTAGGGTACTAAAACTCGTCATCCTTCACTAGTCTACCTTGGTAGGGTTTGGTTACACCATTACCCAATTCCCTACCAGCGGCCTGTTTGGTAGGGAGCCTTTTCACAAAAGACAAAGGAAACTAGTTGACCCATTTGATTCTGGTTTATCCTGGCTTAGTGCAAGTGAAAGGAATGTCCATGTAAGTCACAGGTCCTAAAGGGAATAAGTATGGAAGAGTCCTGTGCTAAGGGACTAAGCTATGAGAACATCAGAAGCCACTTGGGGGGAAAAGGCTATTTTAAACTCTTAAACTATTAAACAGTAGTGGCAGGCCAAAATAACTATATTATCTGGGCAGTGGACAGGCTGTGGGAAATACCCAGGGGTCATGAGAAATAAAATTGGGGACAGGGAAAATAAGCGAAGATGTAGTATGCAAAACACAAGAAGCACTAGTGTGGTCTCATCTTGGATCCTTCTGACTGAATTTATTTTTATAACGCAGTACACATTGAAAAGTGTTTCTTTTAAAAGCAAAACTTTGAAATGGCTATTGCTCCTCATATTGCCGAGATTAAGTATATCAGAGATAAAGTGAATATATTTTAAAGTTAGGACTTTCCCTTGCAAGAAGAAACCCTATATAAGCATGCTTCAGACATATTGTTTCCAAATACAACTTATGCATCAATTCTTGTGGGATTTTTGCAGGGAAGAGAATAGAAAAGGTCCCTTATCCCAGTTAGATTGCATGCTATTTGCTGGGTTGCTAGTCTGTATGGCTAAACGATGCTACCTCCTTTTGGAGTAGGAACTTCTTATTCAGCATGCAACAAAATGAAACACATTCTGTATAGCCTACTTACTCTGTATCTGAGTATCAGGATTTCATTTAATTGCACATTCCTTCTAAACTGCCCAAATGTGGGATATCACTTTTTTCAATACAAAGCAGGAAGAATCCTATCTGACATATGTAATATTTACACAAACATAACAGCATTATTTATAGCATTTTGGGTAATCAGTCTTTCTCCCAATCAAACAACATGGTACATTTGTGTGTGCAGTTTGTTTGTTTTTTTTTTTTTAAAAAAAAGGAGCCAAGTATCTGCAATATTCCTTTTTAAAACCCTGATACAATGTAAACTACAGCTACGCTTCTATGATTTCATTATACTAATATCGTTACATTGTGAAATATAATTTCATTATATTGTGGAGAAAAATGTAACTGCATGCCTAAGTTTCGCAGACTAAATAATTTCGCACCCAAATGCTCTGCCTGGCCATTTGTTATGACCCTTTAATCAATGAGGTAGGCAAACATGGCTTCACACTACTAGCAAGAGCCCTGGCATGTTCTTCTTGTTAAAACAAGGAGAATAATGTTTGAAATGCTCCTGAAGAACCACAGTGAATTGAGAAGAAGGATGTGGGGAACACAGATTAATCATAGGGGTTTAGAGAAGAGATTAGGAGAGTAAAAGATGGGGGGGGTTCTAAGGCAGGGGAACAGTGCAGTGAACTCTTCCTGTGAAGTCGCATTTTCTGTGGCCCAGGGTGGGTTTTCTTCACCTGCTGTTGTAACTACTGCCCTCTGTGCCAATGGATTCCAGAACACAGAGGACAACTCTCGCATCTCAATCACCTTTTTCCGACTCTTCCGTGTGATGCGTCTGGTGAAGCTCTTGAGTCGAGGGGAGGGCATCCGCACGCTGCTTTGGACCTTCATCAAGTCTTTCCAGGTATTCCTTCCTTCTGCTTTATGTGGCCTTATCTCAGGGAAGCAGTGACTTTTCAGTCTGCTCCTTGCATTACGTATTTATATGGGGATACAGCAACAATTTCTGAATGGTCTCTGCCAAGGACAAATTAGTTTCTATTTCCAAGAATCTCAAAATTAGGGATGGATGGAATGAAGCCTGGCGGGGTAGAGGATTTTGAAACTCAAACATAAACAGTTATTTTTTTAAAAAAAAATTGTAAGCGTCACACACTTCTCCAAATGCAAAATTATTGGATCCTAAACTGAGAGTTTATTCCTGTCAATACAAGTGTTAAGGCAAAAAGTGAATACAACAATTTTATAGTAAAATTGTTTTTATATTAAAATAAAGGTGATGCACTTTCCGTCCATCAGGTCAGCTTGCTGATGCAATTGGGGAATCATTCAGCTATGCAACATTCCCCAATATAGCACCCTCCAGATGTGTTGGACCACATGCTGGCTGGGGATGATGGGAGTGATAGTCCCAACACATCTTAAGAGCACCAGGTAGGGGAAGGCTGATCTATGGCCATTACTGGCAAGTGGACTCAGTCCAAACATGACAAGAGACCCAAACCCTTATGCATATCTTGGTCTTGCTTTCCAACTGACATAAAATCATGGATGCAAGGGTGAAATCTATGCAGGTAGCCACAAAACTGAGATCTGTGGCTGGAACTATTTCAATGTCAAGGTCACCTGACTCCACAACGATTATTTAATCACACCTTATCATTTTAAAAATTAAAAGAGCGTGACAGATACTCTTTTATATATAAAAAGAATACAGCTGACCAGAAGGTAGATCCAACGACTTCAGAAAAGATCCCATGCAAATACATTTTTAGCAGTCTCCAGTCCAAATCAAACCTACTGAGTTCTTTCTGCAGCATACCAATTCTCTACCTACCTGCAGAGTGTTTCTTTCAGATTTATTCTCTATGTATCTCTTGCTGAATTTTTGAGATTCCCAGGTCAATCCTACATATTGGTAGTTCTCAACTTACAACTATTCATTTAGTGACCATTCAAAGTTTTAATGGCACTGGAAAAAAGTAACTTACAACCAGTCCTTGCACTTATAATCACTGCTCCATCCCCATAGTCACATGATCAAAATTCAGGCACTTGGCAGCTGGCTGCAGCATCCTGGTGTCATGTGATTGCCATTTACAACCTTCTGATCTGGCTTCCAACAATGACAATGGAGGAAGCTGTATTTGCTTAACAACTGTGCCAAAAAGGATCGTAAAACGAGGCACAACTCACTTAAGCACCTTGATTAAATGGAATTATGGTCCCAATTGTGCTTGTAAGTTGAGGACTACCTGCAATTCTTTATAACATGTATACATGCCCATGTAATGCAGAAACATGGTGGCTCCAAGAGGAATTCAACTGTTGAATAACATTATTACTTCTTAGAAGTACCTCAGACAATTATAGATAAATAAAATTTGATTGTCTAAGTGGAAAAAGATGATATGTTCGCTTTCATTCTAATTTCAGGAAGCAATATTTCTCCATTATCTCTGAAATATGATGACCAGAGTCTAATATCTACTGGACTACTTTTTCAGCACAGTTTCTTTTTGTAAAGCTCCATGCCCATTGATGGAAATAAAATTAGTGGAGCTCAAATAATTTCTTATTGAGTGAATTATGATAATCTTTTTCTCATATGTATGTACTCCAAAATACTGCAATTCAAAATATTGGATCCATATTTCTATACTGGATAGTTTTTGCTCTTATTCTATGTGTTCCTCATTTCTAAATTTTTGACTATATTTTTCTTTTACAATTATCTTACTTTTTAAAAGTATTAATGTAACAGTTGACACATACAATTTTTAAATAGGGAAGAGTTATTGATGGTGATTAAAGTTATAGCTAAATTCTTATTACAACAAATACTGAAATCATCATCTATCTGGAGAGAAATATATATATAAAAATATTAAGAAAAATGGTTTTACAGATCTGATAGATAATAGGCAGCAAGCACTGTTTACTCTAAGAAAAATATTAATGTGAAAAGAAACAGTAATGACTTAAGAGAGATAGAATGTTTTTGTTAGAAGGATTAGTTATGGCAAAACAACAATGGATCAGTAGAGTCATCTAGTGGAGAAATAAATAGTTTACATTAATCATAGTATGGTGCATACAAGTTTTTAAAGGGAGATCACAAGATCATCTAATTTTTTACGTGCTGATGCATCATCATATGTAAATGCATCCATATGCATTTTACATAGGTTGTACAGTCAAAGAAATATTTGTCTCTGGTCTTATGCTCTCAGGTGCTTTCAATATGGGAATATTGTATCCTAAGTTCCAAAAAGCTGGCTTTCTTAATAAATGATTCATCATTACCTGCTTTTGATTTTTTTTTCCAGGCTCTCCCCTATGTGGCTCTATTAATAGTGATGCTGTTTTTTATCTACGCCGTGATTGGGATGCAGGTAAGTGTCTTTCCAAGATTTAATTTTTACTGTTGCAAGTATATGGAGAGGGAATTACAGAAACTATTAGGAAAAGAATCTTCAAGTGAAGTCAAAGCTGAGGTGGCCCAGCAGTTAGAGTGCAGTACTAAAGTGCAGGCCACTTTAGCTGACTGTGTTCAACAGGTCAGCGGTTCAAATCTCACCGGCTCAAGGTTGACTCAGCCTTCCATCCTTCCGAGGTAGGTAAAATGAGGACCCAGATTGTTGGGGGCAATGTAAATATATATATACATTGCTTACTGGAGTACACCGCTTAGAGCAGTGATTCTCAACCTATGGGTCGTGACCCCATTTGGGGTCGAACGACCATTTTACGGGGGTCGCCAAACAACGCGATCCGCCATTTTTCCTCCTCAGGGGCGCCACCGCGCATGGGCACCGCGCATGGGGGCCGCGCTGCATCCGTGTGACGGGGTCGCCGTCACACAAAGGTTAAGAACCGCTGGCTTAGAGAGTGCTTGCACTTAAAGTGGTATATAAGTCTCATAAATAAATAAATAAATAAATATGGTGGCCTATTACCTGAACATGAAGTCAAGGAGTCTAAAATTAAAATGCCAATTGATTGTGGCTAAATTAAAATTTTAAATTAATTTTAGGTGTGGGTTAATAACAGTAATGCCAGTTTGGTGTAATGGCTAAAGGTGCTGAACTAGAAACCGAGTTCTCATCCTCCCTTAGGCATGAAAGTTGGCTGGGTGCCCAACCCTCACCTAACGACTCAGTAAACATGGTCAGAAAAAGAATTTGCTTTTGTGCTTTTTTCTTTTTCAGCACTGCAATCATTTCTTCATATTGCTGTTAACTAAAATAAAAGGCAGATTTTAGCCGAAGTGGTACTCATGATTACAGTATGTGCAGAGTCTAAAAGACAAAAGAAATCTCTCCATGTAGAAACTCTGCCTTACCATCTTCTTTCCTGAAATGAAAACTATGGCCTGCCTCAGAGTGTTTAATTTGTCCTCTTGCAACAGTAACTCCCAGCGCCCCCTCAGAACAGCTGCAACTGTCATTACTAACTAGTGAGTTGGAGAATCTGAACCCAGAGAGTTCCAGGGCTCCTCAGGCGACTGACTTAGAAGAACCTCCCTTTAAAAGTTCTGTCTGGTTTGGATGCTTAATTTGCACTACTGTTTTGCATTTCTCTGCTTTTAAAAAGCGGGTTACTGTCAGCAGTTACAACTGTCAGAACAATCTGCATATGTGCAGAGCTCAACCAGAGTTGCCAAAGGTTTTGCATATGAACCTCAAAAGAAAATATATTACATAAGATACCAGATTGCCAGATGGACACCCACGATCTGAGATTCTAGTTTGTTCTCTGTGCGTTGTCTCCTATCCACGCTTGTGATAATTACTGCCTAGCCTTAGATCAGAAAGCAAGTCATCTGTGTTTGTTTGATCAGCTGTTCCTCACTATTATCGCTAATTTGGTATAATGCTCATACCCTATAAGATTGCAGATATTCATATTTTATACAGTAGGGGTGCATAAACTATATTAGATGCATAATATATTAAATGCATACTCTAGTAGTATGTAAACATGGAGATTTTAAGGATTTGCAGTGGCACATTAGAGACGCTGAAGTACAGGTAGTCCTCGACTTATGACCACAATTGAGTCCAAAATTTCTGTTGCTAAGTGAGACACTTGTTAAGTGAATCATGGCAGTTGTTAAGTTATGAACATGGTTGTTAAGTGAATCTGGCTTCTCCGTTGACTTTGTTTTTCAAAAGGTCACAAAAGGTGATCACACGACCCCAAATACTGTTCTTGTGACCATGGCAATGCTACAGTGGTCTTAAGTGTGAAAAACAGTTATAAGTCACTATTTTCAGTGGTGTAGCAACTTTGAACAGTCACTAAATGAACTATTTTAAGTTGAGGACTACTTGTACTGCTCAAGGCATTTTCACAACCCACCCAATATTTTTGATTCCAGCATAGTTCAGGATATTTGAGCCTAAAATTCTCACAAAGACTTATCAGACCAGATTTTTAAAAATAGTTTAGTGGAGTCCTTAGTGTTCAACAAACTCAGTTGTTTGCTTGCAGATGTTTCATTATGTGACTAAAGTAACATGGATTAGGCTACATAAATCTGCAGAACAGAAAACTTATATTTTTACGACTCACTTTCCCTTTGAGGTCATTAGGAACAGAAAACTCTTTCAGAAAATGGAAGGATGTGCGGATGCTCTAAACCTGCAGTATTTTCCAAACCATCCACCTTTTTCTCAAGTACCAAGATGAGCATAAGAGATTCAGGCTGTCTTGATTATTTATAGAATTATTTCCTATCTTACTGTCTGCCAGGCCCCAAACCAAGAATAACATGTAGCAATTCTTCCAAGCTGAGTCTTTTATTGTTTCACGTCTATAGACAAAATCTTGCCACTGTACTATCTGCATCTACAACATTCTGTATCAACTAATAAGAAGGGGCTTTTCTTCACCCTCTTTCTCTCTTGCATAATTTGTTGTTAATTGCAAAGTCGTGTCCAACCCATCGCGACCCCATGGACAATGTTCCTCCAGGTCTTCCTGTCCTCTACCATCTTCCTCTTGCATAATAGCTGAACTGATTTGCCTCTTCCTCTTGTGGAATTCATAGTTTTCTTAAGAATCCACTCCTTACTGTAGTCTATCACATCATTCATAATCTGCATTCACGATTGCCCAAAAGACGTAAGCATAGAGTGAAAATGAAGGAAAGATAATCTGTAGCAGTTCAACTAATAGTGAAGCATCAGGCTACTAGGCTAAGTTGGGTTTCCGGTGAAGCATGCAGTTCAAGAGAGTGAAAGGATTAACAGATCAACCATTTGAAACCCAAGATGCCAACCCAAGATGTCCCTTATGTTTTTCACATTTCCAACATTTCATTAATTTCATCACAAAAAAGAACTACTGGTCGTTGAAAATCTTGAAACTAGTGTACGTATTGAAGGTAAAATTGAGAAAATTAATCTTTACGTAACTGCTTCCTTACAAATATCATAACAGTACAGTAATATACAGGATTTCTTAGCACAACATTTTTAGCCTCCCTAAGCAATTTTAGGATGCTTTATGTAGAAACAGAATAATTAGCCCTCTTATTTTATATGATAATTAATCTTGTGCCCTGTATTATATCTCCAGTATTTCATTTTAAAATAGTTTACTATTTTTATTAGTATCATTTGTACATATAAAGAAGAGTACCTATTGTATAGATGAAGCAAAATGAAAAGTCTGCAAAATGTTTATTGAGCAAATTGGAATAGTAAAAATCTTAAGATCTAAACCCAAAATAAAAAGATTTGATCAGTTTAAATGGTGTAATATATAGGGAGACTGTCAATCAGATGTACACCCAGTGCAGTGGGAAGATGTCAAATGTTGAACTGAGATATCAGAACCATGCAAATACAGGTAATCCTCGACTTACGACCACAATTGAGCCCAAAATTTCTGTTCCTAGGTAAGATATTTGTTAAATAAATTTTGACCCATTTTACGACTTTTCTTGCCACAGTTATTCACTACAGTTGTTAAGTTAGTAACATGGCTGCTAAATGAATCTGGCTTCCCCATTGACTTTGCTTGTCAATATCCCAAGACAATGCAACTATCATAAATATGAGACATTTGCCAGGCATCTGAATTTTGATCATGTGACCCGGGGGATGCTGCAATAGTTGTAGGTGTGAAAAAATGTTCATAAGTCACTTTTTTCAGTGCCATTGTAACTTCGGATGATCATAAAATGAACTGTTGTAAGTATATTATATAATATACTTATATAATATATTGTATAAGTTTATTAGAATAAGAATATTAAGACTATCAGATACAGGAATATCTTGCGGAATGAAACGTTACCTTGAATCAACTTTTTCTTTTATTAGGTGTTTGGTAAAATTGCATTAAATGATACTACAGATATCAATCGGAACAACAACTTTCAAACATTTCCTCAGGCTGTTCTCCTGCTTTTCAGGTAGGTCACAACAAAGGATGCCAAGGCAGGCAACCCATATAAAACCCTCAAAGTCCCCAGTAATGAAAAATAATGTTGCAGCTTCCAAATAGCTTCCAATAAAGAAATCAAGGGCATCGTTAAAATAAACCAGCAGATTCATTCTAAAAATATTTTTTAAAAATCCTTTAGTAAGACTTAAATTTTGGCCCCGCCCACTTCCATGATGGCAAGACAACCCTGAAAAACTGAAAAAAATAAAATAAAATAATCTTCTAAACACAAAGCGTATTTGATTTAATCATATTTTAGGGAAATGATTTAATCTTTTTCGACCAAAGCCAAATTGATTTTTAATTCCACTGAATTTAATACCTGTTTTATGAGGCATAAGATCTGATATTTTACAAATCTCAAAATGCTTTGTGTAGACCAGCTACCCAAAATTATCAGGTACAATAGACATTTTATCAAATGTCTGTGGCTGCTTATGAAGTAGGACTTTGCCTATGCTGTAGATCTCTGAGGCAGCTAGATTCAATTATCTGGTGAGCCATTTGCTGAGTACTTAATTTTTAAACTCCCCACCAGTTATGATAAACCACCTTCTTCTCCACTACACTCCCTTTTCAACAGATGTGCTACTGGTGAAGCTTGGCAGGAAATCATGCTGGCATGCCTACCTGATAAGAAGTGTGACAATGACTCTGTGGAACCAAACAGTAATACTGAAGGTGAACATCTCTGCGGGAGCAGCTTTGCTGTATTTTATTTCATCAGTTTCTACATGCTTTGTGCCTTTCTAGTAAGTAGCTATGGCGATCTATAAAAGTCGTGTAATGGTATGCATTTTTTAACAAAAAAAAAAATTGTCAGGGGTGGCGAAGTAGTGATCCCTGAGCCATATGCAAATTCTGAAACCCCCTTTAGCACCTTTTGATCTTAAGTATACATATTGTTTTTCAAGAGAAGCACTTTGTTGAAGCACTTTATCTGAAAAAGACCTTGAAATATAAATCATTCTGGCATTAAATACCTTCTTCATAGAACAAATGTTTTTGTGCTTATTTACAGATCATTAACCTTTTTGTTGCTGTTATTATGGATAATTTTGATTACCTAACCCGTGATTGGTCCATTCTGGGTCCCCATCATCTGGATGAGTTTAAACGGATTTGGGCAGAGTATGATCCTGAAGCCAAGTAAGTTCCCAGCCACACAACCTAAAGAAAGGAACTCTGAGTAACTCTATCTACAAAGTTTAGCATCTACTTAGGTTTCTATTTAGGAACTGCTTAGGATTTCATGTTTTCTGCGATAACCAAGACAAATGGTATCAAATCTTATACATGTAGCAGGGCACATGCTGGATTTTGTATTCTATTTGGGTGAAACTGATGGTCTGAAAGTGGGGGATCTCTTTAGGATGGATCTTTTTTTTTATTAGATTCAGAATAATGGCTGGTACAAACCTTTACAAAGGTGAGAAGGTCAGAATCAGTTAAAATGATTGAGTTCAGACACCTCAGTGCACTCAGAGAATTTCTAACCTTATATATCTGAAATATTATATATGAATATAGAAACAATCAAGGTCATTAATATTATGCTTCCTAAGCACACACACCCATCATATTAATCATTTGATCACCTAGGCAACTGAAAAGGTGGTGGCCTCACAACTCTGCATGCATCTAAATTATACTAATTATCTAGATTGATTTCGGTTGAGCTTTTGGCTGGCAGGAGATACTGATACTCCTTTTATTTACTTGGTAAATTGCCTTTGCCAGAAATTGTATGACGAAAATGCAGACTTGTCCTAGAGTTTCAGTAGGTTTCAGTATCACCAATTCCAGCCCTTCTGGTGGAATCAGGCTTTGGGATTTGTGAGTGTTCTTTGTTTTTCAAAGATTGGACACCCCACAGCTTAGATCAGTGGTTCTCAACCTGTGGGTCGGGACCCCATTTGGGGTTGAACGACCATTTCACGGGGGTCACCAAACAACGCAGTCCGCCATTTTTTCCCCTTTTCCTTAGCTGTGCTACTCCCTTTTATTCTATTGGCTTTTGAAAGCCAATAGAATAGACTCTCTTGAATAGAGTCTAATTCTATTGGCTTTCAAAAGCCAATAGGAATTGTCCAGGCTGTCTCTGCCCTGCTGAACTTGCCAAAAGTCCCATTCTGCAAATGGTGCTGCACCAGTTGAGTAGTCCTCGACTTACAGCCGGTTGGGGGTCACGACATTAAAAAGGTTGAGAACCACTGGCTTAGATCATAATTGTACAAGATACAGTATAGTAGCATACACCTTCTAGGCTTTCTACCTTCCTAGGCTTTGCAAATCGATGCAGCCATATAAATAAGTCCTAAAAATAGTCCTTCTAACAAGTAAAAGTCTTAATGTCTATAAAGCGGCGTACAGCCCTTGCCTCTCTCCAAATGTTCCTGCACTTGTTGATTAGGTGCTGACTCAGCATGGTTGCTGCCAAGTTCTAAGCCAAGCTCCAGGCAGAAATCATATCACAATGGGATGCTTACAGTAGCTTGTGGTCCTGGCAGTTGACTGATAGCTCTCCTGCTTGCCTGTAATAGTCATACATTCCAGACATCACTTCTCGCTTACTCCACCTAGGCTGAGGGCCTAGGTGGGGTAAGATTGCCTATGTATATCTGCAAGAAGGGTCATAAAATGTGCAAAGCTGCTTTTAACAACTCTCTTGCTTAGCAACAGAAAGTTGGGGCTCAATTGTGGTCGTAAGTCAAGCAATATCTGTACTACCATTTGAGAGAAAGGATAAGTTGAGTCTATCCTTGAGGAAGTGAAGGTGGGAAGCATGTCTGTTTGGTTGCAGCTGCTTTTCCCAAATGCAGACTGCAACTCCATCTGCATTCCCTCACAGGAATGCTTTCTTGTCTTTCCTATCCAAAAGGAAATGCTGAAGCACATTGTTTGACACCTAAGCAAACATTGTGTGGTTCATATGAGGTGACTTATTATATTCCTTGATGTTCAACATCTACATGAAACTGCTAGGAGAAATCATCCTGGTATAATCAGACACCTAATTCCCAAAAAGCCATCAATATCCTTGAATATTGCCTGATAAGCCTTTTTTTTAAATTATTTTTCCTGTAGAGGACGTATCAAACACCTAGATGTTGTAACACTCCTGCGTCGGATACAACCTCCCCTGGGTTTTGGAAAGCTCTGTCCTCACAGAGTAGCTTGCAAGGTATGATAGGTTTCTGTTTCCTTCTGGTTACTGTTTTGCATTACTTTTCCTTATATACTGATGGATGACAAACCCCGTCCACCTTGGCCATTGGTCATATTGACTGGGGACAATAGGAATTGTCATCCAATATATCAATACACAAAGCTTGTGATTTCTAGATTTTTTTTATTATGTAGTGAATAGATTTTATTATCATGAAATGTGCACTGGTTTCTTAGACTGCAAACGTTTGCTTAGTTGCATTTTATGAACATTTCATATTTTTATTTAAAATATTTATTTTCTGGATAGTAGTATTGTTAATATTGTTTCAATATTACTAGTTATTAAAATTAATCCCACACAATGTACACTTTAAAATACATTACATACTGCGACTTTTATCAACGTCACCAAATTGACAAAATCATCATCAGTCAATTGCAAAAGGCAACTTTACTTGGAAAAGCTTACATTAGCCAGATGTTTAGACTTGATTTGGCATTTTTAGCAAACCCTTCTCAAGGACCTGAGATAGACAGATGTTATTGTTTGATGATTGTGAAGATACCATTGCAAAACATAAGCTGTTCCAAGTAAAGCTGAATTTTTCAATTGACAGAAGTTGGAAGGGACCTTGGAGGTCTTCTAGTCCAACTTCCTGCTCAGGCAGGAAACCCTATGCTATTTCAGACAAAAGGTTGTCCAATCGCTTCTTAAAAACTTCCACTGTTGGAGCATTCAAAACTTCTGGAGACAAGTTATTCCACTGATTAATTGTTCTATCAGGAAATTTCTCCTTAGTTCTCACCACCAGTCTGCACGTTATTTTGTCAATGCCAATGGGATTGACATTGCTAACATCAACTTAAGGATTTATTTATAGATAAGAGATGTGATATGGGAAAAGAGATTATTTGTTGTATTTTAAGAAATAGTGATAAGTTAATAAAATTGTTATAGATGTGATGAAGGGGGAAGTAATTTTTATATATTTCTCTTAATATATTCTTATTTTTCCTTTCTTTCTATTTTTTTTCCTTTTCTGCACCTTCTAGTTTTTCTTTTTATTATATTAGTTTTTTCAGTTTGTATTAGTCTTTACTGTTGTAATTATAATTCTTAATATAATTACTATAAAAAATGAAACTGAGAAAACAATATAATGAATTGATACGGTATATGCCACATAATTCAATATTGTGTTTCTCTCTTTTTCTTCCATAGCGTCTTGTCTCTATGAATATGCCATTGAATAGTGATGGAACTGTTATGTTTAATGCAACTTTATTTGCATTGGTAAGAACAGCACTGAGAATCAAAACAGAAGGTAAGAAGATACTTAATATGCAGCAGAAATACATGGGATTATTGATAAATTTCTTACAGCATATGTGTTATCATGCCATAAAATCATAGAAACATATATTTGGGAGGGGCAAACTACCTGCTCAGTGACAAATCCAAATTAAACTATCCCTGAAAATGTGAATAGTGGTCATTAACCAAGGATTATCTGTAAGTGTTTTCAACAAAAAGTCAAGACAAAGATGTTCAAACAATGTGGCAATTTTCAGTGAGCTGTTCTGCTTATAACCTAATTTCTCATTCTTTTTTACATTTTCTTTTCTGTTATAATAATTAATGTAATAGTATAGTTATAGCTTTTCTACACGTTTTCTCTTTTATTTGATATAAAATGTATTTTTTTAAAAAATATTTGCAAACAAACTAATTTTTAACATTCTGTAAATTAAATCAAGGTGGAACATTAAACTGAACAGTCTGATCTTGAAAAATTAAGTTTGCATTTTAAATTTAAAATATAGAATTCTCCATGTATATTTAATATTTAGCCTATAATATTCTAAATATAATTTATTGTTCAGACCAGAAATGCTGAATTCATTCATACCTTAAATTCTCTTGTGATATCTAAGATTTCCTGAGAGTATTCTCAAATATTGTCCATATAACAATAAGCAAAATTTTATTCTCACTATCCAATTCTTATTCTTCTCTAAATCACTTAGAGCCTGGATTTGTATATTATCCAAAATATCTTTTATATTTTTATAATTTAGTGATGGAATTAATAAAGCCTACATGGACTTTTCAATCTATAATGCATGGATAGATAGTCTGTCACCAGTAGTTGGTTCCTTTCCTGTCTTTTATCAATTTATTTGAGAAGCCAAGAGTAATGGCGGCCTATGAGCGATACAATGATATCACCAATATGATAACGTGACTTCTAAGGTCCCTTCCAGCTTTATTGTTGTTGTTGTTGTTGTTGGATTTTCCTCTTACGGGTGTTTTCAATTTATTCAATTGACAAAATGTGCCTACCTAACTTGATTTCTCACCAAAATGACTGAAAAGTCCCCCATCATTATTTGATGGTTTGTGATATTGAGGAACTTCAGGATCTGCATAAACGAAGCCCAAAAGCTGCTAATTCTTCCCATAATGTTTATATAAGTGATCCTTGACTTAGGACCACAACTGAGGACAAAATTTCTGTTATTAAGTAAGACAATTGCCACAGTTGTTAAGTGAATCACTGCAGTTGTTAGTAACATGGTTGTTAAATAAATCTGGTTTCTCCATTGACTTTGCTTGTCAGAAAGTCACATCAGGTGATCACATGACCCCAGGACATTGCAACTATCATAAATATGAGTCAGTTGCCAAGAGTCTGAATTTTGATCACTTGACCATGGGGATGCTGCAACGATTGTGTGAAAAATGGTCATAAGTCATTTTTTTCAGTGGCATAACTTTGAACTGTCACCAAACAAACTGTTATGTCAAGAACTACCTGTACTTTGAACAGTTTTACTGGCATTTGTGTTCGTTATTTCAATTGTTAACTACACAAAAACATACATAAATTAACCCAGAGTCAATCACTCAAAATCTTATGTATTTATTGAGGGTATATCCTGCTGTAATCCAAAACAACTCTGAGCAGCTTACAACTCCAGAACAGTAAAACCAGTAAAAAAAAAAAAGTATGTTAGCCATACAATCAGCAGGAGATAATGCACAATCTCTTCTCAAAAGGAACAGATATATATTCATATCCAAATTAATTTCTGTTCATAACACCTTTTTCTGTGTCTCACAGAGCTTAATTAACTTTTCCTGAGGCAGGCTTTCATTTCCATATTAACATATAGAAAATGCAAACAGTTTCAGGTCTGAATTGATCTCATACTTTAAATTTATCACACTATTGTCTTCCAAGTGTTGTATTGCAGTATCATAAAGCTAAGGTTATAATATAGAAGACTATTGCTAGATATTTGATGAATTAACAGTTACTTGAGTAGGTGCAATATGAATTATGATCCACTCAGATTTCATATATAGATACAACTTTGTCACCTGAAATAGCCTCTGACAACTAGCTGTAGAGAAACCTTTTTAAAATATTTTTTTAAAAAAAACGCAACTAGTTCCTAAAATATTTCTGCTACTCATGAAACTTTCTTTAGTTCAAGGGAATCTTTACATTTTTATTTCCCTAAATACCATTCTATCTATTTAGGATCATTAAGTCTGGCTTCAGCCTCAAAAAAAAAAAACATCTAGCACTATGTTTCACAGGTCAAATTAGGCCAAAAGACAGATGTTGTCATTTTTTTTTCATTTAATAGTGATTAAAAATCGTATTATAAGATGGCCTCTTATTTTTACATAGTTCTCTTTTTATCCATGGACCAGATAAAAGTACTGCTCCATACAAGAACTGATTTTTTTTTTACTAATATTTCTTCTTATAGGTAACTTGGAACAAGCCAATGAGGAGCTGCGTGCAATCATTAAAAAAATCTGGAAACGCACTAGCATGAAGCTGTTGGATCAGGTTGTACCCCCAGCAGGTGGTGAGTCCATCTTTCTTTCAATACTCTGTTTACTTGAACAATGAGCCCTATCCAACAAAATGAGTTTCAATGTGGAGAAAAGCAAAATCTTCTGTCTAGGCAGAAAAACCCAAAGGTACAATACAGATTGGGTGAGACCTGGCTTAAAAACAATAACTGTGAGAGGGTCCTTAGAGTCCTAGTGGACGATCACTTGACTATGAGCCAGCACTGTGCAGCAGCAACCAAAAAAGCTAATATAATCCTGGGTTGTATAAACAGAGGCATGGAATCAAGATCACGCAAAGTATTAGTACCGCTTTATAAAACCCTAGTAAGACCACACCCGGAATACTGCAGCCAATTTTGGTCACCATATCACAAAAAAGATGTTGAGAGTTTGGAAAATATTCAGAGAAGATGATCAAAGACCTGGAGACTAAAACATACGAAGAATGGCTCTTGGGTTTGGCTAGTCTAAAGGGGAGACATGATAGCAGTATTCCAGTATCTGAGGGGCTGCCTTAAGGGACCAGGTTGTTCACCAAAGCACCAGAGGGAAGGACGAGAAACAATGGTTAGAAACTGATCAAAGAGAGAAGCAACCTGGAATTAAGGAGAAGCTTCCTGACAGTGAGGACAATCAACCAGTGGAACAGCTTACCCCCAGAAATCGTGGGTGCTCCATCACTGGAGATCTTTAAGAAGAGGCTAGACATTCACCTGTCTGAGATGGTATAGGTTCTCCTGCTTGAGCAGGGGGCTGGACTGGAAGAGCTCCAAGGTACCTTCCAGCTCTATTCTATTCTATTCTGTTCTGTTCTATTATTCCATTCCATTCCATTCTATTCTATTCTAACCAATCTGCAAAACACTGTGATTTCTGAATAAAGGCTGGGAGATTATTTTTTTAAAACAGTAGGCATTAATATCATTAACTAATAGTTTGTTGGTAAATTATAAAAACAAATAAACTATCAGCTGTTTTTAGCTTTTTATTTGATTTTTTTCAAAAACATTTGCCATCTAGATGATGAAGTTACAGTTGGAAAATTCTATGCCACGTTCCTGATTCAAGAATATTTCCGAAAATTCAAAAAACGCAAAGAACAGGGTCTCGTGGGCAAACCTTCACAACGTAATGCTCTTTCTCTACAGGTAAGTAATGATTACTTAGCATGAGATTTACAGAAAAGAAAGCCAAAAGTGGATCTTCTGTATATTGCTTATCATTATGACATTGATAGAAACTTAGCCCAGCAGTTTCATTATCCTTCCTATCAAAGATCTACTCCAGAAACTGAGAAACATCTCTTGAAAAATATGAATGTAATTAGTTTTGATGTTACAAACCCAGCCGAATTTTAAAAGCATTTTCATTTAATCTAATAAATTGGGTATACTAGTTATCATTAACATACCTTTTTAGTTATTAGAATTAATTATAAATAGGGCCCTTTTAATTAAATTTGTATTTTCATATGTAAGAACCACTGGTTGGAAATAAGATATCTTGATAAGAAATATATTTACTTCTAGATTAATATACTTGAATCAAATATTTAGAGCATAATTATGAGAAAGTAAAGTTATGAGGTTATTCTATTATCAAACAGCATCTCAAGGATCCATCATATATATCCTTCAAAAATTCTAATGAAATTTAGGAAATGTTTATGAAGGCATTCATTGTAATTTTCATCATGTTTTCCCTAAACTTCAGACTAGACCAAGTAACTTCACTACATATGGGAACAATTTATAAGTTACATTCTTTGTAACATCCATTGTCACAGATGGATTGAAAGTGATACTCTTTTTTCTGAACTGCTTTTTTCATATTTCAGATACAGGAAAACTATTATTGCAAAACTCTACAAAAAGATTTTTGTCAATTTAGAATTGTAGAATGAATCATCTGATAGGAAAATAGCATTCAGCACAAATATGTTTATGACTTGTGCTCAAAATCGCCAGCACTACAACATCCAAATTACATTGAGATTTAGTAGGTGTTAAGAGCCAATGTCAATAAATACTGTATTTTAAGGTCAGTTTTATTTCTTTTATCTACCAGTATGCTAAACCATAATATTTTCTAGGCTGGTCTACGCACATTACATGATATTGGACCAGAGATTCGAAGGGCAATATCTGGAGACTTGACAGCAGAAGAGGAATTAGACAAGGCTATGAAAGAAGCTGTTTCTGCTGCTTCTGAAGATGATATTTTCAGGGTACGTGCTTTCACCATGAAGATGCAATCTGGTGTGCAGCAGAATGATCCAAAGATATTCAGTCAGATTCATGAAGCATATGCAGTACAGGACGAACAGAGAAAACTATAACTAAGAATAATAAAAACCAGATATCTTAAAAAGGCATTTCAAATTTATACTATAACATCATCTGTGTTTTTAGTCAGTATCTACTTCTTACGAGAAATCAAAGATTACAGAATCAATAGACAGGATTGGCAGAAGTAGTACATAGACCCCAGATTTAAAAGACTTATGCCCCCTTCTTAGCTGAATGCAATTAATACAACTCAAAACTAAAATTCTTTCTATCACTACTGTTAACCACTACTACTTTCCACTACTACTGTTATATTTCTACATTCCCAACATGTTAAAGCAGAGATTTACTTGTTATATTATGAAATTACAAGTATGTATACACATAAACATTCACCAATACACAGACACAGATTTCATTCATCTCTCTCCCTTGCCTTCCTCTTCCTCTGCAGCTTTGGAGAACAAAACAATAACTTAAAGGAATCTATTGTAGAAATCAAGTAACTCTAAAGTAGTTTCTGCTTAGCTCAGTTTCACCTCAATGAAGGATTCCTGGGAACGTAGCTCAGGATTGCTGAGTACCCACTGTTAATTTAGGAATATGTATGCCAGAGATGGAGGATATGAGGGATTTCTATTCTATTCCTGATAGACAGAAGCATCCTGACTACATTTCATTGCTGTGCAATAGGAAAAGTAAGAGCCATATATTTATTTGCAAGTACTGCTCCAAAAAAGGATCCTATTAAATGGATTGCTAATGCACACAACAGGATATGCTATTATAGCATATTCAGCAACCACTTGTTCAATGACTATTTAATGTTACAACAGCAATGAACAGGGAAACTTATGACTGCTCCTCATAGTTGCAACTATTGCAGCATGATTGCAATTTGGGCACTTGGTGATCAACTTGCAATTATGATGGGTCCAGCTTTCCGCTATCACCAGATCACTATTTGTGACCTGCATTGCTGGTTTCCAACAAGCAAAGTCAATAGGGGAAGCCAGCAGGAGTCACAAATATCAGTCACGTGTTGTTGCGCCTAATGACCATGTGGGATTTGCCTAACAAGAGCAACTGGAACAGCCACAACTACCATTGTAGATCAGCCGAAGTGTGTTATATTTGCCTTACAACCTCCTGTAGGACCTTACTACCTCTGTACTGGAGCTTTTATTCATTCATTAATATGCTTCTGTTTTGCTTTCAGAGAGCTGGTGGCTTATTTGGAAATCATGTCAGCTATTACCAAAGTGATGGCAGAAGCTCATTCCCTCAGACATTCACTACTCAGCGCCCTTTGCACATCAACAAATCTAGCAACAACCAAGGAGACACTGAATCCCCATCCCATGAGAAGCTTGTCGATTCCACCTTCACTCCAAGTAGTTACTCCTCATCAGGTTCCAATGCTAACATCAATAATGCCAATAATACTGCCTTGAACCGCTTTTACAATCCACCAAGCTATCCCAACACCGTCAGCACCGTGGACAGCTACAGCACCCCTTCCTCCACCACTGTACGGATCCAGGAAATTCCTTGGAAGTTCAGTTGCAGAAGGTAAAGATTGTTGACAGCAGCAATATTTCTATCGTTTGCCAGTTTAATAGATCATTATAATTGTACATGGAACGTCAGAGAAATATATAATAATATAACAGAAATTTGAGACATTATGTGTATGTATTTTCAAAACAAATTGACATTTTTTTGAAAATATATATGTCTCAAATGTATATATATAAATATAATTTATATTTATATATATTATACACACACACACATCCTCCCTGCCAGAAGATGATGAAAATGGCTATTCCATACATTTCAAAATATAATTAATTTTAAGTTGTTATATATTTTAAAATAAACAGAAAATAAATTATTGTATTAAATTTTAATAAAGAATTAGGAGTAAGTACATCATCAAAAATGTGCTGCAATGTAATGGTTGGAAAAATGAATAGAGACAGTATTTAGTCCTAATCTATCAGGTTTAGCCCTGATTCCTTTCCATCTGCTCCTTTGTAAATAAGACTATTGGATTATTTTATTTATTTGTATCCCACTTTCATTATTTTTACAAATAATTCAAGGCGGCAAACATATCCAACACACCCTCCTCCTATTTTTCCCACAACAACCCTGTGAGGTAAGTAGGCCTGAGAGAGAATGATTACTGTAAAGTCTACCAGCAAGCTTTCATGGCTAAAGTGGAAGTCAGTTTCTTGCTTTCTAGCCTTAACCACTTGACTAGACCAAAGTGGCTATTTGAAGTATATATGAGTCCTCTGGATGGTCCAAACACATTACGAAATAATGTTTTATTATTTGTCATTATTTGAGAAATTTTAAAATAAAATCACCATATAAGAACAGAACCCAAGAATGTAAGTTGAGATACTCAAGGAAACTATCCTAATGGCTTCTCAGTATTCATTTACTTATCTACTTAGTAGGTTCCCAGTTTCTCCAGTTGCAAAAACAACTCTGAATGGACTACCTGTAAAGGGAATTCCAAGGCTCAAACTTCTATTAGTTCTTCCTCATTTGGGCCAGAAAGTTAATGTCTGTTACATAATTAATATTACAGCTTCATAATCTAAGCAGAGCTCTGATAGATGTCAATCTTAATACAGAACTGTTTCTAATAAAGGCTAACCAATTGGCTCTACAAAAATTCAGAAGCATAGGAAAGAAGTTATTAACACATGTTCACTGATTATTGGCAGGATTATTGCCCTTGATTATTGAACATTTATGGATAAAAGTTATCACAAATTTTCCTAAGAATTGTTTAAGGATATCTGTTGCAAATGGCAGCCAACAAGTCCATATACTAGGCAGGTACGGACATAGAATCCTCATCCACAGATGAGGTCTCATCTAGAGAACTAGATTACTCCAGATTCGCCAACTGAAGCTCTAAACCTGAGATGTGAAAAGCATGGGGCTAATTGATTAAAATTGGGAATCCCAGGAAAATGGGAAACCCAGGAAGATTGAAACAGAAAATGTATTTGAAAAATAGATAGATGTTCCAGCCAGAAATTCTGATTTTTTTTCTCTGTGATGCTTTTTTTTAAAAATTTCTTTGTGCAACCTAGTGAAGTGTGTCCAATTATCCGTTCATCGGGGTAAGCATGGAGATAACGTGTTTATAATCCAAATTGAAATTTCTGCAGTATCAAAATTCGGCAGGAAAAAACCTGTTTCTATTTAAAGCAGACAAGCATTATCTAGCATTTTCTTTGCTTCGTAAACTTGTCATGTTGCATTTTGCATGCTATTTTTTTTATTTTGGCAGGATTTTTTCCTTTATCTAGGAAATCTATTTTACTCCTGTCAAATTGATTTTCTCCTATAGGTGAGGGGGGGCAGGAAAGACTTGTACTCTTCTTCATCTCAACTCAACACAGCCAGGAGTTTTGGACTATTTAAATTATTTCTATCTTGGTAGCTTTGGTGATGGATTCTAGAGTTATCAAACTACCACCCCAAAAGCAGTAGGTGGACCAGGATATGATGATCCAGAGTACTCCTGGAAGAGAGGTTGTACCCTAGGGGCAGTAGTTTTTGTTAGTTAATTCTGTGAGATAATGCAAGAAAAGTACTTTATTTATTCTAAATTAACCATCCATTGCGAGGTCTTTGTGCCTATAAGTTCTTTTAAAATATTCAATATAAAGAGACAAATATTGAGATATTTGCAAATATTTCCCCTTTAGATACTCAGTGAGGATGACAGATGACCCTGTTTTCTGGGAAACAAAATACAGGGATTGATTGACCCTGTCTCTATATTATTGATATGTTGCCCGTGGGTTGCATTATGGTACTTCTTATGGCCTCTTAACTGTACTCAAATGTTTTTTGCTTGGTTTTTATTTGGTATACTGCCACCTAGAGTCATGATTATACGTCAGATAGCTACATACATTTAATCAATAAAAAAAATAATTATCACTGGAATGCTGTTATATGAGTTGACAGTCTTTTTACAGCAGTGGCAGGGATCAATTTGCTCTTCCTGTGCTGTTTCCTGAATCACAGTTGCACTTACAACTAGCTTGTTTTTTTTAAAAAAAATAGCAAAAAAAAAATAGATACATGGAAAGCATTAATCATCTGTCCCTCTGATTTATTCCTAAACTCAGAATAAAACAGTGGCAGTTATTTCAGTTAATTCACAGTAATGCACTTGAATCACCAAATACCAATGAGAGGATAGTAATGGCAAAATAAGTGCTTTAAGAAAATGTGTATGTAGGTTTGCTGAAAGCAAAGCAATTTAAAAGCTACACTCCCAACAAGATAAAATGCAATCAAATACATGAGCCCTGAGCAATACTAACAGACCATTTGAGCATTGATGTAGGTTTCAGATTTGTTTCTTCAAAAATCTTTATTATTACTCTGTTTCAGAAGTATGGACAAGCATCGTGAACAGGAAATCTAAGGCAGATGCTTCATATCTTGCTTCCCCATTTCCAAATTAATTTCCACACAGGAGATCTATATCTCATTTGCCAGACCAATTCAATTTGGCAGGGTTGGCACATCCTGGGTTCCAAATAATGCTATCTGGAATAAAGTTCACCTTAAAATTTGAATGGTTCCCACTGTGTTAGTATTTTAAAGAATCTTAAAGAGAAGACTAACACTCCTTTCTTCCTTTTTGTTCTCTTCTAGGTTTATTTGCCATTTTGTTCTTTTGTCTTGTGCTGTTTTTATGTTTTCACACTGTTCTTTGTTTTTAAATGCTTTAACAATTATAAACTGCCCAGAGTCATTGGGAGTCAGATAGTATATACATTTAATATATTATGGTTTGTTGCAAAGCAGCCAGATGTTCAGACTAGATTTGGCATTTTTATCCACCTAGCAAGTCCTTTCCAAGGACTTGGGATAGGCAGATAAGTTTTCTTATAAGTTAATTTTGCCAGGAGCTGTTTAAAAATAATGCAACAGAATCAGTGTTTCCACTGCAGAATTGCTAGATTTTCTTCAGTAACCATAAATCATTCTGATTGTTTTGCTTATTAGATCCTATTCCAGAGACAGCCAAGTAGCAATTGTTAGTGAAGAGGAAGCTCCTCAGGAGGATGAAACATATAGTGAGCAATTAAATGAAGAATCTGAATATTGTAGTGAACCAAATTTGTTATCACCTGAAATGTGAGTATTGGATTGCAGTATACAAGTTGTTTTGGAATTTTTAGGAATGAAATCACAAAATTCAGTCTTGCCTTTCCAATAGTTCCAGATTAGAAATACATTAATAGTTTTTCCATATATTTATACCATAGTTTAAATTGTCATTTGCTGTTTCAGATAATAGAATATACAAAGATAGGGGGGAAGAGGGAACAAGCATCTATAGTATTTGTAAGGGGGGAAGAGGGAACAAGCATCTATAGTATTTGTAGGCAAATCATGTTATCTGAATTAACTCAATAACTTAGTGCTGTAGTATGAAAATAAATAAGTAAGTCATAAATCTAGGCATATGTACCGTATATTCCGGCGTATAGGGCGACCCGGTGTATAAGACGACCGAGTTCGACACCGGGTCACAAGACGATCGATGCCGAGTCGCAAGATGATCGACGCCAAGTCGCATGCCTAGAAAGTCATCTTATACGCCGGAAACTACCGGTATTTCCAGCATATAAGACGATCGACGCCAAGTCGCATGCCTAGAAAGTCATCTTATACGCCGGAAACTACGTTATTTCTGGCATATAAGACGATCGACGCCGAGTCGCATGCCTAGAAAATCGTCTTATACGCCAGAAACTACCTTATTTCCGGCATATAAGACGACTCGGCGTATAAGACGACCCCCAAGTTCAGAGGCTGTTTCAATGATCTCAAAAGTCATCTTATATGCCGGAATATACGGTATATCATACCCATAAAGGAATTATTTCTGGATTTTACCACTAGCTAGCTCCCAGATTACAGTTCTCCATAGTGAGAAGAATCTGATACTTGGAGTCAATTGCTGGAGGTTATAAAAACCTGCTCCCACATACCAATATATTCCTAATTTTTGGATGAATTACCAATGTATTCCTAACTATACTATTGTGCATATAATTAGTATGGTAGGCTGTTTAAGGAAGAAATATGGTTGAAAACTAAGGTATAAAGAAACTCATTCTAAAACATCATTCTCAAACATTTCATCATTCCATTATAGAATGAGTAACAGCTTGCTATTTGGAACAGAACTGAGAGGCAAAATCTGCAGATTTGGGGATTAGACCACTAACCCTACATTATATAGTTTGACATTAACCTAATTAAATCTGATAGAGGAGGCTATGTTCCTCTTTAAGAACTGTGCAACATGTTGGCTAATTCGTATATTTTGGAAAAAACATGGCATTTTCAATTACAGGTTATCGTACCAAGATGATGAACACAGACAGCTAACTCTCCCAGAAAGCAAAGAAGACGTCCAGCCATCTCCAAAGATTGGATTTCTACATTCCTCATCACTAAGTAATACTGTTGACATTTTAAAAATTGTGCAATCTATTAAAAATATATCATTTGTTGAAAACATGAAATAGACTACACAACTGATACATATTTTCATGGCTTTTAGTTATTAGCTGCCAGAATGTTGGAATATACTGAGATTCTGTCAATTTATCCAGGAGCAAAAACATTTTTCAACTGCTTGAGAATTACTATTGAATTAAAACTTGCAATTCAAATAGGATAATCCTTGTTTTCACAAATATCAAATGAGCAAATCTTGTATCTTCACTGCATATCGTCAAACTATAATTAGAGACATATATGTTAGAGGGAAATCCTGTAAAATGAGAGTTCCTATCTAGATTATTTTCTTGATATTCACGTGTGCAGATATAGATATTTTTAAAAGGAAATTGTAAAATGGTCTGAAATATAAATTTCTAGTTATAGTCCAGATTTATTATCTCAGTGACCAATAGATCATATAAATACATACAATGTTTAATTAAGAATTGTGTAAACACAAATTGTGTGTTTATCAGTTTAACATAAAAGCCCATTAGCTGAGTGGAATTATTAAATCTTTTCTACGCCAGTGATTTTCTCTTAAAAGTGCCATATCCCCCACACACACACACACAAACAGAAAACAATTTTGCCTCCACTCACATTTATTTAACAGAATTGGGCTAAAAAAATATAAACAGGAGCTTCATTGCAGAACATACTCTTCTAGCTGACAAGTCCTTACTACAAGTAACAGAGTCCTATCAGTGATACAAGGGAAGTGTGATACTTCAACATATGATCATAATTGAGCCCGGGATTATAGTCATAAATCATGCTGGTTGTTAAGTGGGTCACCATGTGATGGCACACCAATTTTACAATATTTTTGCAGGGGTCATTAAGCAAACACTGTGGTTATTAAACAAACTCCATGGACATTAAGCAAAACCATGGTACCCAGTGGGCATTTTTTTCCCAGCAACTAGAAGTAAATGCTAGTTTCAGTCACAAGACGCAGGGCACTGCAAACAGCTATAAATGAAGGGTAGTTGTCAAGCATCCAAAATGCAATCAGATGACCGTGGGGGGAGGCAGCCATCAGAACTTCGAAATTGTATAATAGCTCTGGGGAGGTCCATTGTAATTTCAAACAGTCGCTTAAGTGACTAGTCATAAGTCAAGGGCTACCTATATTTGATACCTGTGTCTGCTTCATAGGCTAATGCTCTCCTTTCAATGATTATGCAATTGGATTAATCTATTTTCATACTGTGTAATTGGCTTTCTAGATCGAAGAGCATCCTTTCATCTGGAGTGTCTAAAGAGACAGAAAAATCAGACTGCAGGTGTCCCCCAGAAAACAACATTACCTTTGCATCTATTACATCGTCAGGTGAGTATTTGCATCTAGAAACAGCTATCCTTTGAATCATATTGCATTTAAAAAATAAGGTACACAATCTGATCTTTTGATCATAAATGGTATGGTTAATTTTCTAATCTGAATCTATGTATTTAATAAGATATATGTATCTAATGACCAATGTATACATTTAATAAAAAGGTTATTAGTGAAAGTAAAACCAAATTAATATTACAAATAATAAGCTATCTGCTTAAAATATCACTACAGAATTCTGTTCCACAGAATTGGAAAAGTAATTGAAGATTGCTTAGAGGGTAAGATTGTTATATTAGATAACTTACTGACTTTCCTAAAGCAAACTCCCAACAGCACAAGAGTTATCAAAAATTAAACAAACAAATTATTATGGTATCAACTGCATGTGATGAAATGGAGTATAGCCACCACTAACACCCATGCCATAATATATTTGTTCCTGGATAAAGTATTATAAGAGTCTTTAAGGTGTCATTTTTAATTGAATCATCCAATTGGAAGACTGAGATGTTTTCAGAGACAAAGATTACTATAGCTCATGAAGAAAAATATAAACACAGTTTATATTTTTCTTCATGAGCTATAATAAAGTATAGCTGGGGTTTTGCACAGTGAAAAGAAAAAAAGAAAAAGCCCGCTTTTGAACTGATAATTTTCTCTTCCAGCTACCAGATCTGATAACACAGTATTTTAACAGTTTAATACAATCTTTCCCAGATTTTATAGATTGACCTTCCGTGTAGCAGATTCATGAGTGACACAAGAAGGAATGTTATTAACAATGTCCAGGGGAATGCTTCATCTATTCTTTTTTATATAGCTAAAGATAGATGTCGGATCCTAGCAGCCATCAAAGTTTTTTGAGGCTAAACTCCAGCCAACTACTATATAGCTCCATTAACACAGCACTATGATTTCAAGCAGGTCTGATCAGAGTTGAAGCCAAAGTTTGATTTTTATTAGTCAACCACTGATTTAAACTAAATACCTTCCCCCTTTATGGATTACTGCCTTGTCGTGGCGAAGGGGCTTGCATAACTCAATGAAGCTATAAGCTATGCCGTGCAGGTCCACCCAAGATGGACAGGTTATAGCAGAGAGTTCTGACAAAATGTGATCCACTGGAGAAGGAAATGGCAAACCACTCCAGTATCTTTGCCATGAAAACCCCATGGACAGTACTAAAAGGCAAAAAGATATGACGCTGGAAGATGAGCCCCTCAGGTCGGAAGGTGTCCAATATGCTACTGGGGAAGAACAGAGGGCTAGTACTAGTAGCGCCAGAAAGAATAAAGCGACTGGGCCAAAGCCGAAAGGACGCTCAGCTGTGAAAGGAAAGTCCGATGCTTAAAGATTTTTTCTCCATAGGAATCTGGAATGTAAGATCCATGAATGTAAGATCCATGAATCAAGGCAAGCTAGACGTAGTCAAAAAAGAGATGACAAGACTGAACATCGACATCTTAGGAATCAGCAAACTAAAATGGACAGGAATGGGTGAATTTAACTCAGATGACCATCAGGTATACTACTGTGGACAAGAATCCCTCAGAAGAAATGGAGTAGCCTTCACAGTCAATAAAAGAATAGGAAAAGCAATACTGGGATACAATCCCCAAAATGACAGAATGATCTCAATTCGAATCCAAGGCAAACCATTCAATATCACAATAGTCCAAATCTATGCCCCAACCACTGGTGCTGAAGAGGATGAAATTGACCAGTTCTGTGAAGCCCTATAGCACCTTATAGAATTAACACCAAAAAATGATGTCCTTATCATCATGGGAGATTGGAATGCTAAAGTAGGAAACCAAAAGATAACCGGAATAACAGGCAAGTTTGGCCTTGGAGTACAAAATGAAGCAGGGCACAGGCTAATAGAATTTTGTCAAGAGAATACGATGGTCATAACAAACACTCTTTTCCAACAACCCAAGAGACGGCTCTACACATGGACATCACCAGACGGTCAACATAGAAATCAGATTGACTATGTGCTCTGCAGCCAAAGATGGAGAAGCTCTATACAGTCAGTAAAAACAAGACCAGGAGCTGACTGTGGCTCAGATCATGAGCTTCTCGTTGCAAAATTTAGGCTTAAATTGAAAAAAGTAGGGAAAAGCACTAGGCCACTCAGGTATGAACTAAATCATATTCCTGATGAATATACAGTAGAGGTGACAAATAGATTTAAGGAATTAGATCTGATAGACAGAGTGCCTGAAGAACTATGGATGGAAGTTCGCAACATTGTACAAGAGGTAGCAACTAAAACCATCCCAAAGAAAAAGAAATGCAAGAAAGCAAAATGGCTGTCTGAGGAAGCTTTGCAAATAGCTGAGGAAAGAAGGGAAGCGAAAGGCAAAGGAGAAAGAGAAAGATACACCCAATTGAATGCAGAATTCCAGAGAGTAGCTAGAAGAGATAAGAATGCCTTCTTAAATGAACAGTGCAAAGAAATAGAAGAAAACAACAGAATAGGGAGGACCAGAGATCTCTTCAAGAAAATTGGAGATATGAAGGGAACGTTTCATGCAAAGATGGGCATGATAAAGGACCAAAATGGCAGAGACCTAACAGAGGCAGAAGAGATTAAGAAGAGATGGCAAAACTACACAGAAGAACTATACAAGAATGAGCTTAACATCCCAGATAACCACAATGAGATGGTCACTGACCTCGAACCAGACATCCTAGAATGTGAAGTGAAATGGGCCTTAGAAAATCTGAGCAACAACAAAGCTAGTGGAGGTGACAATATTCCAGCTGAGCTATTCAAAATCTTAAAAGACGATGCAGTAAAAGTGCTACACTCAATTTACCAGCAAATTTGGAAAACTCAACAGTGGCCACAGGATTGGAAAAGGTCAGTTTACATTCCAATTCCAAAGAAAGGCAATGCCAAAGAAAGTTCAAACTATCGCACCATTGCACTCATTTCACATGCTAGTAAAGTTATGCTTAAAATCCTACAAGCTAGACTCCAGCAGTATGTGGATCGAGAACTACCAGAAGTACAGGCATGATTTCGAAGAGGCAGAGGAACTAGAGATCAAATTGCCAACATACGCTGGATCATGGAGAAAGCTAAGGAGTTCCAGAAAAACATCTACTTCTGCTTCATTGACTATGCAAAAGCCTTTGATTGTGTGGATCACAACAAATTGTGGCAAGTTCTTAAAGAGATGAGAGTACCAGACCATCTCATTTGTCTCCTGAGAAACCTATATGCGGGTCAAGAAGCAACAGTGAAAACCGAACACGGAACCACTGATTGGTTCAAAATTGGAAAGGAGTCCGGCAAGGCTGTATACTGTCACCCTGCCTATTTAACTTATATGCAGAGCACATCATGAGAAAGGCAGGGCTAGATGAATCAAAAGTTGGAATTAAGATTGCCGGGAGAAATAGCAACAACCTAAGATATGCAATGATACCACTCTAATGGCAGAAAGTGAAGAGGAACTAAAGAGCCTCTTGATGCGGATGAAGAAGGAGAGTGCAAAAGTAGGCTTGAAACTGAACATTAAGAAAACCAAAATCATGGCATCCAGCCCTCTCAATTCCTGGCAAATAGATGGGGAAGAAATGGAGGTAGTGACAGATTTTATTTTTCTGGGCTCCAAGATCACCTCAGATGGGGACTGCAGCCAAGAAATTAAAAGACACTTGCTCCTGGGGAGGAAAGCTATGGCAAATCTAGACAGCATTCTAAAAAGCAGAGACATCACCCTGCCAACAAAAGTGCTTATAGTCCAGGCCATGGTTTTCCCAGTTGCAATGTATGGCTGTGAAAGTTGGACCATAAGAAAGGCTGAGCGCCAAAGAATTGAGGCCTTTGAATTATGGTGCTGGAGAAGACTCCTGCGAGTCCCTTGGACTGCAAGACGTTCAAACCGGTCAGTCCTAGAAGAGATCAACCCCGACTGCTCTTTAGAAGGCCAGATCCTGAAGTTGAAACTCAAATACTTTGGCCACCTAATGAGAAGGAAGGACTCACTGGAGAAGGGCCTATGCTGGGAAAGATTGAGGGCAATAGAAGAAGGGGACGACAGAGAATGAGATGGCTGGATGGAGTCACTGAAGCAGTAGGTGTGAACTTAAATGGACTCCAGAAGATGGTAGAGGACAGGAAGACCTGGAGGAACGTTGTCCATGGGGTCGCGATGGGTCGGACACGACTTCGCAATTAATAATAACAACCTTCCAATGAGTTTTTCACTTCTCACATTAATAGATAATAATTATTGATACAGAAATACATTTAATATGGCTTAATTTTTACTCAATGCAAGTAACAATTCAGCTGTCATGTTACATGGGCAAATTTTGTGCTGCAATTTTCACTCTGACATGATTTTATTTTATATTGGCCAAAGAGTGTAATAAAATCATGGAATTGGAGAATTTAAAATAGAGCATGATGTTACAATGTCTTAAAACAATATAATGAGAAATCTCTGTTATAATAATCTGTCATAAAAATCACGGTGACTAGCTACATATCATGTAGAGGTGCTAGTTTACACAAACACAGCTTCCCAGCAAGCACACTAGTTTCAAATGAATGGCACTCTTCTCTATTCAGAAAAAAATGATAGAATCACTCCCATATACAAAGTATACGTAAATTATCTTAAAATCCATTAAACTGTCCATTAAATTCTAAATGGTATTACGGTATGTACAAAATAATCAGAGCCATGTATTAACCTTGTTCAATTAAAAAGTTTCAAGTTACAAACAGGTGAAGAGCAGACATTCATTCATTTTTTGTTAAAGTTACTTTTTGATCTATGTTCTAGTTTTCTATAAGATTGAGGACATTGTCAATATGAAATATAGAACAGCAGGTTAAAGGAATATCATTTTCCAACTACAGCCAGCTCCAAGTTAAGCTAAACTTTTTTCAAAAATATTTGGTTCATTTTCCCCCATGTTCTGAAACACAATGTTGCTGACATACTAATTTATCATGTTTTCTGTCTACAGGCACTATCAGTTGGAGGTCAGAGTCCTCTTCAAAGTAGTCATTCATCAATTAGATCTTCTCGACCCTGTTCCACATCATCTGCAACACATTGTACACAAGACTGGCCACAGCAACATGATAAAGGGTTGTGGCCTGATGAGGAGGCCTCCAATGAGAAACTCAATAATAGCTTCCCATCAATATACTGCAGCTCCTCATATTGTGATAGCACCAGCTCTAGCAGCACCCGAAAAGCCAGGCCAGTCTCCCTTATAGTTCCCAGTCAGACAAGAGAGAGTGGCAGGCAATTCCACGGTAGTGCCAACAGCCTTGTTGAAGCGGTAAGTTGATGTCATAGCTGTAAACATAAGGGTAATTCAAAAATTTGAATTTTTAGATAAGCATTGATTAATAACACAGAGCACGCCAACTCTGCAAGATCAAAGTGGCCAAATAGATAGACTACAGCCATAGTTGGAAGACATACTTCCAATGTATCTGGACAAAACTCATTTAGAAAGGCAAGATTCTTAGTCCCATTCATCAGATAAAACCTTCGGGTTTTATCTGATATATATATATATATACCGTATATGCCGCCGTATTAGGCGACCCGGCGTATAAGACGACCCCCGTCTTTATAGCCGGGCCTCATTCCTAGAACGTCGTCTTATACGCCGGAAACTACCAGTATTTCCGGCGTATAAGACGACTCGGCGTATAAGACGACCCCCGTCTTTGGCGCCGATTACAGCGCTCGCGGAAGTCATCTTATACGCCGGCATTTACGGTATATTCCTAATATCATTAACAATAAATATATGGAAAGGAAAATTTCAGTACAGAGGAGATGCTTGCCGATAGAAATGGGAAGACCAGTCCAAAGTAAATAATTAGATTTAATATATTTTAACTTTGTCAGTTAAAACAAAATCCTCAATACACAGCAGACTAGTTGGATGACAGAACTAGTCAATTAATAACCACACTTTTACTGGAACCAGGTTTCTTGGTGTTACGTTAGTTTACACTGATGACTGTGGAAAAAAATTGATTCTCTTCAGTTCATCTTGTAAAAACTAGAAGAAAAACAAAACATATAACTTCTAACCAACCTAGCAAGTGGAATTCATTTTTAATCATCTCATTCCTCAATAAGCAATTTCTGACCTCATTCCCAGAGGTCCCCACTCTTGAAAGAATTTTTGGAAGAGGAGTAGGCTTCAGAACAAAGGGGGCATAACTGCCAAGATTTTTCACTAATTATTTTTTATCAACTTTATTAAGTTTCAAAGAGAGATAAAACATAGCAGAAAAGTAAAATGGGGGAAAGGGACCAAAAAGGAAAAAAAAATGTTAAAAAGTGACAAGAAAGAGAAATCAAAACAAGAAAAAGTTGTCTTCCAACTTTCTTCACTATAGATTTTATAAACATATAATAAAGCAATATCTTACTCTAGGCTGAAACAAAACACAGAAATCATATAAAATGTGTAAGTTAATCAAAATAACATTAGAATTATATAATGAAATAACCTATTACTTTAGTTTAAATATAAACATAAAAGAATATATAGTACACATATCTAATAATAACAGTAAAAATAGACATTATTTCCATAATCATAATGAATCTAATTATCAAAGCCTAAAATCAAATCTTCTTTTTTATCTTTCTCAAACAAGAAATCCAAAACTGGTCTCCAAATGGAAACAAACTAGATAGGTTTTGTCTTTCATCAAAGTAGTCAGTTTTGCCATCTCTATCAATTCTTCTAATTTCACAATTTCCTCTTCAATTGTGGGAATTTGTGTATCTTTCCACTTTGATATATAAAAGCATCAATGCTATTGCCTCTATTGTCAAATATAGAAACAAAATCCCATGTTTTCTTTCAATGTTTATCCATGATACCTAAAAGAAAAGCTTCAGATTTCAACTGTACAACCATTTTTAATATTTTCTGAATCAAACAATATATCTGATCCCAATATTTTTTCAGTCTTATACGTCCACCAAAGGTGATAAAAGATACCTTCACATTGATTACCTTTCCAGCACTCATTTGATATTCCTTTAAACAATTCCTTTGACAATTTCTCAGAAGTTAAATACCAGCAATATGTCATTTTATAAAAAAAATTACAAATTATACGTTAATAAAATTTCAATCCATTAGTCCACACGTTTTCCCATTGATCAACCATATTATGTCCAAAGTTTTTGCCTATTTAATCATATACACTTTAACTTCATCCTCCTGGTCCATTTTCAATAACTATTTATATAATTTGGCAATGAGAAGTTTGTCATTAGTAGATAATCATTTTCAAAGTCTGTATTTTTATCTACAGAAACAGAATTCTTTTTATCCAGTTTAAATCTTTCTGCCAATTGGGCCTAGGCAAACTAATGACAAATATATCCTTCCTTCTCCAACACTTCTCTTGTTTTTAATCTAGGTTCTCTTTCAGTAACAATCAGTAAATCAGCATAAGTAAACAAAGTTGGTATAATTAAAATTTCTCTTCTAAAAAAGGCTTCCAGGGTTGATGGCCATAAAGAGATTTTAGGACAAAATGTTACTTTATACTATTCCAAACTCTCAATATGGCATGTCTAATAAAATGATTTTTAAAATCTATATTAACCTTTGACATACTACAGATAGCTGTGCCACCCAAATCTCAACTCATGTTTCTCTAACTCCAATAAATCTATTCCCTAAAGTCACCCGTTCCTTCATCCATACCAAACAATATGCTTCAAAATACAGTTTTAAGTCCAGTAGTCCTAATCCATCTTTTTCTTTCACATCTTGCAACAACTTATGTTTAATTATTGATTTCTTACCTTGTCATACAACTCTAGAAATTTCTTTGTACCATTGTTTAAAGGGTAAATCAGTTGCCAATACTGATATAGTTTGAAATAAAAATAACATCCTAAGTAAAACTTTGTCTTAATAACATTCTACCCAACAGTGAGAACTGTAGTTTCTGAATGTCATTCCATATTTTAATTTAGTTATTCTGAAACAACATACAATTCATGTTAGTTAGTATAATCCCTAGTACTTAACCTTATTCTCAATTTTAACACTTGTGTTTTTCATTAAAATATTTTAATCTCTCTCATTATTGTAAAAAATTTATAGTCATTATTCAAGAATGAAATTGGTCTATAAATCTTATTAAAACCAAATCTTGTCCTTCCTTAGTAATAAAACAATATTTGCCTCTTTCTGGGAATCTGGTATGGCACACTTATATATTAAAGTTTTTAGTTGCATCAGTTTTTTTATTTTTATTAAGTACAAAGAAAAAAAAGGATTAAAAACATTGAACATGGTAAATCGTCTTTGACTGACATCACAGTCCATATTGTACATGAATTACATATAATACACCTATATACAACTATACATTTCTAGTCTCTATCGCAGTTTATCTCTTTACTGTGACCTCCATTTTTTTCCCTCCATCTATAAAATTTATTCCATATTTGATAAAATTCTGTTTCTTCCTGATTTTTTAATCTTTTTGTTATCCTATCTAGTTCTGCGCAATACATAATTTTCTTTATTAGTGCTTCCCTACTCAGTACTTCCATTGCTTTCCACTTTTGAGCAAATAGTATCCTTGCTGCTGTGACCACATGGATAATTAAATATGTGTCCTCTTTATTTAGATTTTTCCTTAGTATTCCTAATAGTAATGTCTCCGGTTTGTATTGAATGTTTTGCCTAGTCATTTCTATTGCCCAATTCCAGACCATACGCCAATATACCTGTGCTTCTCTACAAGTCTACCATACATGAAAAAGGTGTCCTTTTCTTTTTTACATTTCCAACACATAGATGAATATCTATTATACATTTTGGCTAATCTGGCCGGAGGGAAATGTTGCATCACTTTTTTTAAGGGGAATTAAAAGTTGTTCCTCAAAACATTTCCAGCATAAACTCAAAAATCTGCTTTCTGTTTTAATTTTCATTATAACTTCTGAGGTTTCAAAGATTGTTATTGGGCTATTCATAATTTGTTTCTGAGCTTGTGTAAGCTTTGGTAAATTCTGTTTCTTCAAATAATTATCCATCTCCTTTCCGATATTTCCAAGACTTCCTGTCTCTTATATAAATTTGAATAATAATGCATTATCTACTACAGTTTTATTACCTTCTTGAATTTTTAGGGTTTTTTTCTTTCTGTTTTCTCAGTTTATAAGCCAACCGTCTTCCTGGTATGTTGGCAAATTCAATTTTTTTTTCTGTTTCAGTAATTTCATTAATTTGGTTTCTATTTCTTGTGCAGTTAATATCTGTAATTGTTGCTATAAAAGTTTGATTTGATATAAAATGGAGGAATCTGTTGGTGTTTCCGTAGTTCATCTTTTCTTTGAATTTTCTCTAGAATAGTTTGCATTTTTCTTGTGATTTTTTAATTTCAGAATTATACTGAATAAAACACCTTGTCATTGCAGCTTTACTAGCATCTCAGGCAATCTTTAATTCTGTGTCTTTGTCAAGGTTGCTATCAAAAACCTCATTTATTTATTTTTTTTACAATTCTCTACTACACAGTATTTTTGAAGTAATGCTTCATTTAATTTCCATCTAAAATGGTAAACTTTGGTATTAATTTAACTGGATTGTGGTCAGAAAAAAGTCTTTGATAAAAAGCCTACTTGGTCTATATATTAGCCAAAGTTTTTGAAATCCATATCAAATCAATTCTGGAAAAAGATTTGTTTTTCTGAAAAAAGTATACTCTCTTGAATTTTCCATTTTTCTGTCTCCAAGAGACTCTACCGATGCCAAATTGTTCATCAAATAAAAAAAATGATAACTTACCCTGATTGGATTTAATTCCCTTACTAGTTGTTCTATCAAACTAGGAAGGGATACGCCATTCCAATGCCCCAATGTATACCAATTCTGGTATGAAGACAATTGATTCACCAAGTATTTAAAAAATATATCTTTATCATCATATAGTACATATAATCCAATACAAATATATTTAATCCCATGCATCTCCACTTCCACAGCCACATATTTAGCATCTGTCAATTAAAGATGTGGGTTCAATTGTAATTTTATATATAAAACAATCTCACTGGGCTTTTTGAATTTGCATATATAAATTCATCTCTTTATTTATTAAGTGTTTTATATCTTTTTTTTCTTTCACTGATTTATTTTATCCTTGCTATAACAGTGATATTAATACTGATATTCATTTTTGTTCCTTGTGTTTGATGTCCTGGATTATAAAAGGTCTTGATTTCGGAAGGACTGATGCAGTTTGCTCAAGATCCAAAGTTCATTGAGGTTACCACCCAAGAACTAGCTGATGCCTGTGACTTGACAATAGAAGAGATGGAGAATGCTGCAGACAACATTCTCAATGGTAACAGCAAACCAAGCCCCAATGGCAACCTCTTGCCTTTTGTTAACTGCAGGGACCCAGGGCAGGACTGTATGGGTGAAGAAGCAGAAGCAGCCCAAAACCCAGATTGTAGGAAAAGTCAAGAGGAGTCTAAGGATACCAGGATTTATATCAGCAGCCTGTAGTTGCTGAAGCTGAAAGTGATGCTGGTTTTTTAATTTGTTTCAATGTTCCTAATGGGTTTGTTTCAGAAGTGCCTCACTGTTCTCGTGACCAGGAGTAACCAGAACAGCATTCTTCATTTATTTCTGTCGGGAAGAATTGCAGAGTTGGGTGGTGTAAAAGAGCTTTTCAGGAGTGAATATACAACCCCAGCATGTGTCCGTGAAGGAAGAATCAGGAGAAGTAAAAGGCAGTGTGTCAGCTTCCTTCTTTTTTCAATCCCTGCACAAGGAACAACAGCTGCTTCCTGAATGTGAAGGAAAACCTCAACTTCCTGTGGATGGCTGTAGCCAAAAGGACACGGTATCAAGCGGGTGTCTTTCAATTCTGCTTGTACAAAGAGGAATCATTTTGCACATGTTCTGTATGAGCCTCACTGTCTCCATAAGCCAAGACCCTTCTGATCTACAAGTGAAATAGACTTCTGCAACAGATCCCACACATTGCTGAGAAGGAAGCAGAAGTTGCAAGATAAGAGATGCAGGTGGCAATATTGCAGATATTTCTTGATGGAAATGCAGAGACTCCCAGGCAGTCTTCTCTGCCAACCAATCAGAGCTCAGGCAGTCATCTCTGCCAAATTGAGTTCAAGACAGTTAGCTGTGCCAATGGCTCCAAGAGCATGAAGCCAGCTCTGTCAAAAGGAGTTCAGGCAACCCGCCCATTTCTAAGAGAGGTGGTGATGGGCTTATGTAGATCTCTCCTTGTTCTTGCTATTTAATATTTTCTTGAAAGCATGTTCCAATTTTTATTTTTGGATACTTTATTTTATTGTATTTTATTTTTTAAGGGAGAGGGATGGAGTGTTTACAGAGTTTTGTAATCACCTGCCTTTTTGTTTTTCACCTTCACTAATGTTTAACATTGATTTATTTTTTTGTTTTTGTTTTCCTCCACTGACATTTGGTAGAAGCTAATGATATTAGGAGTTTTGCCAATCATAATGTATACCAGACTTTGTAATTTTATTTGAAGTAATGAATATTTCCTTTTTTGTTGTTGTTTTATAATTTAAAGATAGTAGGCAATGCACTTGATATAATCTTGCACATATGAATGATTGATTTGGATTCTTTATAGTACTAGGTATATTTGCAATGTGTGAACGAATGAGCAGGACGGGGTGAATGAGTGAGCAAGTGAATACACACTTGAAAGTGTGCAACTTGATACAGTTCTCCATTTCCTGGTTATAACTGAAGGAGAGCTTTATCTGGGGTGATTTGAGTGCAAAAATAAATCACTGTCTCTGCTTTTGAAAGGGGAATCAGTAACTCTTTGCATTTTCTGTTCCACAAGATATGCAAAAACAATGCAATAATATTAATTTTGAATAAAATGTGTGAATTGTGCTGGCATTAAAACTGTATAGAAAAACAAAACAAGGGGATTAAAAACAAACAAAAACAACCAAGTGAGAAGGAGTTATATTTCAATATATTCCGTGTGATGTTTTATTGCATTGATAATGTTTCTGTTGAAGAAACCGTAATACTTGAATTCAGGTCAGTTTCAGTATTTTTCAACTATTTTTTTAAACTGAATAGCAATTGTGCCAAGCAAATATAATGAATTAAGTTTGTTTAAGGGAAAAAATAACAATTCTTGTATATTTTGCTGCATGTAAAGTAAATCATTTCGTATTTGGAGTGTGCCAAGCTTTACCTTTGAACTTTAAGTGCTTTTCTACATGTGGTTGGGGGAAAGGGTATACTATTTTTTTTTCATTTTTTAATTTGTATAATGAACAAAGTGTACCTAGTGCTAAGTAATTATCCTGCAACCCACTGACAGGTTGAACATTAACTGATTTTGCATATCTTGTGTTCATTTTCCTTATTCTGCACTTTCTTAAACATGCATGATAATGAATTGGGAAGACTATCTTGCATTTTGAAGCTATGGATTCTTATCCAGCTTTCTTTTTTTGCATAGTTTCTCTCAATGATTCTCCTAATTAAAAGATGAATAATTCCATATGCTAGGATAATCAAATATATCCAATCCTGTAAACTGAGCTGGCATCAGCAACTGGGATGGGAGTATCTTCTTTATTATATGCTGCAAATATTACAATGATTATTGTTATGACATCAAATAATGATTGTCAGGAATTGAATAATTGCTATAAATTCAGTAGGACATACTGTACTTTTAACCAAATTTGTATGTGTAGAGAAGCTTCACTTGTGTACTTCAGAAGACTAGTTAAATATTTTTCATGGTAAAATAAAAGGGAAAAAAACACAGATTAAAGAAAATAAATAACAATTTAACACATGGCCCATTCGAAACAGGAATAAAATACACAAGAATAAAATGAAGAATAACATAACAATAATAGCATTGCTAAGAAGTATTTAGAGATTAAGTCTGATATAAGTCAGAAATCTCATAATGAATAAGACAAGAATTTTATATTGTATTATATTAATTGATTAAAAAACATAGAATGTAATTATCATTTTCCAAAACTGAATTTAACTGAGAATACTTCATAAAACTATAAAGAACAAATACAGAAAGATGTGATATGGTAACATACTAAAAAAAGATAGAAAGAAATATTGACCCCTTTCAAATATTTAAAAACAGCTTCTGTAGCTTCAGTTCACATATTCATACATGCAGCAATGTAGTACAGTACTTGGAAATGTTTGAGCATATCTATTATCACCTACCTCCTGATCATAAGGAAAGCATTTTGGCATAATACATCAACCACTTGTTTGAGAATTAGTAGAATAATTTGAGTAGCTTATTAATATTGTAATTGTAATTATATGCTACTCAGGATTAAAATATAGTTCGCAATTTAACATTTGGAAACTCTTCTGCAGGCCCACATGCTCAATATAATAATATACTATAACACACAGGTCTCAAAAGAGGAGGAGATACATGCATCATGATGTATATTCACTGATGTAGAAAACATATATAATTCACAGGCCAAAGGCAATTTGATGTAAATATTTCAAATAAAGTTTCTAAGCAATTTCCTTCACAGAAGATAGATGAGTAGTTTTTGGAGATGCTACTCATAGGAAATATTATTTTCAAGAAACAAATGTCAGCACCTATCCTACATGTAGAACCCAACCTGTTAATAATCTTTGATTCTCTTAATATAAAATTCAGATTTCTTCCAATCAAATCAAATCAGTAAAATCTACTCTAAAATCCTGTTTAGAATACTGTTTATACACCATGTAGAGCCCCCTTCAGAATTATAAAGTTGAACATTTAAACTTTTTATAATCCTTGGTTAATGCAGAAATCCAAATTAAACTTTCAGAAAAATGGTTTCTAATATTTATCTACTGGAATACATCCAAGAAGAAGCACCATCTCTCTGGGTAGTTGGTTTCATCATCCAACAGCTCTTAACAGTTAGGATACTCTTACTAAAATTTATTTTGAATCTGTCTTCTTATAGCCTAAATCTATTATATCATCTGTTGCACTCTGGAATGAGACAACTGATTTCTGTCTTTTTTTATGCAGTGTTTTTTCAGGTATTTGAAGAGTGCTGTTATATCCGTATTAATTTTTTTTTCCTAAGGCCATCCATAGTCCTCCACCAAGCTTTCTCTGAGTCATCATGTTCAAGCCAGCTCTGTATCCATTCATATACCATCCAGCCTATACTTCATTAACTTGCTAATCAGCATATCATGAAGTACTTTGACAATTTTTTACTGAAATCAAAATATATTGTTCTCACTAATCTGACACATTTATTTTACCATTTGTTTCTATGTGATAGTACATTCAGAAGTGTGAAAGCATATCACTTTACTGAGATTTCTTTTAAACTCCAGTCATTCAAAAATATCCTATAATAAATAATTTGGGATACTCAGCATCATTGCTTTTTATCTTCACAGTGCAAAACTAAATTTCTTCTGCTATATTAAAGCCCTATGTTTATCAGCAAATAAAACCCCCACTGATCCTTTATTTTTTGAAACAAGCACTAATTATTAGTCAGTATTTGAAATAGAACAAAGCACATTGAAATCAATGATTCCAAACATTCTTTATTCTGTTCTGCAATGTAACTATTCTTTTTTTTAGATACTTATGCTCCATTCTTCAAAGCCAACCCCCCTACTTTTACTATGAACATAATAAATAGTCATTAATTCAACTATTGAAAGTTTCAAAAGCCCTACAAAATATTTTTAAATATCTAAAATATTTATATTGGTAAACAAATCTTGCTCACTAAAATATAAAATAGTTTACCTGAAATTAGAAATTGGCTATCAGTCAATAAATATATCTACCGGTACCTATAAGACAAAGATACAAAATCTGCCTGAGAAATTCCTTCCTTCCCTCCCTTTCTCCCTCCCTCTCTCATCAGCATATTCTAGGAAATGCCTACAGAACTTCTACATATATTAAAAGCATATTATGCCACTATTTTTTCCAGTTTTATTTATCTAGTCTTCCCCTTGATATCATCACGGGGGGGAGGGGGAATTCATATCAGCATCTTGATCACTAGGTTGCAGTGTCTTGGAGTAAACTCAAACTTAATGAGAAGTACTTCTAAGTACAATTGTGTTAGTTGTGATTTTGACCTTAGGTAAAGAAATTGCACAAGCACATGAGCCAGAGCATACATGTTCTTGTGAGCTAATTTAAATTGCTGACTTTGGCCATAATAAAGAATTCCCCAAGCACCCATTAACTGAGATAATTCATTTATTTTTCAACCACAATAGATGAAACATCAGAAAGTAAAAGAAGTAAAACTTCACATTACCTAAAGCTCAAGATACATTACATTGTGTAGAATATGAACAATGTGAACCTCAAGACCAAATGCTATAAATCTACAATATGGCTTATTCCCATAGTAGCATACTGCAAGTCCAGAAAAGATTAATGTTTCTGTACACATTTATTTCAGATTATCATGAACTTTTCCCAAATTTTCTGGGGCTTCTAATATTGCATTGATAGCATATTAAAAAAAAAACATATTGCTCCTCAGATATCTCAGAAACAGCTTAAAGTTTTTCACCAGAATTAGTTACTAATTAGTTCATCAGTTGTATAAGCACTCAATTGGCAAGAAATCATAATATATACACATACATAAACATATACTAATACATATACACAGTAGTCCTAAAATGTATGCTAACCCTCATCCCCAATACAAATATATATTACAAATTCCGATGAACAAGGAATCAGATTAAAAACAACTAGTTGAATTATTTTATACCAGCTGTGAAAATATTTTGAAGGGTTACAATATGCAATTACAAAATTATTATTTGTGATAACTTTATCTTTTTACCAATGTCAATATGTTTTCAGATCAAGCTCAACTACTGGTGACTTGCATGGATACAAACATATTTTTATGTGATAAACAAGTGGTTTGCTAATACCCTCTTTTTTTTTTTTTTTTTACTTCTCAGTTATACTTCATAGATCAGCCAAGGTCAGCTAGGTGCTGTCAGGATCTTTTATTTACAAGACTGAAATCCACAGGTAGCATATTACCAGTGTAACTGGTCATGTATGGTGCTATTTCCTTATCTCTTGTGGTATATAAGCACCTTTGCCCAGGGTTTGCAAATGCCAAATTGGTTTGTTATTTATTTAATTGGTATAAGAATTAAATTGTGACATTGCATATTCAGGTAAAACACAGCTGCAGTAAGTGATGGCATAAGTAACAGTGCCAGATCTATACAAAAAGAAGAATACAAGAAGCATGTTCTCTAGATGACAGTGAAGAATAAGTCAATTATGAATTGATCAAAAGGAATTATTTCTGTACTTATCAAATAGTATATGAACTAATCTATTTATATTGTCAATTTCTGCATATTTGCGAACATGTTTTGAGACTTTATATATTGAATGGTTATTCTAAAAGGCTCTTATCTGAACTATTCATTTGTGTATATTCTCTATGCCTCATACAAATATGCATAATAATTTTTATGCAAGTTACAGTCAAAATAAATGGTAACATTCCAAAAGCCTAGGGAACAGCATTAATACACTCTTTACATAAGGTACAGTGCTTATTTTATGCTTATGTAAAAGAAAAGAATTATGAGTGCTCAAAAGATCTGAAAAAGGATAATATTTAGGGTAAGTTATTTTGCCATGATTATGGATTTGGGATATTAGTTACATCTCCAATTAAAGAAAATTCAATATTCAGCTTGGTAGCAACACTTGCTTCATTTCTAAAAACTATCAATATATATGAGCACTAATATATTAGTCCTAATTAGCATCCTTTCGGATGTTGTTCAGTAAAAACAAAACTGTATCCTGTAGTGGTTTAAATGAGAAATTGGTGAATTAAAAGGAAGAGTTTGCTGGTGCCAGCACATTTTGCTGGTGGATAGTTGACAATTCAGCTCACATGGCTGTAACCTAGAAAGAGAGAAACTTCAAATGGGTATGAGCAAAGAGCTACTGCCTCCTTTAAACGGGGCAGAGTTTGGGGTAAAGTCGAAAAAAGATTTGACTTCATAACATGTTCTTTTTTCCCTTTGTGTTGAGCTTATATGCTGGATACAGTCATTGCACTGCAGCTGGAAGCTTTACAGAACCTAAAGACTGGGCTGTTTCTTAGAAGGGAAAATGCAAGCATCACTCTTGAGTTTGTCTACTCGTGCAACAACTAAAGACATTGATTGCAAATACCAAGATTTCCATCTTCCCCAGCCAGCTTGGTATTTCCACCAGATCAATTATTTTGGATGTATTTTTTCTTCCTTCTGCTGTATGATTTAAAAGATGGGAGGGAACAGGGATTAATGATCCAGAGCAGGAGTTCCCTTAGCCCCAGAATTTCTCTGCATCGTCTACCTCTTCCAGTGAACACACATGATGAAGAAGTTTATGATTATGATGATGCAGATACTGCTGCTACTGCAAGGGATCCAATCTGCTTTATTAACCAAACTCCCACTGTCTGAGGAAGCAGCCAAAGGAGCACTATGTACAGGATTGCATCTATTCTGCTTTGTTTTCTACCCCGGCCCCATATCACTGATGACTATGAAGACAACAACAACAAAAAAGGGCAAATGCATTTTTTTTACATTTCTTGATAATTTTCAAAGCAATGTATCATTGCTTTATTTAAATTGATGCCAATATAACAATTGTATGGGTCTCAGCCAGCCTCCTGTGTCTTTTTCTGACTTAGAGTTTGAGATCTTTCTATGAAAAATTCATACTTATATACAAATATAATTTGACAAGCCAGAAGAAACTTTTAGGCAATACAAAATCTACTAGCTGATCAGAGTTACTCAGATAAATTGAAGTTTCTTAAATACTTATTTAAAAAACACATTATCCTATAGAGAAAGCCCTCATATATGAACCATGTTCTACACTGCTTTCTATGTATTTGTGTCAAAACATTACAGTATGCATGTGTATACACACACATACATAGTAAGATTTTTAATTAAAGAAAAATTGTGGAACATTATAACTGAACAACTGAGTTATTACACATGAATGGTTTTACATTTCACAAATAAAATATTTTGCAATGTCTGTGGAGATTCTCAGTCATCCAGGTCATAGTTATCCCAAAGGTGCTTCACGAGGCAACAGGACTTTCTTGTTTTCTTTGAAGACATTTCACTTCTCATCCAAGAAGCTTCTTCAGCTCTGACTACATGGTGGGGAATGGAAGGGTTTATACTCCTTGCAGACAGCTGGTCATTTGCATTCTTTTAGAGTCGTTGAAGCCACCTGGAGGTCTATCTGTGTCATTAGGGTAATCTGAATAGTGTAAATGTGTGTGGACCCTCCTTGGAACTGCTGAAAGGAATTTCAGCAGTCCTTTCAGCAGTTCCAAGAAGGCTCCATACCATTGCATTGCTCAGGTGACCCTGACAAATAAACCTCCAAATGGCCTCAACAACTCTCTAAAATTGGTGTCAAACTGCCGGCCCGCAGGCCAGACGCATCATGTGGAAGCCGCGCCCATCCCATTGCCAGCAATGGCAAAACTGTCCCGATACCTCGAGCAACATCATATGACATTGCGAGTTTGACCTGTCTGCTATAAAAGAATGCAAATGATCAGCTGTCTGCAAGGAGTATAAACTCTTCCATTCCCCACCATCCAGTCAGTGCTGAAGAAGCTTCTTGGATGAGAAGTGAAACATCTTCAAAGAAAAAACAAAGTCCAGTTGCCTTGTGAAAAAGCACCTCTGGAATATTTTACAATGTTTAGAAAACAGATTATTATAGTTTAATATTTATATAGGCTTTCAAAATCCTCTTGCAGAAAAAGATGAGATGCTAACAGAAATGTATATAAGGAACCGTTATAAGAATAGAGAACAACATTAACCATTGACCTAATAGGCATTGCAATCCAAGGTAACCCAAGCTATTTATTGCATGAAGGGATTTAACATTATAATCAGAATTATATTTCTGGAAGGTACCTCTATTATTATTTGTTCAATAGAAATCAGGAAATGCAAGTGATGTCAGGTCTGGGATCAAAAGTATGTTTGTGTTGCTATCATGACTGCTGACTGTCAGCAGTTCAGCAGTTCGAGTATCACAGGCTCAAGGTTGACTCCATCCTTCTGAGGTTGATAAAATGAGACCCAGATTGTTGGAGGCAATATGCTGACTGTGTAAAATGCTTAGAGAGAACTGTAAAGCACTGCGAAGCGATATATAAGTCGAAATTCCATTGCTAAGTGCTATAATGAAACAATGTTCTAGATTAAATTAGACTTTCAAAATATAGTACCTAAGGTTTATAAGAATTGTAACAGTAACTTACAATTTCCTATATTAAAATTGACTGGATATAGTCAGCTTTAACTTGAAATGGAAAAGAAATTTAGCCACATTTTATGTAACAATACTCATTACAAGTATGAAATGATAAAAATCAAGAATTCATGAACATTTATGAGATTGGATCAGATCTCCTTCTTCCTCTGAAATGACTGCTGCCAACAGAGAAGTGTGGAAGGGAGAATGATAATGTAGTCTAAAATACAAAAAGGCAGTATTTTTTCAGAGAAACTGGACCCGTGTTTAGCATAAGCTACAGGGACTACAGCACACAGTATGTCTTTATATGCAGCTTATTCTGTATTTTATCAAATAGTGCAAGTTGAAGAATAACCAACTCTGAAAAATCAACTCTGATTGTGAGTGCAGTAATACTGAGAAGATGTGGAGATCGGGTGCAACAGCACACCCCCAATATGAGCACCAAAGAGTGGAGAATATTTCTTTTCTTGTATGCACCATTCAGGCTCTCCCCACTTTTATCATTGTCTGATTTTTTTAATTATTTCTAAATTAATTTGGTGGTGTTTTTTTTTTTTTAAAAAAAAGCCATTTATTCAGCACTTGTTGAGAAGGTTTTGGTCCCTTTTTCTTTTTTTACAAAATAGCATTCGTTCCATAGCCAGAATACTTTTGATTGCACATTTCAGTGCCCTACTTATGAGTAAGGAGATACTAAGTTTCTTTTTAAAATAAACAAATATGAACTAAAATAAAATATGGTTATGTATTCTCCATACTTTTAAGGTACTCTAATTCAGGATTTTAAGCAATTCTTTGAAGCAGAGCATTCTAGCTTCCATTATCAATATTGTTTTTCTTCAAAATTCTGTCACAGTTCTGTCATTCTAAACTCCATTCTTCTAAACCTAACATTTCACATGTGGCTACTCTTGATAGCAATGAAATTGTATTTTTAACATTTAAATCTTAAATTTTCACGGCTGCTGATGTCTCTGTTACTCAATGTCATTGTTATCAATCATCTGATCAGTAATTATTAGGACTTTATACTAGAAAGGAGATGGAGGAATAATCACTAATGCCATTCTCAAATGGTTTTATTGTCAGAAAATAGGGCAACCACCAGATTCAGCAGACACAGAATTTTCAAACTTTTTGCTCACATCTAGCAGTCATCAGATTTTTGCAACTTAGATCATGATATAAAAGTAAAAACTCCAATCTGGCAAAAAGAAGAAAGCAGCATGTAAATATCTGAATTACAGACAAAGCAACCTCTGTCCTCAACTGAGACCCTGGCATGTGCTTTCCAATACTGCTTTCCCCTTTTCCACCCACTTACTTCTGCTCACAGCAGACAACCTATATTATTCCTCTGCTTCTGGTAACAATTTATTTCAGACAGGCATTTCACAATTGCAGGGGCTAAATACAGAATTCTACAACCCAGAAAATCTATTGAAGAACTGTCTAGGATATTTATTTATATATTTATTTGCTTACTTACTTGTTAACTATAGTGGGCACATATGTGTTATGGACCCAAATTGCAGATGAACAAATCTCACATTTTCATTTTTCAATGACTAGGGAAGATTTATATAATTGTTGATTGATAAATGGAGGCGAGACCAATTCCAAAATGAAAAAAGAAAAAAAAATCCTATTACATTTTCTGAGAACTTTTACATAAATTGTTTCCAGGCAAACTAGTTAGCCAAAACTGCTAGTGTGGTACTGCAGCTAGAAACAACTTCCATAAAAGATTTAAGCGGGAAGGCAAAAACCAAGGCTCCCCATTTCCTCTGTATGTGTAACTGAATATGTGTGGTTAACCAAAATACATAAATAGGTCCTCTTTCTTCTTCCATAACTTTGTTAGGCATACTTGGCAATCAAAGACTACAACCATTCCAGAAATTTTTGGAAAAGAACAGAAAAGTGATCTGTTTGTTCTCTTCCAGATCCCTAAAAGTGAGGCAGTGGGCTGAGGGCAAACTGACTTTTGAGAACAGTGGGGAAAAAGCATAGTGATAGACTTCTCTGAATGATTAAAAGGTGTCTAAATAGCAGTTTGCTCATGTTCTCTTGATGAATCGCTTCTTCTCTCCTTGTGCATGCAAAATTAAACATATATTTTTCAGACTTTATTCATTACAGTTTAATTATGTTCCCCCAAGAAACTTAAGAAGATGTGCATGAGCATATCCTTAAATATAATTAAGTTGTTTTCATTCCCCTTATTTGCCTTAATTTCCCATCTCTTCTCTGGACATATTTCTAGTATAAGTACCTGGGCAATTTAAAATTTTCATGATTTATTATGTTTGCACTGGCTTAACCAGAATCAAAGGCTAAAAACAACAAGCACAGTACAAAATTAATCTCAGCTTTCTTTTCAATGTATATACCATGGATCTATTCCAAGAAAATCCTCATATTACATTAAACAATTAGACTAATAATGTGGTCTTATATTAAAGTCAATTTGAAGTTCTTGACCCATTGTTATCAATAAGCTTTCATTTTGTAAATTTCTGTCAATAGGGGCAAGTTGATTAAACAACATTTTTTTTTATTAATCTTCTATATTACAAATACATTAGAATTAGAATAACTGAATTCTTCCAATTAGTTCCTATAGTACTACTGGATAAAAGGTATCTTACAAGGCTTGTACATCTAAAAAAGAAAATATTTTCCAGATTCTATAATAATAAATTTGAGATTCATACATAAATAAGGCATATTATAACCTTACATACCCAGAGCTTCCATATCAACATTCTTCCATAAAATAAACATGCTGCATGTCTCTATCAGTAAATATTTTAATATTTATAATATCTCTATGTCAACGATGCCTCTATTGCAGATATGTTTGATTATCTCAAAATGTCTGGATAATGAGGCTACCTTGTGCCTTTCTTCAATATGTATGTATAAACAATGGGAAGATTTATTCCTAAATGAATGTAATTTAGAAAGATAAGAATTTTTGAAATAACAATTTATATAATTTTACTTTAAAAATTACATAATGTAGGTTATTATACTTATAGATCATTGTCTCTGATTTCAGCTTAGTACAGGAAGAGCCATATTTATCCTTACCCCATTAAACTAAGAAGGTTGATCCTGAAAAAAAATATTAGCCACCTTTTCTAATTTCATTGTAAGGTAGGCTGGATAATAATTTTGAAGATCTGCCTTTCTGACCATCAATTATAAATATTTATTTACATGATACAGCCTTTTGCGTGTATTTTTTTTCTCTAATTGTCTGGATTTGTGAATTAATTACATTCTCCAAATGTAAGACAGTTAAGAGATTATATGTCTATTTCACATTTCCCTTTTCTCTAACCTGAAATGCTCATATTGTTTTAGAGATGTGGCCAGGTATAATTGTTTACCACACCTACAATTTTAGAATTTTAAAGAACTTACTGAAATCAAGAAGGCTGCACTGCCCTTGTAAAATAAAATTGTATACTTTGTAACCATACAATCCTGCCATAGGTCAAAAACAAAAAGTCTCACCTCTTTTCAAATATTTTAAATAAACAGAATTGTTCAGAAGTGAGCCAGAGAATTGCCTTGGTGTGAGACAAATGTATATATCTGTAAGACTGCATTTTTATTTAAGGCACTATGTTATTTTAAAAATTATTAATAAATTTTTAACTATATCATTATTGGCTTATCCTAACTCTTTCTAAATTCCTCTTGGAATCTACTGCAAACTTACCAATTTGCCTGATATTGTCATTATTTATAAATGTAGTCATCCCAATCTTATCTATAATAGCCCCGTCAATGCAAAATGCAAACAGATTTAGTCTTAATTTGCTACCATCAAAAATGTAGCTATTGCAGGTAAAGGGCAGTTCAACACTCACAACAGAGCACAGTAACAGTTGCATAATACTCAAGATCAGAAAAATACATTACCTAATCAGTTTTATATATACATATAGTATATTACAAACAATGAACAATTTGAGATAAATCAGAATATGATATCAAGAATCTTGATTTATGAGAACTCTTTCCATATTTTTCTATTAAAAATGCTAAGGGATAAATTTAAAAACTGAACCTAAAATCTCTACTAAGCAACAATCTTCCCCATTTTACAGAATATATATTTTAAAATAGCTATACTGCAGGAAAATATGCTCAATTATACATGCCTATGTATATAAACAAGCGAATTTTCTACATGGAACATATCATGCCCATCAAAATGCCTACAATTCTAAATGACATTCATTGCATTAAGAGAAAAGTATGTGAAAGATGCGACATATAAGAATATAAAAGTGAACGGGGCAGGAAAAAATTAAAATTCAATAGTATTTATCTTTAAATGGATGAATTATGCACCCATAATTTGAAGAGAGCTGTAATGAGTTAAGTTACAAGAAGCCAGACTCCAATTGGGATTTCAAAAATAAATCCTAAGAGCAAAAAATGTCAAATAAATGGAACCAGTTATTCAGTTAAGAAGAGTCTCCCTTCACAATATATGTTCAAGCAAAAGAAAGTCATCTCTCAAAGAGATTGGGCATAATAGAGAAAAAGCCGCCTTCTAACTCTATAAAGAATATGAAATTTATTTTAATATTACTTTGATAGAATTATTACATAAGAAATAGTCCTACCTATATGTTCCTATATTTTAAGACTTTGGAAATGCTCATTTAAAGGATGTGAATACTCTACTAATAATTTGAGAACCCAACAAAAACAGACTTAAATTTTATATAGTAAATCTGTTATCAGTTCTTGTCCTAGATTAGTTAAATGCAGGGCTTTTTTTGTCATAGAACACCCAAAACGGAGTTCCGGCACTTTTTTGGGATGGAACCTTGTAGGGCAGGCAAGGCGGGTTGTATGACGTGTGAATTCCGGCACCTTTTTTTTTTTTTTTTACAAAAAAGCACTGGTTAAATGTGTAGATTTAACATTCTTATCTGTAGCATTGTAAGAAACCCAGTCCTATCTAGTTTGGTTCTATTTCCAAATACATTTTATCATCATTTAAAATAACTAATGTATATATTCTATGTTGGTAATTGAGGTAAGTAAGGTATCAGTCAGTATTGGATTTCTTTCAATTTGCCAAAGAACATAAGAAGAACTTAGCTGGATCAAGACCAAAGGCCTATTTTGGCTAGCATTCTGTTTCCATATTGACCAATCAGATGTCTATGAAGATCATAACCAGTAAGATATCAGCACAACAGTGTCTTCTTTCTTTGATTGCCTAGCAATTTATATGGTGAGACACAATGCCAGAAAATGAAAGTAACAAATAGCCATTATATATAATAGTTACTGATAAATGTAAATTCCATGAATATATGGAATCTTTTCTGAAGCCATTCAGGTGGGCAAAGTTCAATACAAAAATCATATTTAACAATATGTTGTAAGAAAGGTAAATCCTTATTTGTCCAAGGTCTGAGAATTCTGCTTCATTGATTAACTGGATAATCATGGATTGTACTTTTATACCAGGAAGGGGGGGGGACTTCTTTTCCATTGTCTTTCTACCATGCAATATTTCTATTGTGACTTGTCTTAATATTTTTCTTACTTAAAAAGTCCTGTTATAAATATGTAAAACTGTAAAAGACACTAGCACTGTATAGACAATTAGCTGATTATAAAAAGCTCTGCAAATAGACCATCTTTATGTTTGTTCTGAATAATTTACCTTGATACCTGAAGAGGCACATAACCATCATAACTAATGCTGGAGATAATATGTAATCATGAATACTGAATGCTGGACGCCAATAACTATAGCCCATGCAAATGTGACCTGCAACTCATGAAAGATTATGCCTGTTAATAAAATAGCTTACCACACTGACCTTTACAGAAAAAGACAAAACTGGAAGAGGGCACTGAAGGAAAAATAGGCTGAAAGAAAGAGGAAAAACATTTTCCACAGCCTCACAATTGGAATTTCCAAAAGAAAGATAAATCAAATAAAGCAGAGAATGTCTGCTTCAAGGGGAAAAAAGTGTTCTGTAGAAATAAGGTACATATTCTAGTCAGAATTTGCTTCAGACGGTTTTTTTTTTTTTTACACCCAATTGCTGTCAGTTGTCTGTACAAAATAGCATGTGCTGTGTAATTTCAGCCATTATTCAGGCTGATTAGGAAGATGTTTTTGGTAACTTATGCCATAAATCACATCAACCCATCACAGGACAAAACATACATTTGTAGCCGACTAATCTTATCTTAAGGGCTGTCTGAAATGCAGCGTTTTCTTTAGTAGTTCTTGGGGCTTTTTACTTCTTTCTGATAAAATTTGGGTTTATTTTACTTCTTTCTGATAAAGAAAGTTTTACTTCTTTCTGATAAAAATTGGATTTATTTCAATTGTTTTCGATTTTAACTTTCTGTATTTTTTTTTTAGCTTTTGAACTCCAGAAGGACTTGGGGGGGCCCTTCTCTGACAGGCATCAGGGCTAGCAAGAGAACCCAGAGGAGGCGCTGTCTGGAAGGAGAAAGTGGGGTTTGGGCGGGAAGAAAGGAATGCTTAAGATTCCCCGGCCTGAAATTTCCACAGCAAAAATATCAATATCAAAGCAGCAACCCACAGAAACCAATATTGGCAATAATATCTCTTTCAACCCCCGGAATGCGCGCTCGCATCGACGCCCTTTGAAAAGCTTTAAGGATAACCCAGATTCGAGCTAACTAACGGCCGCGGCTCGAGCGCGGCCACGCCCCCGTTTCCTCAGCTTGTCTCCTCACCGCCGGTCCAGATGAGGAGAAGGCCCGCCCACCTTCTCCTGCAATCCCCGCCCCACGCACCTCCTCGCCTCAAGGTAACGCGCGTGCACCGCCCCCTCACCGAGAGTGCGCGGCGCGCGCCCTCCTTCTCTGGCGACCACGCCCACCCACCCTTCTATGCCCCGCCTGAGGTGAGCTTCCTCAGACTCCGCCCCAGTGTTCCGTTTCGAGTTTCGTCCCGGAAGCCAGAGGCGGGCGGAACCAGGTCAATGAGGCCGGTGGTCTCGCTTCGGAAGCATGGTGACGGCGGCGGCGCCGGCGCGGAGGATGAGGGGAGACGCTTCGTGGTCCTTCGTGCTCTTGGCGGGGCTGCTCCCTGGGCTTTCAGGGCTGAGGCTTCTCCTCAGCGCCCCGCCACTTTTCAACTGTTCCCAGCCGGTAAGTCGGGCCCGGACGGGCGCACAGCGTGGTAGTGCGCGGGCTGCCTGATGCGCGTGGGAAGCAGGGCGGAGGGACACGCGCCTTTCTTCCCAAGCGTAACTCACTGTATTCGGGAGAGGCGTGTGTGTTCAGCAGCCTTTCCTATCCTGGGCCTGCCGGATGATGTGAACATTTAGAGTCACCCGTTTGGGGACGTTGAACGTGCCGAGCTGCCTTGAACTCCCTTGAGAAACTTTAGGCAAGATTCTCGATCCCTAATCGCCACTTTCTGCGTTAATTGCAGGTTATTTGTTCTCACTTCCCTCTTTCCCTCTTCTTCCTCACTCTCCCCCTCTCCTCCTTCTCCTCAACCTTTCTACTTACTTCTCCCCTTCCTCCTATCTTCTCACTCCGGATGCAGTCCACGGGAAATGCCTGAGCAATTCCTCTCTCCAAATTGAAACATCAATATTATATACAATAAAACTATTTCTACTTATCTGACCTATTTAACCTCCAACCCATCCTCCCCCCCCCCGAAGTTAATTGCAGATTAGATACTAGTTTTATTTCTGAAGCTTTTGTGTATCAGGGTGTATCTGATCTTTCCAGGTGTCCAAAAAGGTCCTGATCTTGCCGTTTTGATCTTTGCATTTTGTTTTTCAGTCTATTTTCCTATTAGCATAACACCATAGAACGAGGGTGTTCAGCTTTGACTGCTTTAATATTTATACTTTAAGCCTGGCTGACTGGGGAATTTTGGGAGTTGAAGTCCACAGGTCTTAAAACTGCCAAGATTGGACACCTGTGCCATAGAAGGTGCTGGAAAGAAAATTACAGGTCATCTGGTCCAACCCTTTATAAGATTCACTAGAATACTTGTGACAGATTACCATCCAGGTGCTAAAGACCCCCAATGAAAGTAATGAATAAAAACTCACTACCTGTTGCTGACCCGTTGCACTAGTTCCCAGCTAAAGCACTCCGGAAGTGCATCCTAATGTTTAGCTTGAAGCAGCTTCCTTTGCAGTTTTAACCCATTAGTTGATATTGGTCTATGACCACAATAAACATTTAATTTGGTAACTTCTTAGCTCTATTCTGGAGCGATAAAGAAATCTATTCCCTCCATTATAGCCCCTCAAGTATTTGAAGATTGCTATCTGATGTCTCTTCAGTCAAATAATGAACAGGTCCTTTTAGGGTTCCTATTCATGCAGTTTTCAGACCTTCATCCTTAGATGCAGTCTTTTGAACTTGCTTCAGTTATTACTTGTTTTTTAAGCTACAGTATCCAGAGATGGTGTCCGATATTTCCAATTGGGTCTGATAAGGGAAGGATTATTACCTGGACTTTGTGTTCCTGTTAATTGCATCCCAAGATAGTATTTGCTTTTTTAGCAGCTGTATCACAGCACAGCATATTGTGTATTCCCTAGGTAAAGAGATGTATTAAAATATACTCTTGTTTACCATATTTTTCACGGAAAAAAAATATTTTGACTGAAAGTGAATTTCTTCTACATTTTATATCATTTTTTTATCTCATTGTAACTTCTAATACAAAAATACAAGCAATAGCATTTCAAAAAATGAATATAAACAAGTATCCAGCATACATTCAGCGCACAAGTGTTCAGTAAATGCAAATAAAATTAATCAACAGTTAGATCAGGGGTGTCAAACTCAATTTCATTGAGGGCCGCATCAGCATTGCGGATGCCCTGGGGGGGTGTATGGGTGTGGCCAGGGTGGGTGTGGCCTACGGGGGAGGGGCGTGATTTCAGCAGACAGTGGAGAGCTCTCCTCACAACGCCAAGAGGTTGAGCCGGGCAGTGTGAAGCTTTGCACCTTGCTGCCTGCTGAAACTGGGTAGGCTGGGGGCTAGGCAGCATTGCACTTCTCATCATATTTGCGCCACCCAGCTCAGCTCTTGGCACTGTGAGGAGAGCGCCCCGCTGCCTGCCAAAACCCCTCCCCCAGAGCCCATCAAGCTGGATAGGTGAAGTAGGCGAGGGCCATTTGCTGGCCACTTCCAGGCGATGGTGCATTTCTTCATTTCTCACAAAGGGTGACACCTCCCCAGCATGCGCCCAGGGGGCAGAGCCGACGGAGCAGGGACTGGTTCCTCACTGTTTCCGGATGGCCTTGTGGAGCTAAGACTGAATGCGTTTCAGCATAGGTGGCCACCACAAAATTGTACATTGGCTCCCTCCTGGCCGGCCTGGGCCAGGGCCAAGGCATTGGGGGCCGTTCCCTCACTGTTTCCAGAATGGCTTCACAGGCCACATGAAACCACTTCACGGGCTGCATCCGGCCCCCAGGCCTTGTATTTGACATGTCTGAGTTAGATTATGTAAGAGTCATCAGAAACAAACCATGTATATATTTGTTTTATTTTGATTAGGGATCATCGTACAGGTAGTCTTTGACTTATGACCACAACTGAGCCTAAATTTCTATTACCAAATGATACATTTGTTAAGTGAGTTTTGCTCCATTTCATGATCTTTCTTGCCACAGTTGTTAAGTGAATCACTGCACCTGTTAAATTAGTAACACGGTTGTTAAGTGAATCTGATTCCCTCATTGACATTGCTTCTCAGAAGGTCGCAAAAGGTGATCACATGATCCCCAGACACTGCAACCAACATAAATATGAATAAGTTGCCAAATGTCTGAATTTTGATCACATGACCATGGGGATGCTGTACAGGGTTGTAAGTGTGAAAAACAGTTATGTCACTTTTTTCAGTGCTCTTGTAATTTTGAACAATCGAAGTTGTAAGTCGAGGATATCTGTATAGCCATGTCCTGAGGAGGATAAGCTCTAATAATACAGCTGAAATATACTTCAGATGTTGTATTCAGTTTCTTGCTTTATATAGTCCTCATGTTTTCACTAATTCTGCATTATTTGTTTCTTTAAAATATTTATATGGCCACCTATCTTGTAGCACACAATTCTGGATGGCTCTCAACAGTGATAAAAACACAAACATTAGAACTACAGTAATTAAAAAAAAGTGAAAAAAAAATCAAGAAAAAACAGGTGCCCGGTCCATAAATATACCCATTCTTCAATCCCTGAGCTCCAATATTAGTATCTCAGTGCCTGAAGGGTTGAAATAAAGAAAGATGGCTCTACTTAGCCAATTATCTTCTTTTAAAGCAAAAATAAATGTTTGTGCTATGGTAAATCTAGCCCCAACACTAGACTTAGGAATAGTAAAGGAAAAAAAAGTTATAGATAGTCCTCAGTTTGCAACCACAACTGGGATCAGACATTGTGTCACCAAGTAGCGCACTTATTGAGTCATCACATGACCACACACAATTTTACATCCTTTCTCATTGCAGTCATTAAATGAATCCAGCTTTTCCCCATTGACTTTGCTTGTTAAAAGCCAGCTGAGAAAGTCACAGATTGTGATTGTGTGACCTCAGGATATTGCAACCATTGTAAATACATGCCGGCTGCCAAGTGGCCAAATTGCCATCATGTATCTACAAGGGCTCTGCAATAGTTGTAAGTGCAAGGAACAGTTGTAAGTCACTTTTTTGCAGCATTGTCATAACGTTGGTCATAAGTGGAGGGCTACCTGTACCTAGAATACTGAAAGTGCAATGCACACCCAAAAAAGTAAGTCTTGCTTCTAAAATGAGACAAGACTAATTCAAGCAGTTAAAGTTGTTTCACAAAACAGCAGTCACACATCAGTTATGAATTGTACAATAGTAGGAAACCAAGATTATTAACTTCCGGATGAGGACATAGTAAATTTCTTAACCAATGATGATAGTGCAGTTTGTCCATGTTTTTCTTGCATGACCATCTATGTTGAATATACATGGTGAAAAGGGAACAATTGTGTCAGGAGAAAATGTATATAGAAAGTAGAGATAGTGATTGTGTGATTAATTGTGACCTTAACATTTCTTTCTTACCCTCAGTAAGCAGAGTAAACTAGTTAGAGTAATATTGCTTAATGTCATGTTTCTCCAATTACTTCATGATAAATATGTGCATTTATACTTAGTTCCATTGAAATTAATGTATATGATTAGTTTAAATATGTTTAAATAAAAATAAAAGATTTGATTCAATATTTTAGTAAATATGACTTCAGTATTTACATGAGTACACAGTATGAATTCCAGGTTGCAATTATTCATTTGTAAAATTGTAAAGTTACTTCCTCCAACATTATGTTTACTCATGTACTGTAAGTGGCCTATTAGTAGCACCTATTAACCAAAATAAGATTCAGAATATCATAACTGTAAAGACGCTAAGAAAAAGACTCAGGCATGTCTTGAGCAGAGATTTGAAGCTGCTGCAGAGCTGCTTGTCACAGCTTGAGACAGTTGAGAGTCTCTGTGTTTTTATTGGTTTTTATATACTTTTTACATACATAGGCTTTACCATTAAATGCTGACATTTTACATTCATAAGTTTAACCATGATATGCTGACATCAAGTTTCTTCATTGCAAAATTCCTTTCATATAAGCAACTATTTTCTAGTAACATATTACCTGTTCAGAGACCAGGTAAAAACAAATACAGATAGATCAGAAGGAGAAAGAACTAACAAAGGCAGGAAGAGATAAGAGGGAACTTAAGCATATTATTTATTTAGGTAGGTGAGATATTAAGTCAAAAGGGGATGACCTTCTGGCTGCTTCCTTGGGACAAAGGGTATCAAAAGGTTATGAGGTTTGTGGGGGGGGGGGAAGCATGGCAGTTTGCTGCACGTGCTTTTTTCCCCACAATAACCAGTGAATTATTGGAAGAAGCATAAAAACAATAATTTTAATAATGAAGAATGTCTTTCATAATTTTGAGGATAAAAATGTCTAATTACTTTGCTAAATTAAATTATTCCCATATTACATTTAAGTACAGACTAAACTGACTGTTTAGAAGAGCAAATGAAATGTACAGATAGACCACGGTTTATAACCAAAAGTGGGACTGGAATTTCCATCTTAAAGCATTGTGATCATTAAATTGAGTCAGACCTATGACAATTTTTACAACAGTCGTTAAGTGAATCCCAAAATTGTTAAGCAAATCAGAGGTCATTAAACAAATCACACAGTTGTTAAGTAAATCCAGCTTTCCCAATGGATTTTTTTGCCAGAAAATTACAAAAGTAGTTCCAAATCATGATCACGGAATGCTGCAACCTTTCATAAATGCGAGAACATTGCCAACAGTCCAAATTGCAATCACATGACAACAAAAGTGGTTGTAAGTCACTTTTCAATGAGGCTTCGTACTCATTAAACAAATGGTCATAACTTGAGGGCTATCTTTTTAAAACTGATAGTAACTTTTGTTTATTTTTAAGATTTTATCATGCCTTAAAATCTTCCAGAATTTAAATCTAGACAATAAATCTTTTTTAAATAATAGCTTGATCTGCAAATTTCTACGAATAAAAATAAGCTATAAAACAGGTGGGGGCAGATGGATTCTTAAAGGACTTAAATGTCTTAGATTTTTTAAAGTAATTTTAAAAAATTTCAGAAACTTCAGGAAGATTTAAAGTTTTCTTATATGACTCGATCTAATGCAGTACAATAACTTCATTTTCTCTTATTTGAATGTCATAGTCGACCTGGTGGTGTTTTATTTGATCTTTATAAAATATGTTTACAATTCATCTTAAATATTCAGCAAGATCATCTACAGCAGACAAGTGCTATGGAAATAGTTCTCTGCCTACTTGTGCTACTGGTAATGGTGGTAAAATGAACTGAGGGATAAATAAACCACCACTCCAGGAAATGACCCTTCCCAAAAGTAACGTATTTAACTGCCCTGCAAGCATGTGACTTCTCCCTATGTTTTTGCATTCCTTAATAAGGATCTTAATACTAAACCAAACAATAATATTGTGTGCCTGTTAGAATTATTATATCAAAGGTGTTCTCTATAAACATAAAAATCAAGCTGCACAAAATAACTTGCATGCAATATAATTTGCTTAAAAAATGCACGGAACAAGTATATTGTTTTGCATTGCTTTTTTAAGAAATATTACTGCCCTTTTAGAGCTATTGGAAGGCAGAGAACTACTAGACAACCAAGAGATACAAATTACAGTAGTCTACCCCTCCATTTAACGGTCAGGGGTAGTTTTTCAGCCTTGAAATGTTAGCCCTAAAATATTTGATTCTAAAACTCTATAATTTGATTCTAACTTTGAGAATTTTATATAGTGTAGAATTCTAGCACAAGCATAAGTCACTGGGGACTTATGATAAAAGCATGTAAGAACACTAGTGTGCTTGGTGTGTATAAACTGTAAGTTCTTTTATTATTGTTTATCTGCCAAGCCTGTCCTAAAACAGATAGTGAAGAACATGCATTGACACTTCGCAACCACATACAGAAACTTATACAATTCTGTTTCCTTCCTTCCTTCCTTCCCTCCCTCCCTCTTTCTTTCTTTCTTTCTTTCTTTCTTTCTTTCTTTCTTTCTTTCTTTCTTTCTTTCTTTCTTTCTTTCTTTCTTTCTTTCTTCATTCTTTTGGCTGAAATCGCACAGCAATGATGTGACTAAGGACAGATATGCAAACATCCCTAACCACAGTTTTGGAAAGTTGGGGCAACGTACGGGAAGTATGTGTCAACAGAGAGCAGTAAAAGTAATAGGACTTCTTTTAAGCTTATAAGCTCTGCAAAATCGCTACTCGTATGGTAGAAACTATTTTGAACACACCATGACAGAATGTTATTGGAGACATTATATGGTACTTTAGGTTGACTCTCAATGTATCTGTGAATGATTCTTAGTACAGTGTAGAGTTTTCCATCAGATGACATTTGGTAAATTTTGTCAAGAAAGTTAACATTCTCCATGTGAACGAGGATCAAAATAGGATCTTACTCACTTGTAAAAATATGGTGTCCTGGTAACTTTGGGGATTTTTTTTTTTAAGTGGTTAGAGGGCTACGCATAGATTGACTAAATAATTACTTCAGTCACACTGTCAATATTTCCTATATTGTATTCTCAGAATACATTTATAATCACATATATGACAAAGAAAAATACATTCTTTTTAAACATGTTAAAGTAATTGCAGGTGAAAAACCATTTAATAAATACCCAGCTTAGTAAACTAATAAATCAGCGTCTGTAAAGCTTAGTATCAGTTAAATAGGGGATGAGGTTTTTTGAATTGAAAATATAAGTGAGAAAAACTACTGATAAAATTTAATACCCATTTTGAGGTGAAGCAACATTCATGATTCTTAAGACTTTTTTTGTAACATATTTATGTTCTGTCTTGTAGGGTTTACGCTGCCTTGTGCGAAACAGTAAGTACACTTTTTTTGGTTTCCCCCTTAATTAATTTTGTTTATTTTAGAACTGTAATACTAATTCTGTTCTGTCCAACATTTTATAAGATTGATATTTCAGTAGGAGGAATGTTAGTGTAAGGTATCTATATCTCATGTTCGGTTCAAATGAGTTCAGGACCAAAATATATGCAAAATAATTTGCATATGAAAATATACATATATTCACATCCCCAACCACCTCTGGTGTCACTCCAAACATTTGTTATACACACACATCTACAAATATATTAAACAAAGAAGAGAATATTTCACATGTGTCTTCCTGCTTAATGTTAACCACTCACTAGACATTCTATTTATTTTCATTTATTTTTCTCATACATTACTTTTACTCTATGGAGCTATCAAAATTCCAACTCCATATCCACATAAAATGTTCCATAACTTAATCCCATTCCATTTATCATATGCTTTCTCTAAATCAAGAAATATATAATAAGCTTGTTTTTCCAAAAATTAACCCAAAGTGCACCTTTTTATCAGGAATGAAATGTAACAATACTCTAAATAATCAGTTTTAGAGTATACCCTTCTATGGAATTCTTACTCTAAATAACATGTATCCAGCTACATCTAACACACATCTCATCATACATATTTTTATCTGTATCTTTTAGAATAGCCTTTCTCAACCTGGTATCTTACAGAGTTATCAGAATTGGCTAGAAATTCTAGGAAATGCACATCTGGAGATAATTTAGGAAAGCCTGGTAGAAGGTGAGAGGTTTAATCAATATTAGAAAGCACATTTTGCTAAGAAGCATAGCAGCTTATGTGGAGTATTGACTATTCAATGTGGACACTAATGTATGTGTAAGCTCACCTTTAATTCTATTTTTCTTAGCTTTTCTGAAGAGCGTTGTAATGCAGCAGATAATATTTGATAGCTTGTGCTGCACTGAAAATTTGAGAGGAGGCATCACAGCTAGAATGTTACAGTCCAAAGGAAAATCAGTTGTTATCTCAAAAGTGGGACTGAATTAATTTCCATCAAACTTGTAGGTTACTGTGTGGATGAGAGCTGGCTCCTTCCTTCGAAATGGACTCCTTCAGCCCCAAGTTCTGTTGACGTATTTATTGATACATTTTTTGCTGAAGATGGGAAATTGGTTCCCGTGCTGAAGATAGAGTGGAAAGTGGCTACTGATGGTAAGTAAGGAAGAAATCAGTATAGAACTGCATTTTTACGGCATGTAAAAATGTTGTATTATCTATTAAACAACTTATAGTAGCCAGAACTATCTCCACCATGTTTTAGAGGCTAGTTTAGGAGGTTAGTAACAATATGAACTGGTGATGTTTTTAAAAATTTATTCAAAAGTTATTCAAAAGAAAATAACCCTGATTTTAAAACACTTCCTTAAAAAATAGAGAAAAAAATTAATCTGTCTGTATTATTATGTTTCGGGTGAATCCAAGATACCCTCCAATTTTAAAGGTAAATTATTGGGGAGTAGGTAGTTTTCCTTTCAGATAACAACAATTCAGAATAAAAATGTAAAAATTTAGAGTAATTTAGGGATAAATATTAAAATGACAATATAGCACAGGGGTATCAAACTCAATTTCATTGAGGGCCGCATCAGCATTGCGGTTGTCCTCAGGGGGCCGGGTAGGTGTGGCCAGGTTGGGCGTGGCCTACTGCATGGGCATGGCTGGAGTGGGCATGGCCTACTGGGTGGGCGTGGCCAGCTCTACATCATTCGTGTCAAGGGTGCCTGTGGGGGCCTAGGCAGGAGTGGGACAGATCTGAGGGTCTCTGGCAGAAGGGGGTGGGACCAGGGCAAGCGCCAAGGCATGGTCCACTGGAAGAGCCTGCTGAAACCCCTCCCCCGAAGCCCATCAAGACGGATATGTGAAGTAGGTGAGGGCCATTTGCTGGCCACTTCCAGGCGATGGTGCATTTCTTTATTCCTTACGAAGGGTGACATCTTCCCAGCATGCACCCGGGGGATGGGGCCGACGCGGCAGGGGCTGGTTCCTCGCTGTTTCCAGACAGCCTTGTGGAGGTAAGACTGAATGCGTTTCAGCATAGATGGCCACCACAAAATTGTACATTGGCTCCTGGCCGGCCTGGCCCGGGGCCAAGGCAGCAGGGGCCATTCCCTCACTGTTTCCAGGATGGCTTTGCGGGCCACATGAAACCACTTCGCGGGCCACATCCGGCCCCCGAGCCTTGTGTTTGACATGTCTCGTATAGCATGTCAGTATGTATTGGGTTTTTTCATAGAATAAAATCAAAATGTTTGAACAAGTCTTTGTTGCTTTATGCTGACTGTGATCATTAGTCTTTGTAACCCATGATTCTCCATTTCCTGGACTGAACACTATAACTTAATTTTGCACAATTGGGGTGATGGTGGTGGAAGGAATACTTTTTTAAAAAACTTGTCCTGACCATCTGCATGCTGTTTGTAAATTATAAATCTTTTTATGGTTTAGCTTGCAGCATAACCAGAGGATACAAAGAGAGAACTCTTTACCAATGTTTTTATGTCTTCCCTTCTCTTCAACAATAGCAAGCATCATATACCTCAGAGGAGTGGAATTGGCTGTAGTACAATTAAGCAGTAACCGGCAGGTTTGCGCTCAATTTGACTTTCAAAATAACTTGACGTTCCAAGTCCGTCCAGACAATGGGGGCCGGGTAAGCGATCGTGAATGTTTTACAAATTTATATTTTGCCTCCTCAGAATCCAACAGAATTGTAATGGAGTTGGGCAGCCTGATGCATTTAGTAAAGTAAATAAATAAGTAACAGTATATTTGCTATATAAAGTATGACATTTTCTAAACAAAGAATAACCTGGTGCTTAAGAAAAGCCTTGTAATTAAGAACATGATCTGTTACATACAGCAAGCTTAGATAGTCTCTGCTGTGTGTGAAATGCTAGTGTTGGAATAACTATATGATTTATGCTGCAGCGCAGAAAAAATGAAAATGACCTGTTCCAGGCTATAAGCAGGGAAACAGCTACACTTATACATTTGGTTATTGCTGCTCCCATTTCTGCTTGATATAAAAGCACCAACTATGTTGTGTTCCTCAACTTAAGGAGGTGTAGAACACAGTGCTGCAACTTCCTTTTAACAGCATTGGCTGAATATTTCTGGATGTCCTGGAATAAGAGGTCACAGACTGAAAAACATTCATGGGAAGCAAATACATTTGATTACCCCAGAATGCTTTTCTCTCCCATGACTCCAGTTGCCAGCCTATAAAATCTTTTAATCCATTATTTAACATCACAGTTTTCTCACTGTCCATTGTGTTATATCAGAAATATGGGAAAAAGAGTGAATTTACTTCCTAGACCAGGGGTCCCCAACCCCCAGTCCCCAATTCCACAGGCCACACAAACGGCAGATGAGAGTATGGCAGGCACGCAGCTCCATTTACATGAGTAGCAGATGTGTGCACTCATGTGCGAAACTCCATTTGCGCAAGCGATGGGTGTGCGTGCGCCTACCACTCACATGGAACCAACCCCTCTTTCCCCCTCCCCCTGGTGGGCCGCCGAACCAGAAAGATTGGGGACCTTTGTCCTAGACTATTTTTAAAAGCTAACATTTGTTTAGGATAGAGCTGTATTAGGTATCTTGTACATAAAATAATATGAATTCATGTTTACAAGATTCCCGCATTGTGAAGAGAATCCTCTTTTCCCTTTCATTATAGGAAAGCAGAAGAAAAAGTACCTGTGTTAGAATATGTTATGTTTCCACATTTGGTGAAAGGAACGAATTTCTATGCGGATCTGGAGAAAGAACTCCTTACTTTTCTTTCCCCAAATCAGGGAAAATGAAACAGGGATCATTCAAATCCAGATAACAAGATCTGAACAAAATGAATTGCTCTGCCTAAGTGTTTGTATAGTTGTGGCTTGTGAATTTTCTTTTCTTTCTCCTAGTACAGAATTTCATACAAGTTCGGTGTTATAAGTCACTTCATTGACTCACTGCATGTTTGTTAAAAGATTTCTCCTTATATTGTTTCAGTGGAATTTCTCTTTCAACCGTTTTGAGGTACAACCAGGCCAAATGTACCAAGTAACTGTCTATCATTTGCCCAAATTAAGTACTGCAGGGGACTATAACAGGAGATCAAAGCCATTCACAGTACCAAGTAAGGGACACTTTTATGATATATTAATTTACAGATTTTTTTACTGATAATCCACTCCTAGATCACCGCTTACCAACTTTGGCTACTTTAAAATGTGTGGACATCAACTCCCAACTTGATGGGGATGAGTCTCAACCCCCTGGTTCAGGATGAAAGCCCCAGATAGCTTGATTCTACCTGAAGGTGGCAGTCATGAAAATATCTGGTTTTTAAACCATAATGGGTTTTATATATCAAAACAGCACTTTGAATAGTACGAGGAAGCTTAACAGAAGTTAATGGGTGCTCACAGAGCCAGTGTTATATGGCCAACATGTTAAGAAGCAGATTGCTGCATTCTGTCCAACTGTATCTTCTGTATAGTCTTTAAAGGCAGCCCTGTATACTGTAGTACATTTCAGTACTTGATCTGGAAGGTGATAAGCAATGGGTAACCATTAGGGGGGGCCTCACAACTATATAGATCCTCAGTTAATGACCATTTATTCAGCAACTGTTCAAAGTTACAGCAGCATTGAAATAATGATCCTTACATCCAGACCACCAAGTTACAGTCATTGCAGCACCCCTGTGGTCACAGCAGTGGTGGGATTCAGCCGGTTCATACCAGTTTGACAGAACCGGAAGCTAATCTTTTGTTGCCCAGGCCCAGAATGGCCTTCCGGAAGTGGCATCCACACAATATGTTCACATATTTGAATCCCACCACTCTGTCACATGATCAAAATTTAGGTGGTTGGCACCTATCTGCTTGGAAAAAAATATAGACAAGCAGAGGCTTATCTGAAAGAATTTTAAAAAATGGAATTGAAAGAGATGTAAATGAAGAATCCTTAGTTGTGCCAATTGACATTAGGATATCCTGCACTTCCAGAATATGAAGAAGAATTTACTGATAAAGTCTACAGTACATAGTGCAAAAGTTGCACATTCAAAGTTGCAGTTTGCAGTGCTTAAAGTAAACACATCAAGGAAAAATAAAAAAAAATAAAAGCAGGGGAGAACTAGAATGACCTAGTTCTGAGCAGAGTGGAAGCAGATAAAAGAATCCTGCCTTCTTTCAGAATACCTCCAACACATGGCATTTAAAGCCACTCAGCTGGGAAGCCTGTGAAGGAAGGGAGTAGAGGCAACAGTGGTATTGTCACCACTGCCATTTTGTCTCTGCACATCCATAGTTCTTAAACTTCCTCTAACCACACTAAGTCTGGCTTATCTGACTCCACAACAGCGCTGGAACCCAGGGTGCCAAGAGGGATATAAAAGGCCTCTAGTACATTGGTGGATGTTTGTGGAAGTTGCTAAATGATGCAATGTGAGTCTGTGGAAGCAATTTTGTAGAAGCTACCTGAAATGGGCTTTCTTTAAAAAATTACATCTTCTGTAACTCTAATGCAGTTTTTTTTTCTAATGATGTAAAACTAATAGTTTTAGCCCAATAATATTTTCATAGTTGGGTTACATTTGAGCACAGTTCTTTTTAGGCTACTTGCAAATCAGTTTAACCGGTATTGTCTTTCAGAACACAGATGCAATCTTTCTGGATTTGTTTGTTTGTTTTTTTTTCATTGCAGATTGCACACATCCTACCATGAAAAGAACAGAACCGTGTGTGCGAATAGGTATGTTTTTTTCAGGTGTTTGGGTGCATCCCTAAGCAATGCTATTTGATGTCATTGATGAGTTTTCTGCACTTAGGGAGTTTGTGGGAACCCAGAATTAATGGAACAAGTCTAGATGATCATTCTGTGTTGCTGAGCTTTGACCCTGCAGAGATGCCAGCCACCTATTTTATCCATGTAATCAGTGTTCGGGAGGATGAAAAGGTGTGCAAGAAGGCCACGGAAAGCATTTCAGAGGTAATCAGTTTTGCTCCGGTGTATTTTCTCCTCCAAGCATTTAAATTTACTTTAGCAATTCCTCATTACTTGCCAATCCATTACTTGCCAATCCATCAGAACTCTCCTCTTCCCAGTAATAAAAAACCAAGAGCTAGCATGTCTGGAATTTGAGTCTTTTTAAAAAGCATTGTTTACTACAAAATGTGAATACCACATAAATAGTAGATTGTGAGAGTTAGATACCTGCTTATTTATGAGATTGAGACAGCTTTTGCATTTCCACCATGTCAGAATCTAGAATTTTATGCTGCTTTTATTTCCTAGGTTAAGGGATTTTTTTTTCAAAGTGGTTTGAATGGTGTGCTAGACAAAAATCTGCTTACTTAATATGCCTTTAAACCAGAACCGCTTCCAAGCAAGCAAGGAAATGTTTTTGCTGTTTATTGGAAAAGAAGAAACTATTTTATAATAATTGAATAGAAGAAGCTGCAATTTCTTGCTTTTTCAGCAGCAGAACACTAGTCACATAGCTGCATGCTTGTTTGTGAAGTCTGATCAGCCACTCCAGATTATGCTATGCTACTTGATTTCATGTTGGCATAGCTACTGAAAAATGCACAAGTGCATCACAATTACAACAGCTGCCACTCACATCCATATGGGAGCTGTCCTGAATCCATTCACTGCTTTATGATAAAATGCAAATGTCCCTTGATTTCTATTTCTGAGCCTGCTTAGTTACTCCATAGGTACAATATTTTAGATCAGGGGTGTCAAACTTCTGGCCTACGGGCCAGATGCGTCATAGTGAAACCGCGCCCACCCCATTGCTGGCAATGGAAAAAAAGTCATGATACATCGCATCACATGTCGTTGTGAGTTTGACACCCCTGTTTTAGATTAATCACACTGCTGTTGTTGGTCCTGTCTCAACTGTGCCTCTTGGTTTCTACAGAAGGGTCTGCAGCAGCGTCTTAATGTCACAGTCAAGCTGGAAAGGAACTTGAAGATCTGTTGCAAATACAAAGTGCAGGTAGGTTTAGCTTTATTAGCTTCTGATAAAACAATAATTTCTTCCAGGTTAATAGTCACATTCAGTTACAGATTGACCTTGATTTACAAACATTTGTTTAGTGACCAAAGTTAAAATAGCACTGAAAAAAGTGACTTATGACTAGTTTTCACACTTACGATTATTGAAGCATCTGAGTGGTTACATGATCACAATTTGGGTGCTTGGTAACTGGCATGTATTTATGACAGTTGCACTGTCCAGGGGCCATGTGAATAGGATAGAATAGAATAGAATAGAATAGAATAGAATAGAATAGAATAGAATAGAATAGAATAGAATAGAATAGAATCGTTATTGTCATTTTAAATGTGCACTAATAAGCATACACTAAAATGAATTTTCATTGCATTCGGCTCTCAAAAAAATACCATTATACATATCCCCAAATACACACACATATATGACACACAAAAACATCACACCCTAGTTCAAATATATACATATACATGACTAGAAAAACGAATCTTGCGAGTTTACCAGAGGGATGGCATAAGGCAGGGGTCTCCAAGCTGTGGGCCGCACCCACTATCGGGCTATGGCATCTTGGCCACCAGGCCGTGTGAAGGGATGGCCAGTGCACGCATGTTTGTGTGTGCACTCATTCCCCACACTCACACTAGCATTGCCCTGAGCATCCCACCAGTACTAGCATCGCCCCATCCCAAACATCCCACCAGCACTAGCATCACTCTGAGCATCGTGCCGGCACTAGCACTGCTCCGAGCATCCCACCGGCATTAGCGCCACTATTCCTCTGAGCGTCCCACCTGCACTAGCACTGCTTTGAGCTTCCCGCCGGTGCTAGCACCGCACCGCCTCCAAGCATTTTGCCAGTGCTAGTATCGCTCTGCCCAAAACATTTCACCAGCACTATCACTGCTTCAACCATCCCGCTGGCACTACTGCTGCCCCTCCTGAGCATCCTACCAGCACTAGCACTCCTGTGAGCATCCCACCAGCACTACGCCCCCGAGCATCCCACTGGTGCTAGCGCCGCCCTACCCCTGTGTATCCCACTGGCACTAGCACTGCTCCGAGCATCCCGCCAGTGCTAGCACCGCCCTGCCCCCAAACATCCTACCGGCACTAGCACTGCCCCAAGAGTCCCATCAGCGCTAGTGCCACCCTGAGCATCCTGCTGGCGCTAGCGCCGCCCCATTTACGGCACTCATGCTCATATGGCCCATGTGCACATGCGCTGCCTGTTTGCATGTGCACTTGTGCGTGGCCCATTTGTGTGTGAGTGCATGCCATAACAGTGCCTGCCTCCCTTTCTGGGCTATCAAACCAAAAAGGTTGGTCACCTCTGGCATAAGGAACAAAGCTGTTAACAGAATCTAGTAGTTCTGCTATAAATACTTCAAAACCTCCTTCCAGAGGGGAGCAACAGAAACAGGCTGTGAAATGGGTATGTGGGGTCTCTAATGATGCTTCAAGCTCTAGCACAGGGGTTCTCAACCTTGGCAACTTTAAGACTTGTGGACTTCAGCTCCCAGAATTCCTCAGCCAGCAAAGCTCTAATACATAGCACTTATAGGCAGTGTCCTCTCCAGGGGGCCGTGTGATCATCATTTGTGATCTTCCCAGCTGGCTTCCAACAAGCGAAGTCAATGGGGGAAGCCAGATTTGTTTAATGACTGTATGATTCACTTAACAACTGCAGTGATTCACTTAACAACTGTGGCAAGAAAGATCGTAAAGTGGGACAAAACTCATTTAACAACCATGTTGCTCAACAACAGAAATTTTAGGCTCAATTGTGCTCATAAATCGAGGACTACCTTGGTGGGGATGGGAGGGAGAAAACTAGAGACAACGATGTTCTCCAGGAGTCAAGCTCAGCTTCTGATGACCATAAAACAACAGTAAAAAAATAATGGGTTTGCTTTCTTCTGGGATGTTTTGACTTCCCAATTTTATCTCCAGTCCTGGGATTTCCCAATAATCTCCCATCCAAATACTGAGTAGACCCTGTACTGCTTAGCTTTTCAATTCACCTGCCAAAACTTCAGGATTTGGGTGGTCATGAATTAGCTGACAGAATCCTGAATTGTTAACATGCGGCAACAAGATGACAGTGTTGATTCACTTGTTTTAGAGATCTCTCTCCTTTTCGTTCTTTAGGCATCTGCAGTCTTTTAAAGTAAGGAATGTTCCTTTGAAGTGGTAGAAACTGGAAAAGAAACATCAAAAGGGAAAAGAGTCCTTTCATTTCAGAACTGAATTAAGGGAAATCAGCTCCGTGCTGCTCTTTGCTTCAGACAACATCTGCTTCACTCTTAACTAGGAGTAGCAATATAGGGCTCATGAACATCAATGTGCCTATGGACATTTCTCTTGGCATCTGCCAGATCACTTTTTTAGGTGTGTTTTTTTTAAAAAAAAAAAAATTAAAAGCAAAGTGTCAGCCTTTAATCTAGCATTAACTCTGCAGGACTTTGTCTGCATCTAGATGCTAAGTATGGTCGAACCTCAGCGAAGACTGTGGATTATTCTGGGAATTTTTTAAAAACTTACAGAAAGTTGATTTTTTTTAAGGATTTTTAAAAGCCATTTCTATTTTGTTGTCAAAGAATCAGCATGTGTCTAGGTAGACATTAGGAAGCCAGCTGTCAGGTGCAAGTAATCAGATCTACAAAATAGGATTCAAACTAACTATTTTATTAGATTCTGCCTATAATATAGGAATCTCCCAAACTGCTTGCCTTCCCTTGGGAACAGATAGACAAGGTTCTATGGAGCTTAGGGGGATCAGTCCTGGATCTCTTACGGCTATACAAAGATTGAAGGCTAATTCCCTGCTTGATCCCTCCTCTCTGACTGGCTAGGCATTTTCCAACATTAGCTTTACCTTCAAGATCATGAGGTACCTCTTCACCTTCACCTCCAAAAATATGATAGTCCCATACATATATTTAGAAAATAAAGGGAGGGGGTTGTACTCCAGTGCTTTGTTTGACAGTTGCCCACCTACTCAGTAAAAAAACAGAGGTCACTTAGGATAATTAAGTGGGTCCTAGCCAGAGGAGATATGGGGAACAATCTCATCATGCATGTCATTCCAGCTGTTTTGGGATAACATTCATCTTACTAAAATTCCAAACCTGCCCATCGTCCCAGAAATGTTGCCCGCTTTTTTAAAAACTTTGATTATTATGAAGACAGGGTTATGAACACAACACATTCAGTTAACTGTAAGTTTAGTAAATTGTTAAGTTTTAACCGTTTTATCTTGAATATATGTAGCAACATTGCTATGGATTTTGGCCTAGTTTTTCTGAATACAAGTAGTCCTTGACTTACAAGTGATCGCTTAGCAACAGTTCAGAGTTACAGTATCTTAGACACTCAAAACCAGCCCACATTTACAGCTGTTTGCAGCACACTTGCAGTCATGTGACCATTTACCACATTTTTCCAGAAACCAGTGTTTATTTACAGTTCTGGCAAAAATCACCCCATCCCAAATAATGAGTTTTGCGGTGCTCAATTGCAGTTGTACCTCGAGAACTACTTTTATTATCTGTTCACAGTTGTCAGTTCTTAAGCTTATGATTGGCCTTCATACGCATCACGTTATTCCCAAGAACCTAGGATAATCATAATGTATCAGTATAGTTTATGTGCAGAACCAGGCAGTGTGGCCTTTGGTAATTGACAAATGAAAATTTTGTCAATGTACAGATTTTCTATGTGTTATCTAAGATTTTTTGGGTATGCCATCCAATGTGCCGATAACCACTGGGAGAACCACAGCCAGTTTATACCATAATCTTTCAATTTTCAAATCTTTGATACTTTGTGATCTTCAATTCTTTCTGTTCTGTTCTACAATCCCCTGGTATTGTCACATCAATGATCCACATTTTCTTTTTTTTTTCCAACTGCAGTTATATTTGGTCTGTTATCTTTACAAGTTTATATTCAAAGTCATCATCAATAATAATATTATATTATCTATATTGAGAGCATATTTGATGTAGCAGTTAAGGCACCAGGATAGAAATCAGGAGACTTGAGTTCTAGTCCCACCTTGCACACAAAAACAGCTGGGTAAACTTGGCCAGTCCCTCTGTCAGACCTAAGAAGAATCAGGCAGTGGCAAACTACTTTCAAAATCTTGCCAAGAAAACTGCAGAGACCTGTCCAAGCAATCACCAGTATTTAAAACTGACTTGATGGGACAAAAAATAAAAAAGTCAAAGTTTACTTACCGTATATGCCGGCGTATAAGACGACTTCCGCAAGCGTTAAAATCGGCACCAAACACAGGGGTCGTCTTATACGTCGAGTCATCTTATATGCCGGAAATACTGATAGTTTCCGGCATATAAGACGACGTTCTAGGAATGCGACTTGGTGACAAAGACGGGGGTCGTCTTATACACCGAGTCATCTTATACGCCGGAAATACTGATAGCTTCCGGTGTATAAGACGACGTTCTAGGAATGCGACTCGGCGACAAAGACGGAGGTCGTCTTATACGCCGGGTCGCCTTGTACGCCGGCATATATGGTATATTATTATATATAGTATATTGTTAATATACTATATATAATATAGTATATAATAATATCGTACATTATACTATATAGTATAATAATATCGTACATTATACTATATAGTATAATCACATTATGTTAATATATTATTGTACATTGTATTGTCTAATAATGTATAATATATTACCTTTTATTTATATAATGTATCCAAGAGAAAATAGTAGTCCCACATAAGCTATTTTTTTTCTTTAACTTTTTAAATCTGGTGGCTGATTGAGCACTGAACTAATTGCTATAATTACCCTCGCTTTTCTTTTTTCTTCAGATCCAGCCAATCTTTCCTGCCTGTGCTACAGACTGTACGAGGCAGCCATTTTTAATCCCGTGTTCTTCTGCTGATGCTTTAAGTGTTGCTGATCATTCCGGAAAAAATGGTGCATATATACTCTTAAAGTCATCTGATATAGTTAGAAAAGAGTCTGTTTTTCTATAGAACAAGAGCGTAAGAACTGGTGATTCTCCCCTAGTTTATGTATTTTAATGTACAGAAATATATCTAAACTTCTGAGGATGAAGGAAGTACAATATCTGGATGATTTAGCAAATTCCCTCCCCTTTTTTCCTAAAAGACTTTCCTTCAGTTTAGCAACCCCCATGAGTATAGTTTAAGGTTAACAACTGAAGGGGTACAAATTGTCCTTTCTCCCAGAAAGATGTAAACTTGATTCTGTTGTTGCTTTTGTACCACAAAATGTGGACTTGGAGCAGAATCAAGGAAAAAAAATATTGCAGGAGCTTACCCTACTCTCAAAAGGAACTTTCTTTTGAAAGTTAATGTTTTTGTGGATACAGTAATAATTTGTATGATGCCTGACCACACTTACATGTGCCCTCTGTTATACCACATTGTTTTGGAGAGTGCATTAAGCTGAAGATTGGAATTTGAAATATTAAATATCACAATAGCTTCTGTGCAGAACCAATAAAATAAATTGTTCTACTATTTCGTGGTCCATTGTTAAAAATGTGGCCTTTCCTATGTATCAAGACATTCTGTAAAGTATTATCTAGTTTGATGACTCAACCTATCATTTTTTATTATTATTATTTTTCAGATACATTTTCAGTGGGGTTACCTTGGACCCACACTATCATCTGCATTTTATTAGTTGGTTCAGCTATTGCTTCCGCAATCTGCCTTACTCGAAGACAAAAAGGTAAGGTGGGTTTTAGAAATGAGTGGTGTGGAGGTGGACCAAATTTGGAGCAGCAGGAGCAGCAGACATTAATTTTCTCACCCTGGAAGCTCCAAAAAAAAAAAAACACTTCAAGTTTGGGCAGACAGGCTGAATCTTGTAGAGCGCTGCAGGCTGGGAAGAGGCTAATCAGGTCAGGGCTTAATTTTCAGGTATATCTTTCTTTGCCCTTTGTCTCCCCACCTGTTAATCCATGCTATTCAACAGGGGAGGAGCAGGATAGAGCCTGGGAAAACTGCCAAGGAAGAAGAGAAGAGAAGAAATAAGAAGCTCTGTTATACTTGTGTTAACTTAAATTCATGCTCAATTTCAGCCCTTTTGGGCAGAATTTAGATAGCCTATTGATACAAAGTGATTCAGTGGGAAGGCTTTATCCTACCCATTGTTAATTATAGCCAATCATCTTAATTTCCTGGCCAATCTGACACCATTTTTTCAGCCTTTCATTTATGTCAAGGAAAACTTAAATTCCAATTCAAGATCCTGCTTTGCTTTGCTTGCACTTGAGTCTCAGGACGAAAGTCATTGAATCGTCATCCCTTCTATTATCTGAACTTTTTTGATCAAAATTATGTTTTTTAACATTTTCTATGTTCTTCTTTCCCTCCTAGAATTAAATTCTGCAGCAAAAAACTGTGATTTTGAACTCCAAGGTAAGAGAATTTTTACTTTCTATAACTCTGCATTGATTTATAATCTAAATACATGGATTAGATTCAGAGAGGGGACAGTATTGACTTTTTGTTTTCCAAAAAAGTTGCGTGTGTGCTTTCAGTCACATACACACAAACAAAGACAAAGTCAATTCTTATAGAGTTATTAACTATTCATCTATTTCTGTGGCTGAATATCAGCTTGGCAATGTTTATATTAATATCAAGGACTACTACTTTCTGACAAAACTTTTTTTGCAGGAGAAATAAGTTTCTACACCAAGGATTGCTATTTTCTGAAATAAAATATCTTCCATATTAAAATCTATCCCTGGTACTAGAGGTAAAGTTTAGTTGGCTAAACTGAAGCCAATAACCTTGAGCATTGTTTTAATATTAAGTGCAGTAATGTATACAATTAACAGTCCTATTTCTTGTACTCCTTGTTTTCCATGTATGGAGGGGGGGGGCGGCAGTAACCATAATATTACACTTTTTATGTATTTAACTTTTTGATTTTCCAGACGTCACCCCTATGTTGCAGCCTCCTCCACACCTCAAGCCACGTACAGTTTGGATTGTGTATTCTGCTGATCACAAGCTCTATGTAGACGTTGTGTTGAAATTTGCTCAGTTCATGATCACAGTGTGTGGTACGGAGGTCATCCTAGACCTGCTAGAGGAACATCAGATATCCGAGGTGGGAGCAATGTGCTGGCTTACTCGGCAGAAACAGAAAATGGAAGAGCTGTCGTCGAAGATTATCATCTTGTGTTCCCGGGGTACTCGAGCCAAGTGGCAAGCTATGCTTGGGCACGAGCAATCCACTGTACATCTGAAGCAAGATAATCTGCGACCAACAGGGGACATGTTCACTCCAGCACTGAATCTGATTTTACCAGACTTCAAGCAGCCAGCTTGCTTTGGACTGTATTTAATCTGCTACTTTGAGGGCATAAGCAATGAGAGTGACATTCCAGACCCATTCCATGTCACCTCCAAATATCAACTGATGGATAAATTTGAGGAAATTTACTTTCTAATCCAGGATCTTGAAAAATTTGAGCCAGGGCGAATGCATCAGATCCCAGCCATCTCGCCTGAAAAGTACACCGAAAGCCCCTGTGGCAAACAGCTGAAGGAGGCTTTGCAGAAATTCCAGGCATGGCAGGCTGAACGCCCAGATTGGTTTAAAAGTGAACGTGTCTGCTGTGAGGATGAAGATGATCTACAGTCCCTGAGTGGGGAACTCGGAGAAGAAGAATTAATATTCCCCGGGGAAGGAATTCTCAAGAAGCAACTGCTTCCAAAGGAACCTGACCCCAATAGCTGTTGCTTAGTCAATCTTCTGGTTAATGAAGAGGACTTGGGAGCATATAAATTGACACCTCAGCATCTGTCACAAGAAGATCTAGCATTCCAAACTCTGGTCACTCCTGCTGAGACACCTTCTGTTCAGGTGGTCAAGCCAACTGCCCTTGCAGAAGAAAAAGAGATACTCAGTCATAAACTTTTGACCAATGAAGATTGGCTAGAAAGTGTGCCTATGATGGAAGCTAGCATCCCAAGAAGAAATAATGTCATTCTTCAAGAGGATTTATCCTCAGATCCCCAGGCCTTGCCAGCTGATGTGAGGCAACAACTGCAGGGATTGATGTATTCCCTCTATCAACAAAGTATCGTCCCCTTGGATGTGCCCCTTTGCCAAGCAGATGTTAATGAACAGCAACAGCTGGTATTTGACGAGGCTTGCAAAGTTCAGAGACAGTCGGTACAGTCAGATCAGGGTTATATCTCCAGATGTTCTTCTTTGCCTTCTGATAGCCCTGTTGAACAGGAGGAAGAAGAGAACCAACAGGAAGGATATTGTTCTGGTGGGCATCTCACGGCAGATGTCTTGAATAGTCTAAAAAGTCTTCAGCAGCAGTTGTTTTCCCAAGATATCCAGAAAAACTGTAGCTGAGGTCACTTGGGAGAGTGAAGGGAGAATTTGTTTTGTTTTTGAAACAGCTAGACAGCCCATGACTGATTGGGTGATTTTTCTTTCAACATATAATACAGGCCTGCAATGTTTTCCCTCCCCTTGTGACCTTTGAGAGCTCTGGAGAAGAAGCCGCCTCCTCCTCCTCCTCCTCCTCTTCCTCCTCCTCATGGAACTGCCTGTCACTTTGCTAGGGGAAGGGAGAATAAAGGGAGGGCTTACCACAAAAGAAGGAGGGTTCAAAGGTTCAACTATCATTGGCACACCCCAGCCAGTCCTCTCCAGGCATCCCAGTCACTCCTTCGTCCTTTCTCTTTCCAAATATAATGTAGGCTTGCACTTTTCCCCTCCATTCACAAACCTTCCTCCTTCCTTCAGCTGACCTGCGGAACTGCCTGCCACATTGTTGTGGAAAGGGAGAACTATGGGAGCCATGGACCACAAGGAAAATTGCATCCTGCTTCTCATTCTGGCATGTCCCCAAGGGCCCCCTCCCTTCAGGCAGGAAGAAGGCTCATCTCAAACAGCCCTTTCTTACCAGCAGGCATCCACGTTACTCCCTCATTCTTCCCTTATTAGCCATTGCCGTCAAGAGATCTAAAATTTTGGCCATGGTTTCAAAGCTGCCACTGATCGCTTGTCAGTTCTTGCTACCAGCCAGTTGGGTGTAGGGGCCAGAGGGAGGCTGGATACAGAGTAGGTGTATGCCCTTCCCAACTTTCCTTGTCCTATGCCAGGGGTCTTCAACCTCTGGGCTATGGACTAGTACCGGGCCGTGGCATGCCAGCAACCAAGCTTTGCAAAAAAGCGAAGCCCCATCCGTGGGATGCAGGCAACCTGCAAAACCATACCCCTCCAGTCCACAAAAAAAAACTTTCTCCATGGAACCACTCCCTGGTGCCTAAAAGGCCAGGGGCCACTGTGTAATGCAACCTACAGGTTCCTGGAAAGTGTAATCAGAAGGTATGGCACTAAAACTTTGTCAAATTTCAATCTCACGGGAGTCATGGATCCCAGACTTTGGACTCATTCTGTTAAGTAGGCCTCTTTAAAGTATGTTGATTCAAAAATCATTGCTCTATGATACACCATTTTGCCCAGTTGGAGGCTACAAAATGTCAAACAGAAGCAAGAGTTTTAGTAGTATTGTATAGAAGTTAATGGCTGTTTGTTGAATTGTGCAGCGTCTAATCTGAGCTAAATAGCAAAGTGCTATGATGATATAAACTGCCTCTTAAGAGTACAGGGATAGTCATAGAAGATGAGGAGAATTCTCAAATATTCTGAAGCCTCTTCTGAAAGTAATAAGTATTAAGGTAAAAGAAACTTTACGTGACATGAAAAATACTGTCTAGTCCAATCTCCATTGTGGCTGATAGCAGATTATCTATGCATTTAGTAGTTTTGGTCTCTTTTTATAAGTATTCACTTTTGTAATTATAGTTCCAATTTGTAGCAGTGAATTTTGTCTGCCAGTTTTGCCCTATACAAAGAAGTGTTTTCTATCACCTTTGCCATTTAATTTCATAGTATTATCTATATTTATTTTATTACTTAGCAAGGAAGAAAAACTCTACAGTACTTACCTTATGACTTACACCCTTCTCTCTTTTGTACCTGATTTTGTCACTGTTTGCTTTTTTTTCTGAACTATAGTATCCAAAACACTTTATCACAACTGCTAACTGATCAGTTGGATAACTTATTTCTGCAATTTCCTATACTAGGATGTCTGTGTTAAGCTAATATTGCTAGAGCTGTTAACTGAATTCCAGTCTGTCCAACTATAATTGATACTGGCTGATTTTCAGTTCTTTTTATAAAATAACTAACTGCCCCCTTGTATGAACTATCCCCATTTCATAGGCACCATAGGCCAGTGAGGCACATTGTTCAGCCTCAAAATCTTTTCTCAGTCTTTTCCACCAGTTCAGATTCCATTAATGAATGCAGAACTTGAGCATCTTGTCTCAATATAGTTGCATTTGACTTGCTTACTTTGAAGTATATTTGTCACTTTCTTGTCCAATAAAAGGGATTTTATAAGGCATAGTTCCATAAGCATTTTTAAAGGGAAATTTAATAAAATTTTAATGATCAGAAGTCCTGCACTAAGGAATTGGTCCACTTATTTACAAATGATATGAAAAAAATATTTTTCTACCAAACAATCCTAGCAGGGTTGCCTGACTTTAGAGTATATTTAATTATTATAATTGCTTTAGGAATTTTGATTGACAGTCTTGAACATACAGCTACTTTGAATAGGGACAATATGTCTTTCCTTCACCACCTTAACTTACTACCAGGATAATATTACTTTAGTATCAAGGCAATATGGAAGCAACAGAAGGATTACGTGATTAAATTTCTTGGGCCAGCTGCAGGGTTTGGGGATGGGAGGTGTAGTATTGCACTGGTTTGGCTCCTTTTTCCAAGACTGGTCCCAATTGGTGTTAATAGGGAGCAGAGGTTTAGCCCACAGCCACTCCCTCATGAGTGCCACAGGAATGAGGCATGAGTATGTAGATGTTATAGTTTTACATCTCTATCCTTGGTGCTCCAAGTGATGCTATAGTTGCCTTTAGTGCCTGGAGACTGTAAAGACCTGGATGAACCCTGTCAAGATGGAATAGCTGTGGGGGCAGGAGACCTCAGGATATGGTCATTTATAATTTTTAGTTCTGTATTTTTAGTGTGGTTATACTACTACAGACAGATCTGGTGCATATCCTGGGCATTCTGGACTCACAACTCATGCTCGAAGAGTGCACCAGTTTCCCCTTATCTGGATCATGAAGCTCTGCACATAGTCACACCCTACTCATCTCAGTTGGATTACTGCAATGCTCTCTATATGGGGCTACCTTTGAGGAGTATTTAGAAGCTGAGTGCAGCAACACAACACAGTTCTGAGGGCCCTTTGGCTGGCATGTATAACACTGTTACCAGTTTGCTTCCAGATCCAGTTCAAGGTGTTAAAGCCTTTAAAGCCCTATATGGCATGGATCCAGGGTATCTGAGGAGCTGTCTCACCCAGCGTGACTAGCCCACCCCACTTATGTCAGCAGAAGAAGCCTGCTACAGACTCCACCTGCTAAGGAATTCGAGCAGGTGGGGTAAAGAAGAGCCTTTTTCTGCTGTGACACCAACCCTGTGGAATACTCTACCACTGAAGGTGAAAACTACTCCCAGCCTTTTGGCCTTCCAGAAGGGTATTAAAACTTGGTTTTGATGGTTGGCCTAGGGCCAACAGGAGGTGATTGACCTGATAAGAAGACCTCATTCCCATACCCTCCACCTCCTTGGTTCCAGTTTTTTGTAGAGTTTTAAATTGTTCGTGGCTTTTCTATTTATTTTTTTATGTTCTATACACCATCCAGAGTCACCCTATTAGATGATGGCGTATACATTTAATAAATAATAAATAAATGAGACTCAGATATAGGAAATAGCTGCAGTTGTGCTGATGCTGTGGCTTTCAATTTTACCCCTAGCTGCGTGTCTTTGGATTCTCCATGGAATGTTATTTGCGGCAACAGAGACAGAATTTTATAGCAAAAGTGTGTTGCCTCTGAAACAAAGGGGCTCTAAAACATGCATGGTTCCCAAACTGGACAGTTGCTCTGACAACAGATAGAAGCAAACAGTTGATATGAAAAGGGTGTGTCTATGTGAGTGCTCGGGTACATGCAGTAGATGAGAGAGGGAGTTGAAGTCTTCTCTGCCAGAAATTATTTAGTGTGCAGGGAATCTGGTTTTCAACATCTATCGCTTGATTCAAAATTTAGACTTGTTTTTAAAATTACCTTCAAGAATCCAAATAAACTTTTTTTTTTGTATAGATCAGTGACTGATACAGAATCTTCAGAGTTAAATATAGGTGGTCCTCAACTTGCAACACCATTGTGATCAGGATTTCCATTGCCAAGCAAGGCAATTGTTAAGTGAGCCATGCTTGACTTTACAACCTTTTTTTGCCATGGTTAAGCACATCACTGCAGTTGTTAAGGGAATCACAGCAGTCATTAAGTGAATCCAGCTTCCCCCATTGACTTTGCTTGTTGGAAGCTGTCTGGGAAGGTCGCCTGCAGGTGGCAATTCTATGACTTGGGATGCTGCAACCATCATAAATACAAGCCAGTTGCCAAGTGCCCAAATTCTGATCATGTGACTGTGGGGATGCTGCAACCATTTTAAGTGTGAGGGCCCGTCATAAGTCACTTTTTTCACAGTTATTGCAGCTTTGAATGGTCACTAAACAAATGGCTGTAAGTTAAGGATTACTTGTTCTGTTGAATAAACTTAACATTGCAATTTTATTACACTACTGCCTATATAGGAATTGAAAAGGCTATTAAAAGATCCAAGTACATGGGGTTAATTCAGTTCAAACTCAGTTAAATAGCAACTGCTGTGGAGGATTTGGGGAAAGTAATTTCCCAAGTTGATTACCTTATGTTCATACATTGTGAAACCCACTTTCTTGCTAATTAGATCAATATATTAAGGCAAATGAGCAGGAGTGTTGTTTTTTTCAACTAATGACCTGCTAGCCTACTGAAAATTACTCTGCAATATCTTTCAATGTTTATCATTGATGTTCAAGCTGGTTATTTTAATTTTACGCTCTGTCTTTTCCAGCCTAGCTTCTATTACACAATTAAATTGTGTACTATATTTTTAAGCATTGCTGGCTTAATTTAAATTTGTAATCAAATAAAACCATATTTTAGTACTGTATTAATCAGATTGTTTTGTTTTGCACTTGTATATATACTACTTTTGGCCAAGTTTGGAAATGAGCAGTTAGAGAATGCTGAACAGATGCTAAACCTGTTTCATTTTTTACCTAATATTTAAAGAGCAAATATCAGCCAAGTCAGAAACCTGTGGCTAACTCATAGTTGCTCATGAGTCAACAACCCTTGTGCCTGAATTATCTATATATTAGAAATAGGAAGAATTAATGCAGTGTTTCTCAACCTTGACAATTTTAAGGCATGTGGACTTCAACTCCCAGAATTCCACAGCCAGCAAAGTACCAAGTACTTTGCATTTCAGAGACATGGTATATAAATAGACAGTTCACAATAATGTTATTCTAATAAAAGTTTAAAATATTTAATGTAACAATTCTTTTCTTCAGTGGCCCTGAAATGATGGAATACAAGAGTATTCTTCATTTTCTTTGTTAGGGCAGTATTTCATAACCAGTTTTTACGTAGTTGTAGCTGTTAGCAAGTTTCATATCAAATTTAAATACCCATTAAAAGATGCAAAATTTATCTTGAAACATTAAACTCTGTAACATATTTAATCCAATCTGCTCATGTGATTATTGTCCAGAAACTAATTACAGATAACTAAAATCTAAAACAGCCAGTGGAATGTTGTAAATATATTGTGTTTCTGTTGGAACAGTTAAACTTACTGGCCTCTGAGTTTTCTAACTGCATACAGTACATCCTCAGTACATTACTACCTTTTGTATAACTATATATAAAGTTAAGAACTTGAAGAATGTTTGTGGCCTTCAATCTAAGATCATAATTCAGCTGAAGCTTTAACCTCTACTGACTGCAGTGGAGATTCGCACAAGAGAAAATAACTAGGTCTACATGAAGTGCTTGAGGTACCTATGTTATCTTATGCCACAAAGCAAACATTTTATTTTGTCAAGGTGTAGAAGTAATGCACATGGTTTCTCATAGCCCAAAGTTACCATGGCAGGTGAATGGTAAAGAAATACACATATGGAAAACTGCCTACCAGGTACTTCCTCAACTTTTGAAGAACTGAAAATTTCCAGTACATGTTTTGATAAGTGTCCAGAGCATAGAGATGTTTTTAAATCCCCAGTAAAAAGGAAAACAATAGAGCCAATAAACATCCAGCCTATTGCCTACTATGTCAGCATCTTATCTCCATATTGTATTTTCATACAAGAATTGAAATTGCCTGAATTCTGAGTTTTGCTCATTTAAAATTGGAGGATAAGTGACACATTTTTATCATAAATTGAAAATATTTAACCAGATATCAGCCAAAAATACATACTTTTTATTTTTAGAACAAAATCTTTATTTTTTTTTTCAAATACTCTGTTAAATGTATGGGGATGCTAAGTTTCCTTGACTATATAACTGTTTTACTTTCCATGGTATTGTCATTTGTATAGCTGCCCTTGTCATATGCTAGAGGTTTGCTGCTTGAAACTAAGGGTGTGGGACATAGCTTCCTACAGATAGCTGTAGTTCAAATTTGTATGCTAGCTTGCAGTTAATTATCATTTCAATAATGCTAACTTAAAGTAATTCAACTGCATAACAACTTGCAGTCATTGTTATTTCAGTTAATAAGTGTGTATCATTTTAAAAGGTACAATATGGATTAAGGTGTAATACTTATTTCCAGCGCTATGAAATATGAAGTGACTGATGCTACAAAAGATTAGCCCAACTGCTTCAAAAGACAACAGTTGCACATATTGTAATGATATTTGGGGAACAAATAGAACTTGGTATTTCTTTAGTAGGCAACTAGCATCCCCATTTAAAATATCACAGAGTTCAGCAAAGGGCAGGGGGAAGAGTGCACAGTACTTAAGTTTCACAATCACAATCACAGCACCAAGATTATCAAGACAAATAGAAAGGAAATACTAAATGGAAGGCCTCTGGCCAAAATTTTACTCCATTATTCTTCAAAAGCTCTGCTTTGGGACCAGAATAAAGCACTAGTGAGAAAGGTAAACCATCTTCAGTCCCGTAATAACAGAAGAATTGTACAGAATTACATAGTGATGCACCCAATGGAAACCTTTATTCCATAACTTATAAAAAAGAGTAAAGTGTAGTTTTAAAGCTACATTGGAGGATCAGATCCTTTATTCACTTTTTTTTCATAATGCAATAACTTAATTGCAAAAAAGAATATTACTGAATTGGGGAGAAAACAGTGCTTTCCCCACACACTATCATATACCTTTTACATCTTTTTTATGGAATAGTTTCCTTGATCTAGCCAGTTTATAGGGAGAAAGAAATAACTTTATATTTCTTCCATATTATGTCCAATAAGTTGATTCTCTGAAAAAGTAGGTATTAAGAAAAGGTGAGTAGGTGAATATCTTCTTACTTGCCAATCAGTGCACCTACCACCATTTCTGAGCCTTTAGTCTCCAAGTAAAACATGGGTGGCTGAAAACAGGTTACTCTAAATCCACTTTGGAGCCTTGTCCAAATTTGAAGTTTTCTCTAGCCCTGTTGAAGCCTGGCTGCATTATGAAGTGCTAGGACTCTTGCCAAGACATCCAAGTTCTCACTAGTGATCTTTGCGGGTGTGTCCTGTCACATTTAATCCCTTATCAAATTAGTTTGAACATATGAGGAAGCTATGTCACACTCATGAATTATCATATACAAAAAGACTAACCTAAATTTATTCCGCCTGCCTTGAGCGGGCATTTTAGCAAATAGAACTTAATAAATCTGAAGGAAGGCTGTCCTCAAAACAGAGCACCAATTTATAGAAATCATACAAGGCTTATCCCGAGAGACATGAAAGCCTCAATTAGAGGTTGTTAAGAGACCCTGTTATCACCAGTGAGTTAGATGTTAATCGAGAGAGGTGAACATTCAGGCCCCCTCTCCAAATGTAGTAAGGTTCAAGCACAGAGGTAGACATCAGCAAGAGTGTAGGCAGCATCCTAATTCCAGGAACTTCCCCTAAAAGGAAACTATCTCTGTGAGGATGGAGAACAGCAGGTGTTGGTGATGTTTACAACTTTTTTTAAAAGGAGGTACAAGAGAGGGAGAGCTACAGTTTCAAAAGGCAGGCATGCTGAGGATGGCAAGGTCCAGGGCAATCGGTTCCTAAGTCACAACGATCAAGAGTATAATACAGTCTGAAACACTTTGGAGCCTTGGAATTCAAGGGGAGAGGACAAAATTAAAGCAATAAAGGACACTATGACTGTGCAAAAAAAAAAAGAGCCTACAGTACATATGTGGCTGAATCTTTTGATTCAGAAAAGGAACCTGCAGTAGATTCCCAAGAATCTACTGATTTATCTGTTCTTATAGATGTTTGGGATGGTTATGCTGAATTGATGCAGAATTTTCCTCCACACAGTGAGCTGAGAGACTGTAGAAAAGGAAACAATTGTTAAGAAAAAAACGTCTCCTTGATCTGCCCTTAGTTGAAGCAGCTGGTACACCTAGAGCACCTTGGAGCAGCAATGCTGAGAGGCACATTTTAAAAGAAAAAAAAAATGGCTTAACTCTCAAGGAGATGGTATTTTTGTGCCCAGCTTGTTCAGCCTGCAGGTGATAACTCACATCCATAGACTCCCCCCCACACACACACACAAACCCTAGAAATAAGAGACTATGGGTAGAAATTTGGCATATCAGGGAAAAGGCTAAAATTCACATGCCTGACATGTCATTTTTGATATAGAAATAATGTTTATATCAGGGGATCATCTGATCAGGATCTTCCTTTTTTTTTCAATTGGAAAATCCCCTCCATATCCTTATTCATTGAACTATTCCAACATAGCATCAGCAAAAAATAATTATTTTCTTTCATTAGTCAGCATTGCCATCAGTACTTAAGTCCATTAGGAAATATAGGCAGGTAGGCTAGATTGGGAAATATTTTAAAAAACCAGGAAGAAGGCAATGTGGAAGCTGTATTTGTTTGGTTGCCAAGATGACTACATACTGATATTCATGATGTTACTGAGAGTCTGACTAAACCCAAAATAGATTTTACCTACTGCTGCAGGGGGGACACTTTAAGATAAGTATGGACAATTTGAACAGTTTAGAACAGTGGTGGCGAACCTATGGCACGCGTGTCACAGGTGGCACTGAGAGCCCTCTCTGTAGGCAGCCGTGCCGTTGTTCTAGCCCCGCCTCCCCCCTCTCCTCGCTAGCAGCCCCCCCCAGAGGAGAGTCGCCCCCGAGCACGGCCCGTGCAGAGCAGCACAGCCAAGGACATGGCAGCTGGGCAGCGGGGACAAGACTCCACCATCACACTCCATTGTGCACAATTGATGCTGCGGGGCGCAGGCTGAGGGGGGCTGTCATGGTGCTGTTGGGCCGTCTGGGTGATCTACGGCAGGCGGTGGGTGGCCCTGTGGGTGGTCGCAGGGTGCGGGGACGAAGCAGGGGGGGTGGGGGTGGAGTGGGGGGGCGGGGCAGGTCCAGGTTTTGGGCACTCGGTCTCTAAAAGGTTCGCCATCACTGGTTTAGAAGAACATATCAGGCAAAGCTTCATGATCTTTCCACAGCATGCCATAAGGTGGTTGGCTTGTCCCCAGTTCTCCCTTCATTGTAGGCATTGATGGCAGAGGCACCTCAGCAAGGACAGGTGAGTGGGAAATCTGACAAGGTGAAGAAATGGAAATAATGTACATTTCCCCTTTCTTTGGAGGATAAGACTAAGAAGCTGCCTCCTTCTTGAAATCATAGGTGAGGAGCAAAAAGGAGTCTGTAGCAGAGCACATTAAGCAGCTGTTAGAATCTATACAATAAATAGGGTCAGGTGTGGAAAGAAAATATTTAGAGTTATGGGAGGAAAGACTTAGGAATCTAAGTCTTTAGATTTTAAGAATCTAAGAATGTTTTTGTTTTTGTTAAAAAAGGTTATTGCTGCCATCATTAGGCTCAGTGGATACACTACTGGGATTAATTGGAGAAGAGATATCTGGATACATTTCCAACAGTTATATATCCTCATGATTATAAATAGTTGGGTAGAGAAGAAAGGGAAGCAAGAATAGCATGAAGAATGCAACAAGAGATCCAGGTATAAAGACTACAAAGTAAATACAAATTAGAACCCCCCACTTTCCAGTTGCATTCAGTAAGTGACCAACATAGTTATGGAGAAGGAGTAAACTTGGTGGGACAATTGAATGGATGCCATCTATTGAAGGAGGCCTAAATAACCGGACAGCTGTAAATACAAAATAACCAGAGAGGGCCGGGCAGCTAAACAGGATTAAAAAGTAATACAGTTTACAGCAGATGAATGGGTAGAATGAAAAGAGGGCCCCCAGTCTGACTTTGAAGCCCCCTCCCTTTGTCCTCAGCTCTGGGCAGTGACCGCCAATGTGTTGACGTAGCCATGGGGCCCCATGTCATTCTCTGAAATGCAGTGACTGAGTTGGCCAGCCCCGACGCCTGTGGAAAGGACGGACACGTTCTTGCCCTTGCCTCCCTGTCCGCTGGCAGAGTGGAGAAGGTAGCAGGTCTCCATGGCTTCCAAGCCGCGGCAGGCCAGAAAGAAGAGGTTCTTGAGCATGAAGATGGAGAGCGGCTGCTGGTAGCGCACCAGCAGGAGGCAGCGCAGGGCCAGCAGCGGCGCATCCAGGAGTCCGGCGGGGAGCAGCCAGTGTAGAACCAGGCGGCCCGCGCCGGGGGCCCGCGGCGCGCTCAGCTCGTACAGCCAGAGCACGGGCGAGGCCAGGCACAAGAAATAGACGGCGATCAGCACGTACCGGACGGTCGGCGGCAGGGGCAAGGCGGGCCGGCCCGGCTGCAGGAGCAGCAGCTCCAGGAGGGTGAAGCTGTCCAGCAGGTCCAAGCACGTGGCCAGGAAGGCGGCGGAGGCGCGGTGCTGGGACGGCGGCTGGGGCGGCAGGAGCAACTGGCCGCCGCCGGGATCCGTGCTGATGGCGCGCAGGAGGCAATAGAGCAGCGGGGCCGAGAGCGCCAGCGTGATGCGGAAGCCCGTGGCGCCCAGCGGCAGGCGCAGCTCGACCAGCTCCAGGATGGACGTGCCCAGGATGAGGGCCGCCTTGGGCGTGAAGGCGATGGCGTAGATCAGCCAGGCCAAGTGGGCATAGGCGAAGTCCCCGCCCCGCGGAGCGGCCCCCGTCTTGCCCCCCGAGCCCGCCCCGCCGCCGCCTCTGCCGCCGTGCGGGCCGTGACCCAGCAGCGGGTGCAAGGGCGGGGGCGGCGGGTGGCCCCCAACGGCCCCCAACGGCCGCTCCCGCCGACGCGCGCGGCTGTTGCGGCAGAAGAAGATGCTCCAGCCGGCAGCCAGCACCAGGTCGGTGGCGATCCAGCTGCACCAGTCCAGGTCGGTGACGGCGATCAGGTAGATGTCCAGCAGCGCCCCCTGGCCCAGCAGCAGCACCAAGGACAGCGCCTGGTAGCCCCAACGCGGCCCCGCCGGCCCGCCGCCGAAGCCCCCCGCCCACAGCAGCCCGGCCGCCGGGCCTGCCGCCGCCTCCGGCCCGGCCAGCGGAGCCCCGTACAGCTCGCCAGCGGTCATGGTGCAGCCAGACGAGGAGGAACTGCTGAAGCCTGACGAGGCACAGGCGGCGGCGGCGGCGGCGGCGGGGGGAATGGCCACGACCGCCGCCGGCGAGGCGGTTTCCTGCGCCGGCACCAGCGGCTTGGCTTCTTCCGCTTCGCCTTCCTCGTCCTCGCTGCTGCGGCTGCTGCTGCTGTTGCTGCGGCTGCGGCTGCTGCTCCGGGTCGAGGCCGAACTGGAAACCGAGCCCCGCCTGCCCCTCCGGGTGCCGCCGCTGGAGCTGCTGGTGCTGCTGACGCCGCCGCCGCCGCCGCCGCCGCCCAGAAAGAGCGGCTGCAGATCCCCGGCGGCGGCGGCGGGGGGAGGCGGCGGGGGAGCCTGGAAGGAGCCGGAGGAGGAGGAGACCGAGCGCTGGTTGGAGACCACCCGGTGCATGGTCAGCCTGAGCCCGCTGCCCGAGGCGACGGGCGGGCCGGCGGGCCACAGCCCTCCAGCCCGGGCGGCCACCAGAAAACCAGCGACCCTGCCCGGCGCAGTCGAGCCGCGGGGAGCGTGAGCGCTGGGCGGGCGGGCGGGCGAGGCTGAGCGAAGGCGGAGACCCGGCCTGGATCGTCGGAATCCGGGGAAACCCGGAGCGGATCCGCGCGGAGGAGGAAGAGAAGGCAGAGAAGGGGCAGAGCCGCCGTGGAGAGGCGGCCTTTGAGGGTCCCGGGCGCGCGAGGCGAGGGCTGCCTCTGCTCCGAGGAAGCCGCTGCCGAGCCGCGGGCAGGGGCGGGCGCGAGGTAGGAAGACACTTGGGAGCGAAGCCCCCCCACCTCCTTCCAGCGCTCTTCTTGGCAACTGGGTGGGCGGCCAGTGACAGCAGCACATGAGTCACTTGCTGGAGGGGGCAGGAAATCGTTGCCTAGCTGGAAAGGCAGTCTGAGACCCTGAGTATTCCCCCCCCCCATACTTTGGGAATTAAGGAAGGGTTGTTGGAAGAGACTCTTGTCCAACATGGAGCCCGCCCACCCCATGAATTCTGTGACAACTGTCTGAAGGAGTCTAGCCTGATGACTTAAGTCTTAAACCACTATGCCAAACTGCCTCTCTGAGAGTTGGACTACAGCTCCTATATCATCTCCAGAGAAAGTATAGAGGGCATCAGATGGAGAAAAGTAACTTTTGCATTAGATGCCTTCTGCTTTACACCCTTGTAAGCCCAAGGTTCCAAAGGGGGCTTTTCCCCCCTTCTCGCCTTCTCTGAGAAGGACATTTAATCCTGCCCATTGAACTTTGGGCAGAACGCTTTATGACCTGTCCTCACCCAACAGAACAGTCGGGTGTGATGCAATATCAATGATCCTGAACTGGTAGTTATTCTTTGCAGCATCCTCTTGGCTAGTTGAGAAAATTTAAGCCTGCCATGTGGAAGTCAGTCAGGAGAAACCTAGGCCTTCTCTGTTATGTTACTGGGCTACAATTCTGCAAAGACACACAGAGGACTCCCAAATGTTTAAAGTATATTTAGAGTGTATTAAGAAGATTCAGTGGTAAAGAAAAACAGGGATGGGTGTTAGGATTAAAGAACTTGGATTTAGAAGTACGAACGAAGGACCAATAGATAGTTCCCTTCTAACAGAGAGGAAGGAAACCAAGTATTTGTCCTGAGCACAATAAAATAAAACCAAATCATAACACCAAGCTATGTAATGAGTCTATGTACTTAGAAGTTTGGCATCCTACCATCGGAGGGGGGGCTTCTCTTTTCTTCCCCACAGACAGGCAATTCTCTTCAACAGAACAGAAGCTTCCAGCAAACTTCTTCCTATTTAGCTTCAAAGGGGGAGAATTATTCTTGCTCAGCAATTTGCCTAGGTAACCCCTCATGAACATACCTTAATAGAAGCAGAAGGGGAAAAAAATCTACAGATCAATTGTGTTTGGACCTAACAGGACTTTGTTGAAGCTTGCATTGTCAGACTAACACCCCAAAATGCAGTGTGGATTTGCAATGTGTTCAAATGCTTTAGTACAAAATACAAATCTGGAAAGGATCTGCTGCAAAGTGACATCAGACAGGGCTATCTGCCAAAAAAAAAACCCCAAGGTTAAAAAAGCAACTTACATCACAATGTCATGGCCCATATGTTGACTTTTTTACCGGTCTTTTAATGATATTCTTAAATATTACAATTTATAACAATAAAAATTAATATAAACTAAGAAGAAAAAATAAGGTCTAGTTTTTTTTACTTTTTGGTCCATAGATGAGGTTAAATGACAGTAAGACAATAACTACTTTTATGACTAAATTATTTGACACAATGCATCATAATTATTCTTCTAATACCACTCATACTTTAAAAAAAATGAGACTGCTGGGAGACAGAACAGAGAACCTAAGCCAAAATGTTGTTAAAAAATAGACTCTCTCTCTCTCTCTCTCTCTCTCTCTCTCTCTCTCTCTCTCTCTCTCTCTCTCTCTCTCTCTCTCTCTCTCTCTCTCTCTCTCTCCCCCCCCTCCCCCCCCTCTCTCTCTTGCTTGAAAGACCAGGGGTGAAAAATTTATTCTCCAGATTATCAAAAGCCATCTTTCTTTAGAGCAAAGAGTCTGAATAAGTGGGGAGTGTTTTAAATAAAACAGCAGAAGCCCACAATTATGCCTCACAAAATCTGTCAAGAGGTAGCAGGTGCAGAAGGGAGACAATTGGATTCCTCTTTAAAAGTGCAAATAGCTGTTTCAGTGGGAGGGGATGGATGACACTCCTGAGACAGTAAGCGGCTTCACAAATCAAATTAACATGCCAAGATGGTGCTGAACACTCTCGGCTCAATGGCTCTCATGTTGCTGATTTTCCAAGCACTGCTCTCCAATGGCTAATTCCTATTTTGCATTCTGTTCAGTCTGTATCTCATTTCCCCTCTTCTGTCTCTTCGCTGGCTCCTTTTGTTCAACACCTGAACACAAGAAGCCATGTTTTACTGACCTCCTTCAAAGGACTTGCTGCAGCTCCCCAGAATTGGTGGACCAAAGAGGTTGTGGTTGCCTTGTCCAGAAATCTTAACCCTGGATTGCATCTGGGAAATTTGGATTGGAGTCTAATGTGTCCTATACTTTAAACCCATAATTCCAACTTCTGTACTCTAAAACAAGAGAGGACAGTAGTCCTTGACTTATAACCCCAATTGGGACCAGAATTTTTGTTGCTAAGCAAGGTGATTGTTAAGTAAGTCATGACCAATTTTACATTTTTTTGCCATGATTAAACAAATCACTGCAATATAATGAGCCGAGGTGGCGCAGCAGTTAGAGTGCAGTACTGCAGGCCACTTTAGCTGACTGTGTTCAGCAGGTCAGCGGTTCAAATCTCACCGGCTCAAGGTTGACTCAGCCTTCCATCCTTCCGGGGTAGGTAAAATGAGGACCCAGATTGTTGGGGGCAATGTAAATATATATATACATTGCTTACTGGTGTACACCGCTTAGAGAGTGCTTGCACTTAAAGCGGTATATAAGTCTCATAAATAAATAGATCCAGCCTCCCCCATCGACTTTGCTTGTTGGAAGCAGCTGGGAAGGTTGCAAATGGTGATCACATGACCCTGGGATGCTGCAACTGTTTTAAATATATGCTGGTTGCAAAATTCATCAGGTGACCCTGGGGATGCTGCATCAGTCATAAATGTGAGAATTATTTCACTTTTTATAGTGTCGTCGTAATTTCAAATGGTCACTGAATGGTTGTAATTCAAGGACTATCGGGATATCCTTCCTTGTAAGTGACCTAGGTATGTACACGACTACATCTAGATTTTTAACAAGAAACAAGAGGCCTAGAAGGAAAGGTTGAGGTAAACACACAGCCCTGATTTAAATGGGTGCTCCACACTTTATACAAATCCAGAAAGGGAAGGTCTATTTGGGGGACAATTAACACCATAAATCAGAGGTCCCTGACCTTTTGGGCACCAGGGACCGGTTCCGTGGAGAGAAGTTTTTCCGTGGAAAGGAGGTTGCGTGGTTTTATGTATTGCCTGCATCCCACGGATGGGGCTTTGCTTGTTTGTGCAGACTGGTTGCTGGCATGCTGCGGCCCAGTACTGGTCCACGGACCGGGGGTTGGGGACCCCTGCCATAAATGGTAGTTAGCACTTAATATTGGGTTAAAGAGCATCTGCTTCTTAAGGTATTTTTCTCTAGCCCCCATAATTTCAATTTTCTTTAAAAGAAGTCCTTGTGATCTTTCCATCCCCCATTTGCTTTGGCGTAGAGACTTGTGAATGACAGGCTTTGTCAATGAAGTACATCAGATTCCAGTTTGATGGGCAGTCAGTCAGTGACATCAGTACACCTGAACAGCTCGAAATGGAGGATGAAGATGCCATGATGGAGTCCAGAAGCAGACAGGAAGTCTGTACTAAAAGAGCACACCAAACTTCCTTTGTCACAGACACAGTAAGAAAAAAGAAACCTGGTGCAGCCATCTTGAATACTGTAATGTAACTTTCTTATTTTCTTATTCCTTCTATTGTAAATAAAGGGTTGGTTGTACATGCACAAATCTGAGTACTTTGTAAACTAAATGACCAATTTCTGATCAACGTTATATGGAGACAGGATGGTAAAAAAAAGCTGTGAAAATATCCAAATCTTCCTCTAGCAGCATGCTCATATAACTACAGTATTATTATCCTCTTAACTATTATAAAGTGTGTTGGATATATTCTCCATCTTGAGTTATTTGTAAAAATAACAAAGGTAGGTTCTTTCGCATTCATTGTTCAAAAAAACCTCCTGAAGTCTTATACGCCTTGTTTAATTTTGTGTTTGTGTGTATTACTTTGTACAAATACATAGTTTTATATGAAATCATTATATATAGAATAATCTATCTATAGAAAATACTCTTTAAAAAGGTAAACTACTCTTAAAAAGATGATCCTGGATAAATTTCCTTAAATATTTAAATAAAAATTATTTTAATTTTTTTAATAAGATGCACTTATTTTTGTATCTTACTTTTCGCATGAAATGATAGATCTTACCTATTTTAGAACTATAGTTGTTAAGAGGATACATGTAAGACCTTCAAAAGTGCAATTTGGAGGGCTTACACCGCTTAGAGCAAGTAGAGATAAATATTTAAGGACTAGTAAAATGAGGTAGTCATGAAGAAAATCTGAATTAGTTACTATGGTACCTACCAATCATGATCCTCTAATTCAGGGGTTCTCAACCCTGGCAACTTTAACACTTGCGGACTTCAACTCCCAGAATTCCTCAGTCTTCTGGGAGCTGAAGTCCGCAAGTCTTAAAGTTGCCAAAGTTGGGGACCCCTACTCTAATTTATATGGCATAAAGCAACATTTCTATTGTGACAAGAGGTTCCATAGCTTCCAAGTAGCCCATTTATTATAAATGAACTTACGATGCACACTTAATATGTCAAATCATAAATTTGTGAGGAAAAAAGAAAAACCCAAAAACCGCACAGGCAGTTATCAGGTTATGACCACAGGTCAGCAACTGTTCAAACTTGCAGTGGCACTGAACAAGGGGGATATATGACA